ACAAGTCATTTTATTGGATCTAAGAGTTCATCTATTCCTGTAATTGTATTCTACATAGCCAGTGTAAATGGAGAAACATCTGGTAGTGCACAAGGATTGATTTAAACAAAGTTTTTTTGTGAGTGTGGCATGTGTACATTCGTACTAGTTCAGTATTAATATTTTTTTAAAAAGATATAATTAAATGGGATTAACTTCTTTAATCCAACGATGCAAGAAATTTAATAGTAGTATTTGAGATTTTTTAAGGTAAATACAAATCTTGTTTTTTGTTCTAATATGCTAAAAGATTTACACAATTGCGCAATTTGACATTTTTTGTATGGATAGGAGTTTGAATTTTCGTACAGTATTAGTAATATTCATTTTGTATTAATTTCATTGCTTAAGATACATTTTAATGATTCATTTTTATGAATAAAAAGCATATTTCACTACATTTAAACGAATTTTTGTGTTTGTAAGGCATATCAATTGATCATTAGCCTTTAATAAATGTTATTAGATACCGTAGTTTGAGACATTGTTCAGATATTGATTTACATGTAAATTGCTTTTGTATTATTAAACTTAAAAAAAAAACCTGGTTATATTTTGATTCATCTTCACAAGATTTTTTCTAATGTTTTTTTTTTCCAAACAGTGTCTGTATAGTGATGTCAGCATGCACGAATGATGTCAACTAATTAGGGAAAATACAATCTAGCCTGCTTGTGTCTCAACTCGCTGCAATTAATGAATTATTGAAATAGATATTATATAATAACCTTTACTTTATTTAAGTTTGTCAGTTTGTGTACCTGTATTTCCAAATATGTGGCTTGTTGAACTTATTTCTGTTTCGCTTTCTTGTTGTCAGATGATTTAGTTCTGATTATTTTCAAATGTAATGGAAATTTTTTATCATGTTTGTATTTATTTTCATGTTCTCTTCAGTGGACTATCACTTTAAAATGCACTATTACTATGCCGAAAATGAAAGGTTAATCAGCAATATTAAAATCAAATTTCATATTCATACAAAAAAAAATATATATGTATAAGGAAGCAAAAATTGGTTCAGGATTTATATGTTAATCACAGCTACAGTAATGCAGACACAATTTATTAAATTTAATTATTTTTTTGGGGGGGGTCTATATAAATAATTCATAACTAACAGAATCAGTAAAATTACCTTTTATTAAATGTAATATATATATATCTCTATCTTCAGTAAATAGGTCAGTATTTACATAAAGAAAAAATTGAGACTGAAAAGTGTTATTTAGATAGCAATTTATTTGAAGATTAAAACATAGAAATTGTAGGTTACATTTTGTTATAAAAAAAATTGTAAAATTGATATTTTATTGACCAATATGTTGTTTGTTGAGAGTACTTTTGATTGTGGATGGTCTTTGCTGTGTATTTTTGTCCCCCGCCTTTCGAAGAAAGCAGGGGACTATTAAAATGGGTTCGTCCGTCTGTCTGTCTGTCCGTCACACTTTTTGGGACACAATAACTCTCTTCCTAATTGAGCTAGAATGTTCAAACTTGGTGTATGTGTTTATTAGGTCAATGCCTTGATGGAGTTCGAAGATGAGCATTTTCCGCTTAGGGTAAGCAGAGATAAGCAATTTGATTGGTTGATGCTTTGGGACACGATAACTCTCTTCCTAATTGGGCTAGAATGTTCAAACTTGGTGTATGTGTTGATTAGGTCAATGCCTTGTTCTAATTGGGCTAGAATGTTCAAACTTGGTGTAGGTGTTTATTAGGTCAATGCCTTGATGGAGTTCGAAGATGAGCATTTTCTGCTTAGGGTAAGCAGCGATAAGCAATTTGATTGGTTGATGCTTTGGGACACGATAACTTGAGTTCTAATTAAGTGAGAGTGATGAAACTTGGTGTATAGTTTTATTACATCAATACCTTGACTAAGTTCGATAATAAGCATTTTCTGCTTATGGGTAAGCAGAGCGATAAGCAATTTGATTGGGTGAGACTTTGGAACACATTAACTCTCCTTCTAATTGAGCTAGAATGTTCAAACTTGGTGTAGGTGTTTATTAGGTGAATGCCTTGATAGAGTTCGAAGATGAGCATTTTCTGCTAAGGGTAAGCAGAGATAAGCAATTTGATTGGTCGATGCTTTGGGACACGATAACTTTAGTTCTAATTAAGTGAGAGTGGGGACACTTAGTGTATAGGTTTATCTCATCAATACCTTGAGTAAGTTCCATTAAATAAGCATTTTCTGCTTATGGGTAAGCAGAGCGATAAGCAATTTGATTGGTCGAGACTTTGGAACACAACTCTCCTTCTAATTGAGGAAGAATGTTCATACTTGGTGTAGGCATTCATTAGGTGAATGTCTTGATGGAGTTCGATGATAAAGCTTGTCTGCTTACGGTCAGCAGAGATAAGCAATCTGATTGGTTGATAACTTTGGTTTTAATTAAGTGAGAGTGATGAAACTCTGAGTATAGATTCGTTATATCAATACCTTGACTAAGTTTGTTAATGAGAATTTTCTGCTTAGGCTAAGGATCGATAACTTTGATTCTATATGATAGAGAGTGATCAAACTTAGTGTATAGGTGATAATTTGTTTGATTGCTTGATACTTTTGAAAAAAAATAAATGTGCGATTAATGAATATGTGTCATCTATTTATTTTGGGATTTCGGCGGGGGACATCAGCCTCACTGTTGGCTTGTGGAATATTGTCCTATTGATAATTGTTGTAAGAGAAATATTACCAAGGCAGATGATGACATAATAAAGGGATATGTGTGAAAAATAGATACATTAAATGTGTGAAAAATAGACTAACATGTAAAAAAATTGTGTAATAAATAGACTAACATGTGAGAAAATTGTGTAATAAAATAATTGTCAGATATAGTGCATTGCATTTGGCATTATTTATTACATATTTTCAAACTTTCTACATCCTGGTATGTTTTAACACTAGTGGATATGTTAATAATGTAATTTATGCATATTCTGGAATTACATTATACCAGTAAACTGAAATATCTTATTAACCTTCCATATGGTTCAGTTAACTTCCCTAGTTTACTATGATCCAAATGAGTCGAAAGTCATTATATTGCCAATTCTTACATCAAACTTTTGGTCTGGAGCCAATGGATTGCTAAGTTTATCATGATTTTGTTATGAACACTTAGACCTATGTATATAATTAAACTAGCTTAGTAAGCAGATCTTGGAGAAGTCAAAGTTCCTCAAAAAAGAAACAGTATGAAAAAAATTGACATTAACAGAGAAAGATTAGAGTGCAATATTTACATGACATACTTGGTGACAGTAGTAGAAACCTTAATTATGATGTACTGTTTCTTTTATGTGTTGTGTACATACATGTATTTATTTCTAATGTCTAAAGTCGATATGCCAGCATATATTAGAGACTTTTATGTAATGTTTGTGGGGTATTATGTTGATATTTATTGTATTATGATGACTTGTGTAATGGTAACACATGTTATTAATGATGTTTTAAGGGGATAGGACTAGAAGTCATTTATATATCAACTGTCACAATTGTAAGACAGGCATTGTTTAGGTTTAGATCTGACCTTTTCTCACTATGTATCTTAAAGTGATCTTGCATAAATTTCAATTTGAAGAAGAAAACAGTTCACAAAGAAATTATGACAACTTAAATTTATTTTGATATTGTTTTGATGTACATGGATTAAGATAGTATTTGATTATTGTTACTTTAACAGTAGCATGCTGCACATGGATTACAAGAATGTTCTCAAAAGGAATTCCTCAGCTGTAAAGTCATTGACCTTAATTTAGGGGTTATGACCCTTCAAAGCTTGACCATTGATTTATTCTACAGGAGCTTGGTCTTATGGAAATTAAATTCATGGCCACTTAGTTTAGCTTTGAATGATAAATTTCTAGTTGTGAAGTTTAGCTTTGAATGATGAATTTCTAGTTGTGACGTTGAAGTGCTAGGGTGGTTCATGTCAACAGGAATGTTGAATTTAATTTAGTAAGAAGATTGTGTTGAACATGTAGACAAGTAGACATATAAACTAGACCTTGTTGTAATTATATAGGTAAGGAAGTGGTTAATATGTTGTTAAATTTATTAAATCAAGGTGTATTATCTAGTGTAGGTTTTGATTATATTGGCAGGTGCTAAACTAACAGTTTGTTTTATACTATATTGATAATGATTTAATTGTTGAAAATTCCATAAATGTTTTATGAGTTTAAAGTCTGAGTGCCATTTCTTTTGTATTGTAGCAATATTTCCTCCAAGGAAATACAATAACAAGCAATATACAAAAAATAAACTCCCAATTGTAATACACTCTGTAATATAGATTATATGCTCTAGTACAATAATATACACAAAGATATATTGTAATACAAATACCGGTTTCTTGATTGTGAATTCATACATTATAATTTTTACGCATATAATATGCATGCTAATAATTCTATATGAACAGATTTCTACAATTATTTTTGAATGTTTCTAAGTTCTTGTGAATACAGAAAATATGTTAATTGTATAAGGATGTTGAATTAAAGTTTATAATTTCTGGCATTTTTGCAAATCTTACTCTCATCTCCAGGAGATGATTTATATTTTTGGTCAACTTAATGTAAATGTGTTTTTAATTCGTTTATTATCCGTTTCTTGGCAAAGAAGCCTATAAATAAGAATAATTACACAATAACATTACTTCAAAAATGTGATAATTTCAAATGTTGGTTTCTTCTATAAATATCAATTTCTTTGTGATAGATATATATTATTCCATATCCAGGGTCTCACCAAATTATTGTTTAGTTACGGAAGGATTCCTTTTTTGGAAGAGACAAAAGAGCAGATCTGTTAAAGATACATAATATAATATGTTTCAAGATCTTTGATTTTTTGTGTAGTTTGGTATTTGGCTGGAACTTGAGTTATGTTGTATCAGAAATGAATGAAATTTTAATTTTTACCTCTTTGTATATTTCAGGTTGCCATAGTTCCATTTGATGGCAACTGACAAAAACATGGCAGCAGCAACACCAGATATGGTTGATGGGAGGCCCGCTGAATATGGCCTTACCCTTAAAGAGCTGCGGGAGCTGATGGAACATAGAGGAGCAGAGGGTTTACAGCTCATACAAACAAAATATAATGGGGTTTTAGATATGTGTAAAAAATTATATACTTCTCCTAATGAAGGTAAGAAAATAACTCATAAGCTATTTCATATTTTGTTTTTGTGTCAATTTTCACATTTCTATTAAATGGTTTTAGTTACCAAGAAATGTATGTAGGAAATATAAGAATAATAAATAGATCTGTTAATTATTGGTAGGTATGTATGAATCAGGTTTTATTCACAGTGATACATTAAAATCCAGATCAAATCTTGGTATATTCATTACTTAAAGGGACATGAAAATGTTGTTTTCTTGGGATCTGTTGAAAGAGATTAGATGACTTTTTGTCTAATGAATTTTGGTATTTACATAAGTCATCTCGACTTTTTAGAAAGTATGTTCTGTAGAACTTGGCACACTGCGAAACGTGTCTGATGGCATATAGGAAAGCCTGATAACTTCTATTCAAGGTGGAACATGGGTCTTTTCTTAAGATGCATATTAGCTTACTTACTTAGAATCCAGCGCTTACTTAGAATCCCCTTATTGAATAGCTTATTTCTCTATTATTATTTATTTGTCAGATAAATGAATATGGTTACCAATTATAAAAATGCCTGTGATTTGTAATTTTAACAATATTGTCATATTTATATACCGTACAGGAAAACCCCCAAATGATTTAGTTTGTCAATATGCTCCTTTATTTCTCATTGTAAGGATTATAATTATTTATTCCATTTTCCTTTTTCCATCTTGAATAATTATATGAGGAATAGGAAAAGAATTAATTTTCTGTCAAAACTTGTGTACGTTTTTCATGATAAATGTTTCTAAATGAGGTTATATTTGTGATGATAAAATATGTGGAATCTGTGATTGTTTGTGCCTAGGGATAATGGAATTGTATATTTTGTGTAATTTAATTTACAGACCAGTGTGCCTTCTGGTATTGTAAAATACTAAACAGATCATTTCCTCTCTGTGGTAAACTACACCAGTTTTCATGGTATTAATCAAATTATGTTATGACCGTATAATTTGATTATCTTGTGCATCAATATTTATGTTATTCTTAGGATGTCTGCTGTTATCAGATATTCATGCATAGCACATTTATTTGTTCTTGATGACTGTTATTATAAAATCTGTATAACCAGAGCTAGAAATTAAATCACATTTTTCAATTAATCAATTTGATCATGGTTTGGGGGTTTTAATTTTAGTATACAATATCTGTTGATAATTCTGCAGATGTGAGGCTTCAAAAGATTTTTTTTTTTTTTTTAAATTTGAAATGATTGTTCTGCTGGACAAGGAACCCTATAAAATTTGATTATTAAAGGATCATATAGAATGTGAAAAACAGTTTAGATGTAGTTTGTTCTGTGACAATGCACTTAGGACGATCAGATCTTAGTTATTATTTCTTAAAACACTGGAGAATTGACACTTAAAATCTCATTGACATAAAAATATGCAGCATTAAGATGTAGGTGTGTGTTAATGCACCCTTCAGCTTTCTATGACTAGCTTTTTTCCCTTATAAATCAATTATTTATAATGAGATATTTATGGGTGATCTTTTTCTGGGGTCGTGGAAATCGTGGAATCCGGCAACCAAAACAGAATTTGAAATCTCACACGGAAAAAGACGGAAAAGCCAATATTTGCTGATATTAAACAAAAACTAAAAACAATTTTGTATTTATCCAAGTATTTCATTTTTTATTCATAAAAATCGAAAATATTAAACGATATCATAATTGTACTCGAAACAAAAACTTGTCTTCCATTTATCCCTAATAATACAATTACTCTGTAGTTAAATTTAATAATGTACTGTATAATATATGTCTTAAAAGCTTTAGTTATTTTATAAAAGTAAAAATCGTTTCATTTACTTCTTTTTTTACTACTGGACTCTAGTTTATCCGCTTTCACCCTGTGACATCACAAATATGCCGTAGTCTTGTGAATCCAGCCTTTTTTCCCATAGAAACAGTAGTAACTACAGAGTTTTTCTGGATAAATTGCGATCACAACCAGCAACCGAGAAAAAGGTCTTTGTCTGCTAAAAAATGAAACGAGCTCACAAGGTGTAATTTTCTGTTATTTAATTCGGAAAACCAGTTTGAAGAATAACTAGTTATTCATAATTTAATATCTGTTATTGGTTTAAAATGATCAGTTTTGTAATAAAAGGCATTTTACAAAGTTTTATTCATATATTCATAAAATAGCATCTTATGTGGAAAAAACGGAATATTGTCAGCTCCGAAATGGAAAATAATGGAATTCAAAATACTTAAACATGCATTATGCAAGAGCTAAATCTGCCTATTGCAGGTCTTTCTTTACGCCTGAAATGTTTTCTAAAGTATTAATTAGACATTAATTAACTGATCCAGGCCTTAATCAACTCTTGATGGCATCAGATTTCTCTGATATTAAATAGATTAGAATGGTTCAGCGATACTTTGATTTAATCAAATATGGAGGACAGAGACTTAGCTTCGATCAACCAGTACGGTGGTTGAAATTATTGCACACGTCTGTCAAACCTTCAAAGGCTAATATCTTCGCTTGCAATAGAGTAATTTGAATGGAAGTTTCAAATTATTCATTTTACATCATCTACTTTCGAACATAGCAAGAATGGCTAGTTCTTTATCTAAATCTTACATAATGTATCTTTAATATGTAATTTGCCATTTTCTGAAATGGAAAATGATCACCCCTAGATATTGATAATGCAAGCTACTGGTTGATATAATACACAATTTTATCTATTACAGGTTTATCAGGAAATCCAGCTGATTTAGAACACAGGAGATTAATATTTGGTTCTAATGTTATACCTCCTAAAGCGCCAAAGTCATTTTTACAACTAGTGTGGGAAGCTTTGCAAGATGTAACTTTGATAATCTTAATGGTTGCTGCAATAATTTCATTAGGATTATCTTTTTATAAACCACCTCCAGATCCTGGTCAAGGTATGTGTACAGTTTTTCAAGCTTTAAAATACTGCCTTAATTGGTACTTTAAGTATTATAGTACAAATTGATATTACGCACCACATTCAGCTGGAGAAAATATAATTTATGTCTAATGTGAAATGAAGACTAGCTCTGCATTTTTCAAATTTGGCTCCAGACATGCATATAATTGAACATGGTGATGTCTGGTCGTTGGCCAAGTATAATATGATTGTCAGTAAGGTAGGTAGTTTAAGTAGGACTGGGAAAATATTTATCTGTGGGTAGAAATCAGACTTCTAGTTCGCTAGAAATAACCTCTACCAGTCTTGCTGTTTTATGAAGCAGAACAAATTAGAAGCATTTAGTTTGACAACAACAACAGTAGTACAAAAACACGTTTATCACAGTACAAATAACACTTTTCTTATTGGTGTTATTTTGCAAGCTGGTCTCAAGATCCTGGCAATAAAGATAGTAGAGCTGAGTCATCACGGTTAATGTTTGCCTCATCTAAATATTGTAATGCATAACAGACGATTCAACCAAATAACTGTCAAACAAAGAAAAATCATGAAATTTTAGGAAAACACCCACCTATTATTGTTATATTTCTCTTATGGTCTAGAATGTCCTAGCATCGAATATTAGCGTGGGCTGAGAGGAAAAGCTTGATATTTCAACTTTGCATATCCAGATGTACATGTTGTCATGCACTTTTTTAAAAAAAAACACTTGACAGTTGAAATTTGATGTCCGTGCAAAACTTCTCTGAGTGAAGTACTATTGTGTTGACTAGACATTAAATTCCCACATGACCTTGACTTTAGCTTAAATTAATTTTCTGTTAAGAGTTTAATACAGAACCATACCAAGAAGAGTTCTGACACTGACAGGGCAAATGTGTCTTGAATTTTATCCAAGCCAGATCTGGTACTGGTATGTTTTATTGGGTCTCCGTATAAATGATGTTAAAGTAATATTTTACACATTACCATAAAATAACCAAGTTTTGTTTCTGTAAAGATGATTGTCCACATCAGATCTTGATGATGTAATTCAACTAGAGAGTGGTGTAAAGTTCATATAACTATTAATTTGACCCAAAGAAAGCATTTGACTTATTGCCAAAATTTGTCATATTGGTTTGTGTCTGTGACTATTCTTAGAGTGTGTGTTAATTTTTTCCAGACCAGGTGTTTTCTCAATATAGTCAAACCTACAAATTTGAGTAATGGTTAAGTTGTCTTAGTGATGGATGGTTTATAAGCTGACTTGACGAGACACCTACTGGTATAACCAGTACATGTACAGTACATAAAATACATGTATTAAAGAACAACTTTCAAGCTCTTATGAATACGTTTATTAGACTAAGACAAGAGTTAAATGGGGATCCTTTAGTATAACTTTGTGTAGGACATCTTGGCATAAAAACACATTTTTCAGACCTACTGTACTAATTTAGGTTGTTCATGATATTATAAGAAAAACGCCTTTAAATGAAATGGATTAAACGTTCTACTGTTCTGCTCTGACTGGGTTAGGACGTTAAACCCCATTTCATTTCATTTCCGACTGGGTAAATGAAGACCGGCATACGCCATACATTGTGCTATGAGGTAAACTCTTGTTTTGAATTCAAACTGTCAAGGGATCTTTTACGTGCATACCAAGAAATATATGGGACCTGTTTCTAAGCCCTTCCTAATGACTAGACGTTGTTCCTTGCTGGGCCCTCCGTCCTACACCACTGTTAATTTGATTACTTGAAGTGTTGGTAAGGCCACAGTACTGGTACAAGAATTTTGTCAGTGAAACAGAAATTAGAAATCATTTTTTTCAAATGAATATTGTCTGGATTTCTACAAAATGATTTTTGTCACAACCTGGCTATAGTATTGTGATAATTTTTAAGAGGAAAATCAGTTATTGAATGATTTTATCTACAATGTTGTAGGTAACATGGACTAAAGTTTCATGCCAGTTAGCCTTACATTCCCTTTAAAATATAGATTACTGGTACATTTAAGTTCGAAATAGAGTGGTCTTGTTCAGGTTAAAAGCTGTAAAACAACTCTTTTTTATTTATTTGAGTATATTGTTAACTGCACAAGGAACTGTATATAACCAGGACACAATTTTTACTTTCATCATCTCTCCTATATAGTTAACAGTATTATCTTAATGATTATCAATATAAGAAATCTAAAAGTTATTAATGGTAAATAATTTTTAACATCAAAATCAAACCACCTCAGCAAGACAGTAGGAAATGAGAAATGATAAAACAGCATGTAACATGGACATTTTATAAAAAAAGTGGAAAAAGAGTATGAAAACTGCTTATTTATAGAAAAAATTTCACCAAAGAAGTCAGGAAATCAGTCTTCCAATCTAAAGGCAATTTCTTTTCTCACTGAAGAATTTGAATGTGGGGATGTATGTAAAATGTACATGAGTGTTTCCATTTAAAGGGACATTAGGTAAGATTAGATGAAGAGCTAACAATTCTCACTGTAATAGTTAAAAAAAAATTAGATAATTATAACAAAATATGCTGAAAATTTCATTCAAATCAAATTGCTTCACACTAAACCAAAATATTAGCGATTGAATTTTAAGCTAGCCTCGGTTGTCATTACTGACGATAACAAAATCTTGATTACATCTTGAGTATTTTCGTCATCTTCTTCCACCACCTTTCTTCTTTTATTTGCTGGCTCCTTTTCTACCATTTCATCCCATAACATGTCATCTTCTGTCCCATCCATAGCATTTGATATGCAGCATTTCTTAAAGGATTTAATAATGATTTCTGGATTGATCGACTTCCACGCCTCTAGTATCCAAGTGCATATAACGTTTAATTCGGGTTTTCGTCTGGCGCCCCCTTTCGTATACGAATGTTCATCGCCTGCCATCCAGTCGGACCACATCTGTCTAAGTTTTATTTTCATTGGTTTATTTATTGATACATCTAATGGTTGAAGCATACTGGTCATACCCCCAGGAATGATGACTAAGTCGGTAGAGTACTTCCTCTTGAGGTCTGTCTTCACCGAATCAGATCGATGACATCTAAAGGCATCCAATACAAGAAGGCCCTTCTTTTTTCTCAAAGCTCCAGGTCTCTTCCCCCATACATTTTCAAGCCAATCAGCTGTTAAATTATCGTCCATCCAACCCTTTTCCTGTGTCTTTACTATAATGCCCTTTGGAAATATCATGCTCTTAGGTAGGGTCTTTCTTTTAAATATGACGCAAGGTGGTAATTTTCCGCCATCTGCTGTACAGGCCAACATCACTGTGAATCTGTTCTTTTCGTTGCCGGTTGTTTTAATGTTGACTGTCTTCTCTCCTGTTTTGTGGATTGTTGTGTTACTTGGTAAATCAAATGTCAGTGGGGTCTGGTCTGCATTTCCTATCTGATCCAGGGTGTAATCATGCTTGGATCTTAGATTAATGATGAATTTTTGAAAACTGGTTAGTTTGTCATCAAAATCTTGTGGTAGTTTCTGTGATATATGTGTTCTTCTACGAATTGATAGGTCGTGTCGGTTCAGAAATCTGTACACCCAACTTGATGTTGCCTTGAAACTTGCATATTCGGCTTTGCCCTTTGCCAACAATATTGCCTTTAGTCTGACTTCTGTTGTCGAAACGGGCAAACCTTCTTGACGCCTCTCATTCACATAGTCTACCAATTCTCTCTCAATTTGAGGATAACATGCGGCGCTCCACCTATTCGCTTCTTTACTAGGTTTCATGTCGGTAAGTTTCCCCTTCATCGCCCTCCAACGTCTCACGTTTGACTCCCCCAAACTAAATTCACGACCCGCGGCCCTATTACCGTGTGCTTCAGCGTAACTAATTACCCTCAACTTCTCCTTAGCGGTATAAGCGGTTCGTCTCGTAGCCATTCTGAATAAATAATTTTTAAGAATGATGGAATGTTCACTGGTGTTTTATATACATCGGGGTGTTTTCTTTGAGCAAGACTGTCTTTTAGTAACAGTTTTAAGTTACCGACGGTTTTCATTCAACATGGATTCAGTGATTGGCCCATTGTTATAATTTACCGGTATAGTTAATTATCTACCAGTGAGTTGTTATCGTTTTCTTTATGAAGTCGTTTGTAGTTGACAAAATCATTGTTTCTTTGATTGGTATTAAAAATGCTATTGTATTATTTTACCGGTATAGTTAATTATCTACCAGTGAGTTGTTACCGTTTTCTTTATGAAGTTGTTTGTAGTTGACAAAATCATTGTTTTTTTGATTGGTATTAAAATGCTATTGTATTATTTTACTGATAGATCTAAATGGCTACAATCTAGGTATTGTCATGACGCGTGGAGTGGGCAACAGACGCTATCGTTTGATTGTCAGTTGTTTGCATAACTTGGAGTAAACTGGAATTGTTGTTTCTCTTTTACCGGTAGTCAGGATTTAAGTTGTGAGTAGCTGATCATGATATATTATTTCTACAGGTATTATTTAATTTGTTTATCATCAAAACCGATTCATTTATCACAGACAATTACTCACGAATTTAACACGATGTAATAGACGGCCATGTTTGTTGTGGGCGGGACTTGAATGACAATTTCACTACCGTACGAGCAACAGAATTACAGCTGAAAGTTATGCAATAATGCAATTGCGTGTTATAATTAATATAAACAAATGTAACAAAAGCAATTTATTTCATAAAGAAATATAATTATATAAAGCTTGATACGGCTAAATATCGGTAATTATTATAACTGTAAACAATAGAGTTTGACCTAGTTACTGGAGATCGCAGGTGGATTTGAGTCACATATGCTATGGCACGAGTTTCACACACGCTGGGAAAGGGTGCGCCTAAACCACGCATATTTTTTTTCCCTGAAACACCTCTGCCAAAGTCGCCCTGCGCCTTATCTACGCATGCGCCTTATACACCGAAAAATACGGTATCCATTTTGACGTTAAATTACCAATCACAAAATGTATTCAAATTTCAAATCCAGTAAATATCGCAGGCTAACGATGATTATGGTCTGGATAAGTTAATTAATGTCCAATTAAAAATTTAGATAACAGTTCACACTTTTCTGTACCAACCAGCATAATATTAGTAAAGACATATAAGTCATGTAGAACAACCAGCTTTTTGTTTAAATCTTACCATACCGGCAATAAATAACAATGTAAAACTTTTAATAATTTTGATTCAAAGCACATAATACGTGGACGGAATTACTCTGGGAATTTCGCCAAAAAAAAGTAATAGCCTACAGCTATTTGCACGTCATTCCATCAGCTGAATTTTTTTGAGAATATGTCTTTGCGCTTGGAAATCCACTTTGATAATTAAAAACTTATTTGTATTTAATGTATCTAAAAATGTACGTAACAAGACCTATTTTGGTAGTACACACGTAACATTTCAGCATCATCGGTCCTAAAAAACTGAAATCACTCGCATGTTTGGTTGTTAGTGTACATTTTGCCATAAATTGATCTAATAGTCGCAATATTGTTTATTGATGTCTTGAATTGTCGTAAATATCAAGCCATGTACCTGGAAAGCTTCGGTGAATTTTGCCCTATGTAACTTGTTATTGGACACAAAGTCAAGTACACATGGGTTGGCACACAGAAGTAACTGCTAATGAATATTTTCATCACCGGAATTTCAGTTACAAAATGGGATGCCCACATGTATTTTGCTCAAATTTACAAAAAAAAAATAAATGAAATGAAATTGTGGCTATTGCCCGTGGAAAGCCTTTTAATACTACTGACATAATCAAAAACACTATTTTTTAGATTAAAAGTTAAGTCTAATTTGATAATCTGTGAGTGATGCATTGAGAATTGCAAAATACTTTTTACAAAATGTGGGAAATTAGTGATGATATAGACAATTTTTCATTTAGACTTTTAAAGAAACACTTAAATCTAGCATATGTTATCTCTGCTGGGTGTTTTCTAAGTACCGGGTATACAAATAAAAAAAAACCCCAGGTAATACTAAATTTATAAATTTTATAAGGGGTTTGTTTGCTCAGTGTCGTAACCTGTGTACCAGTACTGTGGCCTTGCACATATATAGATTATTTTCCAATCCGATTGAAATCTGCTATGATTAAATTTGTTTGCCTTGATTAGAATGAGTGTTAGTCTTGGTTAGAAACATGAACCTGCTATCAAACATTTAATGTAAAACTATTTAGATAAAACCAGGTTGTATGTAGTATGGTTTCTTGTAACTTAACACTTTATCTAAAATAGAACATAGTATAGACAGGTGTCACATATTATCTACTCATTTATTCCAGTACATGTATTCTTTGAAGTTAACATTAAATTAGTTTTTCTTTCTGTGTTCTCTGGTTTCCTTCACTTAAACATGCATTATGCAAGAGCTAAATCTGCCTATTACAGGTCTTTCTTTAGGCCTGAAATGTTATATAAATTATTAATTAGACGTTTATTAACAAAACAAGACCATAATTAACTCTCGATGGCATCGGATACTCTAGATTTTAACTAGATTAGAAGGGTTCCCCATTTAAAAATTTAATTTAAAAATGGTAAGGCGAGGCTAAGCCTCGAATATACTTGTGCCCTGATTACCACAATGCACACATCTTGTCAAAACTACAAACAAGTGATAACTTGGCTCAGTATGAAGTAATTGGAATGAAAATTTCTAAATTTTACATGATCTATTTTTGAGCTATTATAGCAAGAATGGTCAGATCTTTATCTAAATCTTACATAATGTATCTTTAAAGAGAAATAAAGATTTAAATAAGTTGGTGTGTTCTAATAAGTGTACATTTTTTGTGTATGTTTCAGGTGATAATGAACCAGAGTATTATGAGGGAGCGGATGGTGACTCCAGTGTGGAAGAAGCTGCAGGCTGGATTGATGGTCTGGCTATTTTAGTGGCTGTAGCAGTAGTTGTTTTAGTGACTGCTTTTAATGATTGGAGTAAAGAAAAACAATTTAGAGGACTTCAAAATAAAATTGAATGTGAACACAAATTTCTAACAATTCGTGGAGGTGAAGTATTACAGATATCTGTAGGAGATTTAGTAGTTGGTGATATTTGTCAAGTTAAATATGGTAAGTCTCAAAATGGACTCCAGAAATGTGTGAGGAATTTGTGAAAATATTGTTTTTGTTACTTCCACTCAAAACTTAGCTGGTGTAGCAGGGGTAGTAGTCACATCAAATACTGATAAAACCAGTTTAATATTCTTAGTCATTATTTTGATGCTATTCAAATACATGGTGCATTTTCAGATCCAGAAATAGCAAATTTGTCAAGTTTTATATTTTCATTTATTTGTTGATTTCATGGAATTAATATTAGTAAACTTTGACATTTAATAACATACTACTAAAATATCAGTTTGTATAACCTAGCAAAACTATTCAAATTAGAATAATTATGAGAACACTAATTGCAGGCCACTTGACAGATGAGTCAAGTGAATAATATAAACTGTTGACGTAACAACTTATAACAAAATATACTTGGAACAGTTCCATATTCGATTAATAAACTCACACAGTAAACGATGTTAGATATATTTGATTATGCTGATTGCTTTTTCAAGCACTAAATATACAATCTACATCAATATAAGTTATTAATCAGTAAGCCATAGTGAATTTGTTGATCATAAAATTAGAACATATTTTTTATTAGCAGTAACAATAATATCTAGCTATAATAGAAAAATGTATATAGGGAAAAGACAATCAATATCTGTTATTATACACCACTCAATACAAAAAATATTGACTCTTACATAATTTAATTATCTCCCCTGATAATTGATTGTTCTTTTATGTCAGCATATTACAATGGCAGAGTTCAGTGAAAACGATCCTTCTTGATGTATTTTAGAACAGCATTTCATTTTGTTATTATGTACATATGTAATATCTTTACTAGGACAATTTATTCCTAATAAAGTATTTGTGTAATACATGTAGGCAGGGTGAATTGGCTAATGGTTAAAGTTTTAACTCCTGGTACATGTTGAGTCTTAAAAAAAGATTGTAACGGGGAAAGTAGAATTTTATATAGCTTGGCTACCTACCGGTTCACAAATTTAACATGGTTATTGTAATCTATAGATCAATTACTAAAAAGCTGGACTTTGCTTGACCAATAAGTTTTATTTTCTAATCAAAAAAAAAAAAAGAAAAAGGAAAAAAAAAATGATGCCTGCAAAAAAATTGATATCTTCCCACCAGACTCTTATGAAAATGGGGTCTTAATCTTGATACCAAGAGAGAATAAATAGACTGATTTATTAAGAACTAGTCCTCACATAGAAATACCATTACACTGTCTGTTCTACACTTAGGTCTATAATATTGATATATATCTCTGTTACATTATATAGTCCATTTATCAATATTACTTTTTCTCTTCAATTATTTAATAAAGAGCTAGGAATAGAAATGTAATTATTGATTTTGATGTAAAATCAGATGGTGAAATGATGAAATCTGTTAATAAAGGCGAAAGTTAATGAGTTACTAAAATGGATGTAATTGTTCTAAGTCAATGTAACGAAAATACATATTAATATGAATTAGTCTGTATTAGGTTAAATGGTTAATATACATATGGCTTACACATTTAATCATAATTACGTATTTCCCCAGTTATGAAACTTGTACTTAAATTTGACTTTTAATGTTTCAAAAAAGTATAACTGTAGTTAAAGTAGGATTGTCACATATAACCTTGGTCAAATGCGTATTTTATTGCTCTCCTCGGTCCTCTGTAATCCCTCTCCCAAACTATGTCAGAAGATATATTGCTCAGTCTTGGCACGTGTTATTCATGTTTATTTCTTATTTACTTCACATTAATAAGGCCACACAAAGAAAATATTCTGTCTGGTTCTCGAACAATCCTTTGTAAAAAAAATTGATGCGGAAGAGTGTTTTTTGTGATTTTGATTTTATTTTATCAAAATCTAGTTAGTTTTTCATTTTTAAGAAACACACAAAATTATAAATTTAATATTTATTTTACTCTTAATAAGAAAAAATAAGTAAAATTTTGAAATAACGGCCGAATAATTCTGTGCCTTAATCTAAATAAACTCCTGGGAAAATTATTTTCAAGTTCGCTAGTTTTTGTTTTGGCGACCATTACGTGGTATCGATACCATACTAATTGTTAAAGTCTGCACCCTCAATCTTCCCACGGAGAATAGTTTCGGTCATCTCTCTCACAGTTATCAGTTATAGTTCTAGGGAAAGCTACTTGGGCATTTTGATCGTAAAACAAATGACACATTGACAGCAAAATGTCTCCATCATTGTGAATTAACAATCGATTATCCAGTACCGTTCGTGTTCATCAATAGTGTTTCACATGGTTACGTACTTGATAGCTGAGTCTAGTGTTCAGTTCCTGTTTTCAAGAAACGCTTAATGAGTTACTTTCCTTGATCGCGGGAAATATGAACATGTGGAAATGGATAACTTTGTTTTTATTATTATTTCTTTTAAATAAAAACTTGTGACGTGGCCCAGTTATCTGAGAACCAGAATATTTTTTGTGTGTGACTGTTCGTCTGTACTGATCTCAATCACGATCACACAATATTTTAATCTGTTATCACTTTCCTTTGCAAGAATCGGTCACGTACATGGTCGCGATCACGCTATTTTAATAATTTTCCAACCCAAAGAAATATTCACTGGGCAACTTAATATACCTTACACACCAACAGTACAGTATACCCATCCGAATCCCTGGAGAGCTTTTTTCAGTTCCTCATGATTTTTTAGACGTGAAGGCCTCAGGTATGGAGTCAACATTGCGACAACAGTCTCTTGCTTCTTGGAGTTTAAGTCTGTCTGCGTCTATGATGGTGATATTGCATACAAAGTGACAATTGGCTTCTAATCCTTCTTTTATAGTCACATTTCAAATGTAGTCTTCTATATAAGTAATATTCATTGATAAATGGAATACCCAAATTATTTTCAAGCTCAGATTTTCATAGACCACACTTTCTGTTTTTCCCGTCTTCATTAGCCCAGTTGTTGCAGAAACGTCCATTTCCTTTCATTTCTGCGTGTTTGGAATTTCCTAATACACAGTTTATCAATAAAGTAAATATTAGTATGCAGAAGGTACATTAGCAGTTCGGATGTCGTGCATCAGAAATAATGCATCCAGTAGAATTAATTCTGATAAATCCAGATATTGAGTGTTCTATGGTCATTATTTAACCACTTGTCTTTCTTTTGATGCAACCCATGATTTTATTCGAATATCTGATGTTTGATAAAAATTTCCAAGAAATCTTGTTTGTAGCTAGAATGGATTGTAATACTGGTAGGCTTTGAAATGTGTATTGGCTGTCTCTTAATACAATCTTTCTATCAACATATTTTTGTAGTAAATGAATCAATCTTAATGTTGATGTATGTAAATAAAATCTTGTAAACTTTGTTAAAGTAAAAAGAGACATAGGCATACATTTTAGTACATTGTAAATGGCCTGATGGATCATTGAAGCATGATTTACAATTTGTTTCTCTAGCAAATGAAATAGGTTATAAATTTGGTGCCAATGAATTGAGAACAGTATAACCTGCAGTAGTTAGTTAATACAAAACTACTACAATAACATTCTCTCTCTCTCAATCACCTTCTCCCTCTTCCCTCCTTTTACATCATTTATCAACAGCAGTCTGAACTTTGATTTGAAAAGCCATATTAATGATTCTATTTCATTTCTCATTATGAAAACTATTAGTTTGTGGATATCATAAATGCCAAATGAAGGTTCAATGACCTATTATATTAATATATGCCGTTAGCTTGAGCAATACACTTTTGATGGCCTTAAACAGAAATATACTGAATGAAATATATTCATAGTTTGATTTATTGTAAATATCCAGTGTCCGATACAGTGAAAAATACTATACAAGATAAAAGGTCGTCAATTTGATAAATATGAATAGGATATTCCTCATTATCTGTCCAGATTCATTCATAATTTCAATTTTACGTAGACGACAATCTTTATACATTACCAGCTAAGTGAGTTTTGAAGACTAATATTGATAATATGACAGTCTGGGTGTTGATGACTGTCAAATACTCTTATAACCAGCATGAAAATACTCATTAATTTTGATAGATGTTTACACCTTAATTTACCAATGTCTGCCTAATGAACTAGCTTTATCACTTCTTTACAGTTGATTTCTAGATTAATATATATGTCAATCACAATGATGATCATTCAATCTTGTCCATTTGCAATCAAAGAAAGACTCTAAGCTTACAAACATCTGAAATATTTGATATAAGACTAAAGACAGAATATATTCCTTTTCAAAAGGCAAATATTGACTTTCAGGTCATATACAATAAAAATTAGTCTTGCTAAAAAGCATATTGATCCAAAAATAGTTAAAATTGATCAGTTTTAACATAAGTTAAAGCCATCTAAAGTTTAAAATTAGAAATCTAAAGTTTATATTACGGTACATAGTCAATTGATTTCACATCACAATCTTTATTGTAAGTGAACACCCGAAGGATGATTCATTTCTGTCTAGATGAACATTGATATAATTTGTACTGTATACACTATATGATAGACGTGTAGGATCAACCCTGTCTTGTAGCGCAGTAATGAAACTGTTTAAAATGTCAACAATGCGGAGGAGTTTGTCAAATTCATAATGTGTGTTTTCGTTTTTTTATTTTTTTCTTGCATGAAAATAATTTTGATTGTTGGCGGTATATTTGAGTGTAATTATAATGTGATATCTTGTATTTCTAGGTGATCTCTTACCAGCTGATGGTGTTGTGATACAAAGTAATGATCTTAAAGTGGACGAGAGTTCACTTACAGGAGAGTCAGACCATGTTAAAAAAGGCGAGGCCACTGATCCTCTCTTACTCTCAGGTATGTTAATCCTCACATAAAGTGATTATTCTGTATTTTAAAAAATCCAGTGAAAATAAAATCTTTTGATCAGCTGCAGAGGTCGCAGTGGATCAATTTGGAGTTGCGTAAAAATATGCAGACATTCAAAAATTTTGCGTTTCTACCCCTCTACATCTGCGTGATTTAGAGCCTCTCAAAATACTCAATATAAGCAAGTAAAATCGTTATGTGAACAACCCTATTTTAAGCGTCCTTATTTGATTAATACTGTATTTAATCTAATGACGACAGTAGGTTGAGGGCATGGGTATGGTTGACGGCATAGTCATTTCAATCTTTCATTTCGACAGGAAATCAAGAGCAAACTATTGCTATGAAAGCCAATATTTGATTAGCTGAATGTAAACAGTTTATCGTGTTCTAGCCAATCCAAAGTCTTGTATGAAATGAGCTTTATCGTTTCCAGTGCGGCAAAATAGGGGGTGTCTCAGAATAGCTGCATATAGAAGGCTTACTGTCATGAACTTAAAAGATTATAAACGAAATAAGAGGAAATATAAAAAACCTACAGAGACTACGTACAGTAGTGGTGTGTAAATGCCATGTGAAACACAGAAAGTGATGACGTAGTGTACAAACTACAACATAGAATAATCTAAATATTCTCACGTCGGGGAAATTTTCTGCGTGTAAATTACCCAGCGTCTGTCAATATTTGTGTCCATTTTGAAGAAAATGTGTGAAAAACGCTGATTTTTGTGTGACTGCGACCTCTGATCATCTGATTTAACCATTTTCATTAACACATAGATTTTGCTGGCGATTTAAATTGAAGTCAGCGCCCTCAATCCCCCCACGTAGAATACTTTCGATCATCTCTCTTACACTTCTCAGGAAAAATAGTTAGGTATTCTGATCGTAAAAATAACAGATTGACGCAAAGCAAAATGTTGCTATCATTGTGGAATAACAAATTGTCAATCGATTATCCAGTGCCGTCTGTGGTTGTCAATAGTGTTTCCCATGGTTACATACTTGATAGCCGTGTCTAGGGTTAACTCCCTATTTTCAAGAAATGCTTAATAGATTTACCTTCCTTGATCGCGGAGAAAATAGTTAGGCATTCTGATCGTAAAAAATAACAGATTGACACAAAGCAAAATGTCGCTATCATTGTGGAATAACAAATTGTCAATCGATTTTCCAGTGCCCTCCGTGGTTGTCAATAGTGTTTCCCATGGTTACGTACTTGATAGCTGTGTCTAGGGTTAACTCCCTATTTTCAAGAAATGCTTAATAGATTTACTTCCCTTGATCGCGGGAAATACGAACATGTGGAAATGGATAACTTTTTTTTTTTTTTAAATTTAAAACATTTGACGCAGCCCGTGTTTGATGAAACGGCGATATCTGAAAACCAGAATATTATTTTTTGTGTGGCCTAAAATTGAATAGATCTTAAGCCAACATCTCTTTTATTCTGACATTTTTACGAGTGTAACATAATAGGGAATTTGCCTGTAAATAGATGTTTAATAAAAAATCAATTACTCCACTAAAACAAAGTTATTTACATTGATTGGCAAGTTAGTTTATTTTTAGCCTAGTGTTAATATGTTAACGGTTGTGAGCTGAATGTTGGATCAGCTTATTATTGATTTCTATGCTTGACATTTATAAAATTTCTCCAACAGAAAACCCCCCAATTGTGTTTGAGCTGGGAGCTAGAACATAGACAAACTACTTGTTCTATTTACTTAAGATGAGCACCAAGGGATTGAAAAGGTCATGAAACACACAATATATTCAAATTAAAATTCCCACTAACCATGTTCTTCTAACTAATTAAACTTAATATCTTTTTATCTAAGAAAAACTGAAAGTAATTGGCATTTAAATATATTTTAAAGATTTTAGAAGCATTCTTTAACTATACAAGTTTATGCCTCAATGTATGCGTGTCATTATCTTACTCTGTGTTAACACTAAGATTTGTGTTTGATTTAAACAGTATTTATTAAAGATACATTATGGGAGATTTTTATAGAGAGTTGGCCATTCTTGCTATAACAGTTCAAAAGTAGATGATGAAAGAAGAATATATTGAAAAATTCAGTCAAATTACTTTATTCTGAACATAGTTATCATCGTTGTAATATTTGCCTAGAAATGGTAGCGAATTGTGTCTTCACCGTCGCTGATCGTTTGATTGACAGGCGTTAACTCCATCTACATATCTCGATTATCAAGTAAAGTTTTCAATGGCATACGGAAACGCTTTACAGCGGCCTCGCTAAGTACACTCTATCATTTAGCCTCGATCTAACAGACGTATTTTCATCAGGTTACCCCTTATCTGATTTAATCAATTAGTGAAATCCTATTTAAATCCGAGCTGTAGCCGAGCCATCCGTGGGTCTACAGAGTTGATTTTGGTCTTGTTGTTTAAATAAAGATCTAATTTATAATTTCTATAACATCTGAAGCCTAAATTAAGACTTGCAATAATCAGATTTAGCTCTTGTATAATGCATGTTTAACATATAATTATATACAATATACAATATCGTGATAAATTATGTGGATTTAGAAACCCTCTATAAAACTTATATTAATCCGTTTCCATTGCATAAAATATATAATAATTTACATAATAATAATGAGATAAGGATAAGTATAAAATCATGTCATCATCCTGTCTTTATAGTTACTGTGTTACCATCATTGCACAAATCATCTGGTTATATTGGATATAAAGTATTTAACTATAACAGAAGTAAAATTGCAATAGCAGAACACTGGATAAAATATCTTGATTTGTCATTGTCATTATTAACATAGATTACAGATAGCTGCACCCACACATCAATGAGAATACTGTCTTCTCTAATTTTATTTATAAAGTGGTCATTCAATGATTTCATTGTTGTAGATATTGCAATCCAAATTGCCTTGTGAGCAGTAGATAAATTTACATGAATACAAAATACCCATACTACTAATAAAAGAATAAAACCTAACAGAACAGATTTATATAGTATGATGGGTAGGACGTTTGCTCACTAATCTGTAGATCCTGTGTTCGATCCCCGCAAGTTCATCGGGATATTCAGGTGTGGTTCCCCCTTATCACTGATGTAGGACGAAGGGACTGGCAAGGGATAAAGTATAGGCGTACTGATGGGACGAAAAACCAAAGTCTTGTGTACACATTGGCGTGCACATAAGATATCCCTTGACGGAATTCAAAATAAGAATAGGCTGTAGTGCTGCTGTCTGGACAAAATGTCCCTCATAGCACACTGCATGGTGTGTGCCCATCTTCATTAGCTCAGTCGGAGCATAACAGTAGGACGTTAAACCCCATTTCATTTCGTTATATAGTATGGTGCCTAACATGGCAAAAAATTAATCAATAATAGCTAGGCTAGGCTGTGAATAATATAATTTTTTGGTATCAATTTTGTTGTTCATTTCCATTTTATTACCAGAATTGCTAGGCTGAAGAAAGTCAATAACATGCTTATAAAACATAATATGACCTGAAAATGATTTGATATTTTTCTGCCATGTTCTAACTACATGTTCTGTATTGATTCTGTACAACTTTGATTGGCCAACAAGCAGACGGCTATATATTTTCTTCTTGTAGACAATTTTAGCAACTAATCACAAATGTCGACAGTATGCAATGACTCACCCAACACTTCTGATAGATCAGTCTGACTAGCAATGGTCTTGCTTAAGAATATTACCAAATCTTAGCTAATTAATCGAGAAATGTTGGTTGATAGAGTGGTCTGATCTTATGAGTATTTTTTGGTCTGTCACTATGGTAGTTGTATGTCCCATCTTACAATTGATTTAGTTTTTTACTACTTTAAGAGCCATATTACTTACAAGCTAGTGAAATGGTTTTTTTCAAACTAGCCTTGGTTTTTGAGTGGTTGTGTCAATTGGTGTCCTATGATAAATAAAATGTTAACTGAATACTCAATTCTTACATTGACCTTTTTACCCCTGATCCAATCAATCAAGGGGGCAGTGTTAATTGAACAGTAGGGCAATGGCCTCTTGACTAGAATGCACCAGGTGTGGGCAAAAAAATATTTTTACTGTGCACAAATGTGAACCCGGGCTGTTAGAATTTGAAGAGGAGGGGTGTAAATGCATACTAAACTTATGCTGTCTGTCTACAATAAGCTCCGCTTGAGAACAGACACTAAGCTAGTTGACTGACAATTTAAGTCCTAAATCGACGATGTCAGTCAAAAACACAAAGTATATTTCAAGAATTTTGAGAAGTATATTTTCTGTTTTCATTTAATAAAATTGAAAAGGTTTAATTCGCCTTTTTGTGTATAACAGATGTGAACAGGAGTAGGAATGCATTACAAAACAATATATGGCTGCCATTTGAGGCAGAGATCTATTCTCCAAGTATGAAGTAGATTGATCTTTGTGTGTAGACTGAGGGTAAATGCTCACCCTACACAAGTTACAATAAAAATGAAATTTACCACATGTTAGTCTCAAAATGACCAAAATTCTACTTTTGATCCACCATGCCCGTTTATGTGGAGCTTTTATTCGTAATTTGGCCAATTCTTTTTGCATTTCTTGGCAAAAACCCTGGCAGCTTTTACATTACCTTGCTAAAATCACACTCAGAGTTTGAATATGTAGTACTAATAGTATTCAGAATGGATAGATATTATTTCTAAAATTACTTGGTGGCTAGCTCTCGCCCATCTCCAGATAGGAATATGATGTCACTGTTTGACCTGACATGTAGGATTTGTCTAGCCTCATTCTTCAAGTCCCTTCTTACAAATGGTGCTGAAACGCATTCTGGTACACAATTCATGTACCAATGGTAAAATGGTTATTTTGTCTTAAAAAGTGGATTTCAGAAGCCCATCTTTTCCCGGTAAGATCACAACACAAATGTTGATTTAAATTGACAAATAATTCAGGTTTTCAATGTCGAAGACTGTGGGCGATACTGAGTTAAAGTGTTTAAGTACAACACATGTATAGAACAAAACACAGAAATTAAACTTACAAAATTAAGTTAAGATATGTCCAGAAAGGCCAGATTATATAGTTTAGAATTGGGGGGCTTAGTTAAGTCAATTGTGTAATTGCTTCAATATACCAGTGAGTGATGGTGAATTACGTATATAGAAGGCTGTTACATAAGAGTAGTTTTTCAGGTCTATTTTAAATATAAAGACGATCTTGTACTATGAGGGACTGAATAAAATTCAACATGTAGACTGCTGTAGAGTTCCAGAAGTTGAACATCTGAGTTTGTTGAAAATGTAAGATTTCTTATTTTTCTTTTACAGGTACTCATGTTATGGAGGGTAGTGGAAAAATGTTGGTTACTGCTGTCGGTCCTAATTCTCAAACTGGTATCATCTTCGCTTTACTTGGTGCCTCACATGAAGAAGAAGAAAAAGAAAAGAAGAAGAAGAAGGAAAAGGGTCCTAATAATAGTGCTTCAGATACTGGTAAGTTTCCAGATTACCGTGACAAAGTTAAACATTTCTACACGCACACACGCTTTTATAAACACGCAGTAGGAGTAGGCTTACAGTTATAATCTTATGCAGCAAATGATTTCATTTTTTGAACTGTGTTCATTATATAGTCATTTGAAGGTATGCTATTATATTATCAAGAATATAATATAATTCATGATACACAGGTTTTTCATTTTGATGGCTTCATATTTAAATGAAATTTGCATATAATATGAAGTGAACTGGACTCATAATGCAAAACTAAGAATAAGAAGCAGCTTGACTGCATGCCTTGCATACAAGCCAGATGCACTGATTAATATCATAATCAAATTTTACATCATTTAATATACAATTAGATAGAAATAATACAAACTGTCACATGAAATAGGCTTACAATATTCATACTATGGGTTATTGGTGAAAATTGCATGATGATTTGCTGTGTGTGATAGAATTTCATATAAATGAATATTAACTGCATGGTTTTACTTTACATCAAAGTTTTGAGATATTTGTCAGAATAGAAATTTTGCAGGAATATCTATATCTAAGTAAGCTAATGACATATTTTGGTGTTAGGTTAACTTTGTTTATTTTAACAATAATTTAATGAAGATTTTCAAAATAATTATGTACTATATATTTATATTTATAACCAATCTCAATTGAATATTCAGATGATGATATGGAAGTATGCACAAGAAATGTCATTTAAAGATATTATTGAGAATAACTATATGATTATTATGTTATGCATGGTAAATGATGTGTTTTAGTGTAAAATAACCTATGAAACAAGTGTTTTCCGTGTGTTGTGGGTACACTGGGAAGTCAAGAGTGTGTCATATCTAAAACACTTTTGTGTGAAACAAACTGATTGTTTATTATATTACCCAAAAAGCTCATTAAATTTGAGAAAGTGCATCATTCATTCTGCACAATAAAACTTCAATTATTTTATTGTCACTTTAAGACGAATAGATGTCTTTTACTGTCATCTAACTTGAAGGAATATTTTGTTTTTATCTTGTCACTCACAAAGATCGGAAGAGTGTTCAACTTCTAGCTGTGAAAGGTAAAGTACCGGTAGTCAAACTATGCGCTGCTCAGAATATTTTCTCAGTTGTATGTGTCTAGTCGTACCTTGTGAAGTTCTTGTGTACATATATATATCTGAAGTCTGTAAACATCATATTCCCCCATCTTATTATCTTAGTTCTTCAACTATAGCACCATGGAAACACATAGTTCCCACAGCACTATCTTTTTAGTAGAAAAGATACATTGATTAGACATAAGATCTGCACAAATCATTTGATCTTTTGTTGTTTGGTTTTGTTTTTCTTTTATGGTAATCAAAATGTGCCTAGTTCAGCTGTGTAGTCAAATTGGGTAAAATAGTGATAATGCATCACATAAATGTGTAAATGAATTAAGTTGAATATCCTAAAATTCCTTTTAATCTTTCCTTTTATCTAAATACACTCTACTCGCTTTCAGTATAATTCACAGCGTTTCATCGTTTCACTCTTAATTGTAGCCAAATTTAGAATAGTCGAACCTGCTATACTGTACTGGATTAAAATAAGTACTGAAAAGGTCCATGGTGCTAAAAGTACTCTGACTATAACTATAAGTATGTTGTATATAATATTAATAGTTTGTTTCACACAAAGTGGTTACCCTGTGATGGTTGTATCCACTCTGGCTTTCATATACTAATCATCCTATATTTTTTTTTCTATCTCTAACCCGTCAGGTCCCAGACCAAACACCCTAGGACAGAATACACCATGTAAGTTTATTCATACCACTCTCCAAGTGTATGACTGTCTTGTATATATTACCGGTATATAAGATTGGGTAATGGGAAATCGTACAGTGTGTCTGTACTTGTATTGAATATTATGATTATTGTGTAATGTATGTACTGTAATACGCATTCATATTTTCAACAGTGCTGTAATTAATAATTTCATGAGTCCATCAAATGTGCTTGTTAGAAAATGAAATATCAAAATTTCATATGTTTTATTCATTAATATAATCTAGCAACATATTGTTGGCAATCATCTTGTTTACTAATGTAAGGAAATATCTTAGCAGGGAAACTGGCACGTATTGGGTTGATCATTAATACTAAAATAAATAGTATTAAATATATAAAAACTTAGGTCATTGATATGGGAATGATTGCATGTTTATTTATTTATCTAAGTTCTCCATAGAAAATCAGGCTATATCTATGATGTCTTAAGGATTAGAATATGAAATTTATATTTACTAAAAAAAACACCCATTGAGTTATAATTTGCTAAAGGATTTAACATTACATTTAGAAAAGAATGTATTCAGTGGTGCATCGAGATACTCCCAGGGTTCTACTTTAGTGTATAGAATATAGACCCTCCCCCCTTGACGCAAATGATATGAAATAGTAATATATTGAATGCCGTGAAAAAATTTACAAGGAATATTCAAAATCCATATTAAACAAAAAAAATGTTTCTCAATACCATGAAATCAATTTTCATTTTAATAAACTCTATTTTAAAATGCAGTACAACTTCAAAATTGACAATACACCTGTGGTTAGTCCAACCTATTCCCTTCATTGATACGCCACTGATTGTCTCGACTAGTCATACATGTATACAAATTATATTGCTATTCTATTTCTGGCATTTCTCTGGAGTTAACTTTTTAGTACCGTAGTCTGTACTTGTAGTTGAATTTTGTTAAGGTTTTCCCTTTTATATAGAATCAACCCTTTGGCATGCCTGGTTCTCAACTTTGTTATATAATTACTGATATACTTGTTACCTGAAGTAAATGATGTCTGCCTCCAAATCTCATCAAAATATTTGTTTAAACCAACATCAATTCTTGTCTGAAGAAAAAAAAAAATTATCTTATTTTCCATGAGCTTTTAATTTACTCATTACCAGTGTTTTCTTCTGCTTGAATTTAACATGTTTTCTAGACAAGTCTTAAAGACATTAGCCATTTTGGAAATGACTACAGGTAACAAGGGAGGTAATTTGAATGCTATCTACACATTTAATTTGAATGTTATTTTGAATTTTATTTTTTGTTTTTATTAGTGCTATCAAATGAAGCTGAAACTAAAGTGGGTATGTGAAATTCCTGAAATTATATACAGAGTTATATCTTTTTACCTGATAAACTTCTGTTGGGTTATTCAAAAAAAAAAACAACCACCCTTGAAAATTCTTCTCTTATTTCTTGTTCCGTTTTCTTCTGTCAACTCCCTCTTCAAACTCAGCTTTTCTCTTTGATTTTGTTTTTCATGTGGGTATTCATTGACAAACTTATTTTTGTCCTGTCATTTTTTAACATAGTAGTTTCGTATTGAAATGGCATGACAATATAAGATGTTTACTTTCATGTACATGTATGTGAATCCATATAACGTAAATGTAAGCATATTTTGTCTTACCTGTCCATTTGTCTGCTTGTCCATACTAATAATTACTAATTTTATGAACTCATTGAGTCCACACTTTTGATCTGATTTTGATGACACTTGATGGCTTCAAATTGGGGTTATGTATGAAATCTATTCTTGCTTGAATATTACATTGGGTAATAGAATAAGGTTGCCTTCTACACTTAAAAATAGAAATTCAGTAGGATATATTTTAATCACTTTTCAGCAAAGAGAATAAGCTTTACAATCAACTTGACTCTAATCTAAAATAAACACTGAAATTTGACAGAGAAAATTCTTGTATTTTTACAATTTACAGTTTACCCTAGAATGGATTTAGGAATCCATCTTGTTTTAAATTATATTTTTAGCACAGATTTACAGCACTCCCATTCAACTCTCCTTTATACATCTTCATGTCATTTTCTAAAACTTTCATTTTCTTTCGTTCATTGCTATCTTGGTAGTTGTTGTTTCTACGTCCTTGAATGTTTGTGTAATTGATTCAATTAGAGCACATAATTTTGTTGGCTTTTAATTTGTAAATGAATTTAGTCAATTTACCCTTTAAATTTTAATACAATTACGAAGCCAACAAGGTGCTGTGTTGTCTATATTTTAACTGAAAGTTCTCAAATAATTTTAATGTATTTTGTTTAATAACGTTTTAGATCATTCGTTGATGATTATTGCTTTAATTACATGTATTTAATTTGAATTATGTATCGGATTATGCAACAAACCTGAGATAATATTTTACGTAATGTCTCGGTTGTGTGGTATTACAGTTATGCAGTTGTTATATAATATTCTGTTTGAAGAAAGTAGAATCCAGTTTTTCTGTTAGTTCTGCATGATTTGATTGTCATTATTAATTTGTTTTTTAAAAAAAAAAGCCAGATAAAAAAAAAGAGAAAAGTTTGCTGTATACTTTTAGACAACTTCATGATGTGTAATATGGTAATTTTTTGCAGATATTGATAGTGTTGTATCTAAAACCAACACAGGCAACTCTCATGCAAATATCAACAAACATGATTTGAATAAGAATACACCTACTATACCTGAAGAAGTAGAAGCTAGTGCCAAGGAGGAGGAAGAAGAAAAGAAGAGTAGTAGTAGGAAAGAAAAATCTGTTCTTCAATCGAAACTTACTCGCTTAGCTATTCAAATTGGATATGCAGGTACATAAATCTCCAAACTATAGTGATATGTTAAATGTTTTATTTGAAGTAATTAAAGATACATTATGGGAGATTAGATAAAGAGCTGGCAGTTCCCACTGTAATAGTTAAAAACTAGATAATGTAAAGGGAATTCGCTGAAAATTTCAGTCAAATTGATCGACTCCGAAATAAGAATTTAGCGATTGACTTTTCGGCCTAGCCTCGATCATCATTACTAAAGTCGGTTCGATAAAATATATAGTCTCGATTATCCATTTCATGTTTAAATCATGAATGAAAGTTGAGCAGCAAATCGGATCCTAATCCAGTAAATATCGCAGGCTAGCAATGGCATCGACAGTTAATTATGGTCTGGATAAGTTAATTAATTTCTAATTAATAATTTAGGTAACATTTCAGGTCTAAAGAAAGACCTGAAATAGGCACATTTAGCTCTTGCATAATGTATGTTTAAGGGCCCTTACTTGCATTGAATTTTAGTACAGTCCTAAAAATTAAGTCTATCTAAGATATGTATGTTTCAAACCATTTAGGTTGTAATTTTGCAGGTGTTTGAGGTTGTAAACTGTGACAGACTACAGCTGTCTTAAACAGTCCATGAAATGTCTTATAGTTCACATTTGATGAATCGAATATATAAATCAGATAATGAAATTTATTTTATTGATTTTCAGGTACTGCCATTGCTGTTTTAACTGTTATTATACTTATTGTCAAATTCTCTGTTACTGAGTTTGTAATAAAGAAGGAAGAGTGGACGGCGGAGAAGACTGGAAGATATTTAGAATTATTTGTAAAATATTTTATTATTGGTGTAACTGTATTGGTCGTAGCTGTGCCAGAAGGTCTACCATTGGCTGTCACACTAGCTCTTGCCTATTCCGTTAAGGTAAGGTTTATAGATAAAAATTTTCATTCAAACACTGTGGGGGGTTGGGGTGGGGTGGCAGAATGGTTAGCACATGCACGCTGTATCATAAGGTCTGTCATTAAGTCAATTGGCATGGTTTTGATATCTGGGTTGTACGTCCAACCTCGTGGCTTTTCTCCAGGTCCTCTGGTTTCCTCCCACTGCTAAAGACCCCTACGCACAAGCAAATTATTGAAATAAAATTGAACCATATAAAGCAAGAGAGTAATATTTTTTAGTTATTTGAATATACAATCAAGAATATGGTTGCTACTTTTATAATTAAAACATAGGAAATGTCTCGATCTCTTGCTCACAGTTTCTGTATTGAAAATAACTGGCTTTATAATAAAACTTTTTGTTTTATGTACATTTAGAAAATGATGAAAGACAATAATTTGGTACGACATTTAGATGCTTGTGAAACTATGGGTAATGCTACAGCTATTTGTTCAGATAAAACTGGTACATTAACAACTAACAGAATGACATCTGTGAAAAGCTATATTGGAGGTAAGATTCAGTAAATAACATTTCATATCATTTATATAACATATCGCACTTAACATGTTGACAATTTTCTCTTGGTCTGAATATTCACTATAGACTGTGCAAATCACAATAATTAACTTATACTTGGTTATGAATTATTCTATAAATATGAAAGATTTTGGGCACAGATCGACCCATACAGCACTGAACTCTCTCATGACACATTTCAGTAGAATAATTAAGTTTTCTTTACACTGAAATATAGGTTTTCTTGTGACGTTTATAACCTGAATATATATCTTATTAAAACTTGTATATTGAATCATTACATTAGTCTGTATACCCAGCACTAGTATCTATACTTATATCTGATCAATTTATTATATAAAGTAATCCACACTTGTTCTTCAGGCAAATTTAGTACACCAGCACCAAGGTTTAATGAGCTTGAAAGTAAACTAGGCCAGTTGATTATAAGGTCTATTGCTATCAACAGTGGTTATACATCGAAAAATATGGTAAATATATTCTGGTACAAATTATAAAGCGATAATTTTATTAAAACTGATAAAAAAAAAAGAAACACTGATATAAGTTTTTGACATTCAGCATCTTGATAAATAGCCCTGCCCCCTCTCCACTACCTCAGTAGGTTGAGTACGTGGTTCTGTGTAACAGATTTACACTGATCATTCAATCTAATCAAGTATGCTCCATGACTCTTGTGTTGAAGTTAATCACTTGCACTACATTTTATGTGATTCATTTCGTGTTGTAAATGAGAATTATTCTCTAAATTGACCTATTTTAAAAAAATCAAAACAAAACTATGCAGGTGTACCCAATGTGTTTCGGTGTTTTGATTGTGGAAATGTGTCAGTTGTTTATATCAGTTTTATTTTGATATGTTTTAGCCACCCGATCAAGAAGGAGGACTACCTAAACAAGTGGGTAATAAAACAGAATGTGCGTTATTAGGTTTTGTTACGGAGATGGGACAGAGTTATGATAGTATTCGTAGTGAAGTACCAGAAGAAGTGTTAGTCAAGGTGTACACCTTTAACTCCAGTCGTAAATCCATGAGTACAGTAGTTAATATAGAAAATGGCTATCGAGTCTTCAGTAAAGGAGCTTCAGAAATTATTCTCAAGAAGTAAGTTCATTCATGTTTTACACAACTGTATTTCATTGTTTTGCGCTTACACAAAATTTCATAAATTAGAATAACTTTAGTAAGCTTGGAAGGACAAAGCCTCATATATTCAAGTAGAAATGAAAATTGTTGGTTTGATTGATTTGATGTATTCATTTAGTTTGCAAAGTGAGTGTCTGCCTAGAATTGATATTTAATGTCAGAAGATTGTGTCATGTAAAAATATGTTAATTTTTGATTCAATAGTCCACATTTTAAGCAAAAATGAATATAAACAAATTGAGCATACCCTTAAAATGGATTTACAAATTGAGCATCCCGTCACTGATTTATGTAATGGAGGTTGTTAATATATATTACCTACCTCCGGTAATGCTACCTGTGTCATTTTATTGTCCCTCGCCTTTCAAAGAAATGTACGGTTAATTGATATGTGTCGTTTATTTATTTTGGGATTGAAGCAAATGCTTGTTTGATATAAATCTGTATGTGACCTGAGATTAGATTAGCATTAAGCCAGATATAAAAGGTAAGTATAGATGTCTTGTTTTAACCATATATAGCTTATAATAATCTACTTTATTCTGTCAATAGGTGTGACTTCATCATGACTGCAGAGGGAAAACCAAAATCTTTTAATGTACGAGAACAAGAAAAGATGGTGCAAGAGGTCATTGAACCAATGGCTAGTGATGGTCTACGAACCATTTGTATAGCTTATAAAGATTATGTTAAAGGTATTTTATAATATTGATAATGATTATCTGGCTATTATTTATTACAAGCCTATAAACATAGTTCTTGGATTTGTTTTCGAATGAATGATTATTGGAACAGATCATAAGGACTGTTGTCTATTCAAGTCTTAGGTTTCTATCCAGGGTTTGTAAGTGTCAAGGAGAGGAGTCGCAACCCAGACTTTGTGTTCGGGGGTGGGGGGGGACGTACTTTGCTTGCATCCGTCTTTTACAGACCTCAATTTATTTAATCAAGATGCACCATTTTGGTTCCAAAATGACCATGTTGATATTGAGTGAATGTTAGACCCTATTTCTCTCTCTGTGTTTTCTAGCCTATCTATGACACAGATTTTGTTGTAACATTGATATGTTGTATGTAATAGAAGCTTGTGTAGATCTACCTGATAATCCTTCACATACAACTAATAGTGATTATTGTATATAATAGTTTCTACTGATTTTATTCTATAGGAAATGCTGAAATGAATGAAGTTAATTATGATGCTGATCCAGATTGGGAAGATGAGAATCATATTATAGCAGGATTAACCTGTCTTTGTGTTATTGGTATTGAAGATCCAGTAAGAGATGAGGTAATACTTGTTTTTCAGTAGGAATTTTATTTGATTTAATGTTTAAGTGGATAAGATGCTGGTTAATTGGGATTTTTTGGCGTGGTGCAGAACAGAGGGCCTGACAAGGACAGCTGTCTAGTCATTTGGATGGGATGAAAGGTCCCATGTACACATTGGCGTGCACGTAAAAGATCCATTGGCAAATGGAATTTGATAGAAGAATAGGCTTTAGCGCCACTGTCTGGGCAAAATTTCCCTCATAGCACACTATATGGCGTATGCCCGTCTTCATTAGCCCAGTCGGAGCAGAGCAGTAGAACATTAAACCCCATTTTTGATTTAAAATGGTAGTACTCTTCAGATGCTTTCTGTTACATTGATAAGTTTTTCCAGTGTTATGGACACTTACACTTAGTGGCATGACACATTTTACTTAGAAATGCAACTGTTATGATACACAATACATGTATAACACTGTTAAAGCTGTAGCCTGGCAAAATTCCCAACAATTATTTTATTCCCAAAATAACTGAAATTTTGTGTTTTACACATTGGGCTTCAGGTACTTTTTATTAATTTTTATTAATTAATTCACACATTTTTAGTTAGACATGTAATTCTGCAATGTTTGAATCATAACAGTGGCTTGTGGTCTAAGGGGAGGCAACTCTTCAAAATATAAGAATGACTCGGATGACTGTATTATCTATGCTTGAAATAAATACTGAGAAAAGTACTAACCTACAGATCTGAGTTAATTATAGTAAGTAGGTACACCTGTTGATTTGAAAATCATTATCATCTTGGCATATTTCGTTTCTTATTAAAGGTACCACAAGCTATTAAGAAATGTAAGGCAGCTGGTATTTGTGTACGAATGGTAACAGGTGATAATGTAAACACAGCTAGGTCTATTGCTACCAAATGTGGTATATTAAAACCTGGTGAAGATTTCTTGGTTTTAGAAGGAAAAGAATTTAACCGTTTGATCCGAGATCCATCATCAGGCGAAGTATGGCTATATGGAATTATAATAATAATTTAATACATTTGTAAAGCACACACACTCGAGCTCGTGTAACTACTCGGTGGTTTTACAATGACATTAATGCCTGTAAAATATAAAAATCAATAGGGAACATCAACATAAATTGTACAAAAATGAATTTATATATTACATATTGAGTTTGAAAAGGCAACATAAGACATTTAGAAAGAATTATTTTAAAAATTGTACACCTGTTGATAGGTGAGAAGAGTTTTAATTGTTGCCAGTGACAGTAGAATAGGGCTAGAATGATAAACAACTGTTGATAGTACACAACTGAAATACACTAATATTAATGTTTTATTGAATTTGTAGGTACGACAAGAGTTATTAGATGATGTATGGCCCAGATTACGTGTATTAGCCCGATCATCTCCCCAGGATAAATACATACTAGTAAAAGGAATTATTGACAGTAAAATAACATCTAATAGAGAGGTAGTTGCTGTTACTGGTGATGGTACTAATGATGGACCTGCTCTGAAAAAAGCTGATGTTGGATTTGCTATGGTATGTATTTGTTGAAACTTTGATTATCTGTGTATATTTTGGATTGATCCGGATTATGGTCTTTAAAATCCACCTGTTTGTTCAATCTGTTTGATTGCTAAAGGTTATTCTCACTTCTCACTGGTGAAAGAATCACTCTCAGCTGGAAAATGTTTCTTTCAATAGATCACATAATCACATAATCTTCGGCTGTGGAAACATCCCAAAATATTAAATGAGAACATATCAAAATAAGTCATGCTATCAAGATTCTAATTTTTGTTCTGTGACAATTTTTTATTATATAAAGTCAATGTGTAATTTTATTGTGAAAAGAGAATCCATATATATTTATTTTTGTTCTCCCTTGTCAGTGATGCAGGACGGAGGGCCTGACAAGGACAGCTTTCTAGTCGTTCAGATGGGACAAAAAAAACGAGGCCCTGTGTACACATTGGCATGCACGTAAAAGATCCCTTGACAGTTGGAATTCGATATAAGAGTAGGCCGTAGTGCCACTGTTCGGGCAAAATTTCCCTCATAGCACACTGTATGGCATATGCCATTCTTCGGAGCAAAACAGTTGGACATTAAACCCCATTTCATTTCATTTCATATATTTATTTAGATATTCTGTTATTATTTTGGTTTGTATTTTAACAGGGTATATCTGGAACAGATGTGGCTAAAGAAGCATCGGATATTATTTTAACTGATGATAACTTTACTAGTATTGTTAAAGCTGTAATGTGGGGAAGAAATGTCTACGACAGTATTGCTAAATTCTTACAGTTTCAGTTAACGGTCAATGTAGTAGCTGTATTGGTTGCATTCTTCGGTGCTTGTATTATTAATGTAAGTCTAGATTTTAATCATACTCATGTATTTTATATCACAGTCTGTTTCTTTTTGTCTTTAATGGGGGGCCACTATTTTTAGTTTTAAATAAACATCGCCGTGTAACCATGAAGGAAGATGATGAAGAATAAATGTGCACAATAATTCCTGACAATACTGTTAATGACTAGATATCTGTATAGTTTATCCAACAGATTGCTACTGATAAGAAATTAGACTGTTTGGGACAAATAATCCTTGCTGTTTGCAAGCCTTTATAAAACCACCTGTAACTTAAATATGAATTCAAAGATTGACCATAAAATGGTTGCACAATCAAATATTTACAACTTGGGTTAATGAATCTGGTAATTGGTAGTTTGAAGGGAAGTGTGTAATAAGTAATGAAAGAAATGTTTTAATTTTAACAGGACAGCCCTCTGAAAGCTATTCAGATGTTATGGGTAAACTTAATTATGGATACCCTAGCTTCTCTTGCCCTGGCTACTGAACTCCCAAGTGCAGAACTGTTGGAAAGAAAACCATATGGTCGTACCACAGCTCTCATATCTAGTACAATGTGGAAAAATATTTTAGGTGGTGCCATATATCAACTTGTTGTTATCTTTGTTTTGTTGTTTGCTGGTAAGTAAAATAAAAAGAAATCTTTTGTCTTTCTAACTTGACCCTTGGATTGGCCAGAACATAGAATCCAGAAAAATTAACAGAACAAAGCTCCATATTATAGAAGACAAAAACAGTGTTCTTTTACCGAAGCCTTTGGGTGGGAAATAAATATAAAGTCATCTGAAGATAGATATGCTTGAATCTCCAATATATTTATTTATTTTATTAAATGGGCATAATGGGAGATTAGATAAAGAGCTGGCTGTTCTCACTATAATAGTTAAAAATTAGATAACGTAAATAAAATATGCTGAAAATTTCAAATTGCTCCACTCTGAACCGAGATATTAGATTTTGAATTTTAGGCTAGCCTCGATCATTGTTACTAAATTCTCGATTATCTATTTTTATTTTTATTTTTTTTTCAAAAAATGTATTCTAGTCCGCTAAATATATCGCAGGCTAGCGATGGCATCAAAAGTTGATTATGGGCTGGATAAGTTAATTAATGTCTAAGTAATAATTTAGATAACATTTCAGGCCTAAAGAAAGAACTGCAATAGGCAGATTTAGCTCTTGCATAACTACATATTTTAACCTGTATCTCAAAAAAGAGTCTAATTTAGTCACAGTCAAATATATAGTTATTTGAAAAGCCATATTTGCTACTCTACCATCAATTTTGTAGCCATACTTTAAGTTGTCTGGCAATTAACTGGTGAATTGTTAAGTAAAATCATTTAATGTTTCTGAAAATTTCAATATTTTCATTATTTGCTTCTATCAGATCTAGTTCTTGAAATAAAATGTAAACAATGTGTTATTTATATTTTATTTAGGTCCTGAATTATTTCAAATTGATGATGGAAAAATCAACACATCTGTTCATGCTCCATCAACACAACATTTTACCATTATTTTTAACTCTTTTGTTATGATGACATTATTTAATGAAGTTAATGCAAGAAAAATACATGGTCAACGTAATGTTGTAATAGGACTACAACGTAATCCAGTATTTGTTGTAATATGGATAGGAACAATGATATCTCAGGTTTGTTACAGTAATGGACATAAACTAAGTGCAATAGGATTCATTGATATCACTATTTGTTATGGAACTGACAGAAACAATGAAATGACAGTATTTGTAATATAGAAAGGATCTATGCTTGATGTAAGCATTGTTCCCTGTGATCTATTTATATATTAAGGAACAATGTATAACTCTTGGCCTATAGCATTATATAATCAGTGATAAACATACTTGTCAAATAATGCTGAAGATATTTAGTATGGAGAATTTGCTATGACACTGATTTCTCTGTTTATATTTCTTGTAGATTATTATAGTACAGTTTGGTGGTATTGCCTTCCATACTAAAGGATTAACATTAGAACAATGGTTTTGGTGTATATTCTTAGGTGTAGGAACACTGCTGTGGGCTCAGGTAGGATTGATTTTCTTCTATCGGGGTAAAAAATGAAGGATAGAATGAGATGGGTGAAATGAATTTTGTTTTATATATATATAATATATATATAATTGGAATTAAAGATGGCAAAATTAAACTACATTTTGATGCTAACGTTTTCACCGCGATATATATATATATGATGTACTGTAAATGTTACCCAAAAGTATTTGTGTTTACCGTAAAGGATGATGTCCAATAAGCGCAACAATGACATTTTCAAGTTAATGTTCTCAATGGCAGCCAGTTATGACAACTACAAGGATAATATCGTAATTTCATTATGTCGTCATATGAAACAGAAATATGTTTTGAAACTAATGAAGAAAATTTGAAGAGATTAAAAATGTCACCAGTAATTTAACTTAACTACAGTATAATTCTTCATTCTTATTAGTTTTCATTTCTTATTGGAACAAACTATTATTGACTAATGTGATTGGCTAAAAACACATTCATGTAAACACATTGAATAGTCTGTAATTGAGCTGAGCTTTAGTGCTCCCCTTCAGTGTTAAAACTATGGTAAAAATTTTGATGGACATTGATAAATTTAAAAAGAGATGAGCTAAAAATAAAAGATGAAGTATAACATGGTAAGAATTATAGTCAATATTAAATGATTACAGATAGTAACATGTATACCAACACATAGACTGCCTGTTATTAAATGTCCATGTATGAAAGATGAAGAAGAACATCATCATGAAGATTTGATAGATGGAGATATTGCTAATGATGATCGCCGTGGACAAATATTATGGGTTAGAGGTCTGACACGTCTGCAACAGCAGGTAAGCTTTTCTCCCCTTTGTTTTCTCCTTGTCTTCAGTCAGAAACAAAACAAAGATGTTTTCTTGGCAAATATATTAAAAACATTATGTCTATTTAGTTGATTTGGCAGATCTTGTCTTTGAAAGAGCGCAATTGTTTATGACTAAAGGGAACTAGTAAGTTAAGTGTATTATGTCAGATTACATATTGCGGCTTATATTTTCTACATGTCTTATATTATGTATAATATATATATAAAAATATATCTATAGATGTTGTTTCTATATCATATATATTCGATTTTATTTTTGGGCCTTTTTTTCGGTGATTAAAAAAAAAATATTCCAATTTCTGTTGATGGTCTATAGACTTCCACTATCAACTTGATTTGTAGAAACTTATTTAGTATGTGCTTCCTTCGCTGTTTTGTTTTGGTTTTATTTCTGAAGTTTATTTGCAGATTGGGTTCAATATTTCAAATATTACTGCTGGCATGACAAGTTCATATAATTATTATGATTCATAAAACATACAGAAGTGACTCTTTTCCAGTTTTTAATTCTAATTTTCAATAGATTAGACTGTCATAAATTGGTTAACATAATGTTACTGGTAAATTGTTCAGTTTTCATAGCTTTGTGCTTAAAGTGACACTCTCTCTAAACAAAACAATTCCTTGATTTAGTCATCGAGGAAATATTTTTGTCAGTTGAATTCAGAGATGCATTTGATTAAATGTTGTTTAAAGTTGAAGGATTTTGAATTTTTGATTTTCAATTCCGGAGACTGACACTTTAAATGAATGTACATTTATTTGCAATATTTGACCAGTGACATTTTGTATAACTTAATTTATGTTACAGTAGTTAAGCATGGTAGTTTAAATAAATTACAACAAAAATTTTACAAAGAAAACGTTTACGGCATGAATATCATCTACAAAATAATATTTTCTCTTTTTTGGCTAAACTGTGTGATCATTATATTAACTAATCCAGTAGATGTCCAAATGAATTATTTTTCTTCTTCTTTGTGTTTATTTTCTGTGTGTGAAAATGTAGATGAAGCCGTATTATATAGAACACTAACATTTTGCTACTTTCATTCAAAAGTTATATCCTTTAAAAAAATGTCATAGAAAATGAACATGTATTGTATTTCAGACAAAGTCTTCACTTTAAATATTTGTTATGAGTTTCTTTCAGAAATCAATGTCCACGTTTGTTCATTGTAAACTGTATTAGGTTATTAGATTGGGCGTTTATAATGCCATACAATATATATATCTTCCATCTTCAGCTGCGGGTGGTAAGGGCTTTTAAAAGTACATTGGAAGATTTAGAAGACAAGAGAAGTGTTCACAGTTTTCACAGTTTACACAGTATCCGGAGTTCGCGGAGTCACCATGGTCCGCGGAATATCGGGGAGGACGGAAATGCCTTCTCCAACCATGATAGATTTTTGCGTACCTCAGTTTCGGAACAAACTTCACCTCATTCTCCAGAATATCATATAGCACCAACAGACATTGTATTTAGAATTAAAAGTCAGTCGTATGAAAATGTTCCCCTTGTCACCAAACAGCCATCCCCTGTCATGGCTCAAACAAATAAGGCTCACAAGTCATCTCCACAAAAAACTCTTAGTCACTCTGATATATCGTCATCTAGTCACACGGAAACTGCCATTTAAAACCTTTTCTTTATTAACTGTTTTTATTGTTATAAACTTGTTATTGTGAAATTGATATCTTCCCAGTACATGAGTGGAATAAAAGCTCTATATTATATGTTGAAGGGTTTAAAGAGAAAGTGTTTTATATCTATATAATATGTATATATTATAATATAGAATTGTCGAATATTTCATTGACGTTCCTGAGGACGAATATATGGACAATGTTGTTATAGTTTTTGAATTGTTTCCCAAGTGGTATTTTTGATTAAACTGAATAGATGTCTTTATGAACATTGGTAGTAGATACTTTATGATTTTCAACAAGGGTTCCCAACCAGGGGTAAATTTTAATAACCCAGGGGGTAAATTTACTAAAGAAAAAAAAAGAAAGAAAAAATGTGTTATTGTTATGACTTGAAATAATATTGTTTAAAAAAAAAACTAGTATTTTAAAATTTGCCCTTAGTCTGTTATTTTAATATGGTTAACAAAAGATGCAGGAAGGAAAATTTATTTTCAAAAACTTGCTAACAGGACAGAAAAGGTTGGGAATCCCTGATTCTGAACATCAAATTAGGTTAAATAGTAATTGTTGCCATCTCCCATCCCCAAGCATTTTAAAGAATCAAAAATTTAAACAACATTTATATATGTGAACATTTTGAGCAGAATAATTAGCTAAGAAATTATGTATCTTAAGATTTGGAAAAAGATATTGAAAAAGGGGGAATGGAATTAAATGTTAAGTATCAACAATTCTAGGTTAATTGATAATCTGTGATGTTTTGTATAGTAAGTAAGTATATGTGTGTATGATACCATGTAATGAGTGTGTGTAAATGTAGGTTAATAATGTTTGTATTTATATATAAAATGAGTGTGTTAATTATATACTAGATAGTGTTCAATATATGCAAGGAGAAAATATAGTTTCTACATGTAGTTTCATACATGTACATAAATAGTAGCACTTATATAAAATCATTTTGTAAGAAACTTTTTAGATAATAATGGGTTAAATTTCATAGTTCGGGTGCTAAATATTGGGTAAAAACTTATTAAAATATCCTATGAAATATAGTGTTTCTGGTTAGGAAAACAATCACTTTGTGATAGTTGTCAAAAGTTTGTGTCTTACTTTCTAAATCCTTTGAACCCAAAATTCTGATATTATGGGGGTCATTTTTGCACCTACATTGACCAAATTATTGATTGAAGAACAGGCAAAACCATATGTTTATAGGGTTCCGCTTATTATTACAAAGAGTACCTAGGTGACAAGAATAATTAACTTTAGACAGCCTGAATATGAAGTATCACAAGTGATTAAGTGAATAGAATTCACTGAATGTAATTGAGAATCGAATTCTGTATAGTTTTTGTAAATTAAGATTATTTTGTGCGGCAGCTGCTTTAAAAATCCTAAATTTGACCATTCTGTGTAGTTTAAAGTCAATTTGTCAAAACTGTTGAAATTTAATTTGAAGTAGACGTTTACTGATCAGGATATTCGAAAGGATTTAAATAAATTATTAGATCTACATATACCACATACGTTTAGGGTAATATCGATCCATTGGGCTTTAATTAAGAGTATAACATGCTTTTCCTGGTTACTCCCCCCTTAGGATTGTTGTTGATTAGATAGTCAATACGATCCCCACAAGAACAGTCACATATGCTTCCTTTATTGTGGCTTCCTCGTGCATCTCAATGATGTCATCACATAGTTAAATATATATATATATGTAAATAGTGTATCACATTTTTTTTTTTTTTTTTTTGTTAGTGGTAATATTACGTTTGGAATGATCATGTCCAGTATATTTATTTTAAGGGTGTGGTAAATGGCCAAAACATCTTTTAAATTTTAAAGTAGAATTTAAAAATGGTACCATCAAAAATTAAGAAAAATCCTGCGACACATTTGTATCATGAGATCTGCTGTAGATCTGATAATTACAGTATGGTCATTTGAGTTTTTTTTTTAATCCCATGCAAATTATAATATTCTGAAAGGTGAATCTCTGAAATGAATATTAGTCCATTCAGTAATTACAAAGATATGGTGAATTGAAAACTTGTTAACACTCGGCTTCATAGACAAACAATGTGAAAAGGATAATCTGTTGAAAACCAGCCAGTGCCACCTATAATCTTTGCTGTTATATTTTTTCGATGGACCTCCATGTAATCTGATTGAATCCAAGCTGAGAGATTATCTATCATTGATATTTTGATTTTGTTTTCTTAAACATGCATTATGCAAGAGCTAAATCTGCCTATTGCAGGTCTTTCTTTAGGCCTGAAATGTTTTCTAAAGCATTAATTAACTGATCCAGGCCTTAATCAACTCTCGATGGCATCAGATTTCTCCGATATTAAATAGATTAGAATGGTTCAGCGATACTTTGATTTAATCAAATATGGAGGACCGAGACTTAGCTTCAATCAACCAGTACGGTGATTGAAATTATTGCACACGTCTGTCAAACCTTCAAAGGCTAATATCTTCGCTTGCAATAGAGTAATCTGAATGAAATTTTCAAATTATTCATTTTACATCATCTACTTTCGAACTATTATAGCAAGAATGGCTAGTTCTTTATCTAAATCTTACATAATGTATCTTTAAACAAATGTTGAATAAACAATTTGAGTACGTTTAATGTGGATTAAGCTTCGAAAAATTAGATATTATCTGAAAATTGTAAATGATGATCAGCAGATGTAACCTTTGTCATTTGATAAAGGAGATATATATGATGTATATAAACACCTGAACCAACCAACTACTACCTGTGGTTTCTGGTTGATCTTCACCACCGTTTAACTGAATGGACCGTACTAAATGATAAATAGAAATCTGGATACCAAACTTGAAAAGACATTTTCCACATCTGTCTACGTGTTTTGTATTCTGTTAGTTATGTGTATATAAATTAATGTGTATATTTTACCCAGTGCTAAAAAGTAAAAATCATTTAATGAAAGACTATTAGATTTTGTAATCAAGATCAACCAAATTTACGTCCATTTTGTTCATGTTTTATTGTTGTTCCTTTTTATTGAGTTTTTGTGTTCTTTTATTTTATCTTTTAGTTTTGTTTTGTTTTTTTTATTCTTTTTTTTTTTTAGAAATCTAACCAAAGCCAGAAACCTAATACATGTCTGATTGTGCTAATTAATTTTTTCTCAATATTTTTTTCTTTTCTGTTTGTTTTCAGATACGTGTAGTAAACGCTTTCCGCATGAGCATAGATTCCCGTTATGACAGTCGTAGTTTATCTTCAGTCCATAGCCTTCACTCTCTGCAAAGCTATCGAGCTAAAAAATATGCAGTTTCATCTTCCTTTGTTCAAGATTCCAATGATGGTGCTGTTCATATAAACAAAGAAAACTCAGAAACACCTCTCTAATTTATTTAAATTAAATAATCTCTGATTAGCCAAACGATGTAACTTTTTTCATGATAAGCCAATAAGTGCATGACTTACGATAATGCATGACCATGTATCAGTGATTTTCATTGGTTTATAGGATTATCTTGTGACATGGACTAAGACTGTTGTTTTTAACCCCCTTTAATGTACATTTATATAGTGTGAAATAGGTCTAGTTTTAAATATATGGCTGTTATCACTAGCTTGCTTCAACAGATTGCTGCCTTTTTCTTTTGATGAAGTGGTTGTATTCAATACACTGCATGCTATCAATTCATTATGATGATTTCACATGGTACTGCTGTAATTACTTCACATGGTAGATTACTTTTATAACGCTCATACACTCCACATATTAATCACTTTAAGTGTTTGGGTTGGGGGTATAGATTACAAATTCTATGCAGATCTTCATGAAATGATAATCAAACATTATTTTACAAAATTATTTTGGAATACTCACTGCAGGAGAACTGCACATGAAAACATAGACAAAACAAATGGCAGTAGAAAATGTAACACAACTAGAGAAATATTCATAGAGAAAACCAGAAAATATAAAAGATCCTCTATAAATTCCTATTAAATGTTGAATGGTGTAATTTATATTGTGAAAAGCAATCTGTTGAAGCAATCTAGTACAGTTTTTCTAACACTTCATTCTTGTATTTTTGTTTACTGTAAGTAAAAGTAGTCTAATGTAACATTAACCCAGAGGCATTCCTTTTTACATCAAGATATATATTCCACAGACTTATCATTCCATGCTATTTATTTCATCCTTGTCGTAAAAATAACACCTCTCGTCAAACTTACAATATTCATGTCAAACAGGCGTTGGTATGTTTCAAATTGAAAATTTTCCTTGAAAAGGATGAACATAATTGAAAATTATTGAATATGAAATTAATATGAATTTTGCATTTATGTAAATGTTTTATTTAAATTAATATTAATCTAGAAGAAAAAATCAAAAATCATTACTTTTAGGATTTTTAAAAAAAAAAAATTATGACAATGAGAACTAGTGTGCTGTGAATTGATTAATACTCAAGTACAATAATCAGTATCCATGTACAATACTAACTTTTATCAGTTATTGTTTCTATATAATTTCATTTTCTAGTATTTACTAGAATCGCATTTTATAGAAAATGTTCTTTTTGTAATCAAGCATATAGTCTCTTTCATACTAAATAAAGATTCGTACTTCAGGTTTAATTGGATATATAAATCTTCAAGGATAAAGGGTTTGTGTCAGTTCAACAGTGTAAACATTTATTGTTTTAGAAAAGATGACATGTCTATGTTAAATTGTGCTCTTATTATTATGCTCAGTCTGTCACTTGAGACGTTGTCTGCTTCTTAGTTCCACGGTGACTGTCCCTGTGGGCCACTTTTAAGAGTTTTGAAACTAAGACCAGAAAAGTAAGAGGGTCAGCTGTTTTCGAGATTATGTTATGACAATCCAGCCATCAATATGGTTAAATTATTTGAATAAGAGTTTGTAAATACATGTTTGTTAAATAGCGTATAATTGTTTCCTAAATATAAAAAATTATGACTCTTGAAAAAAAGTTATTATCCAGTAGTTTTAAGAAAGAAATAATCGTATCTAGTGTTTTGGGAATCTATAATCATGCACATCTAAATTTTTACTTAAGTGTTTTATCAAAATCAAATTTTAACACACGTGTATCGAAGTTTGAATATATACAAAATATACATGCATTAAAATCAAAGTTAAAGTAGAAAATCGAATAACTTTATGAATTACGAAAAATATTTTTCAGAAAACACCATATTATGAAAATAAATTGTTTAATGTAATAAAATATTTTTTAATGGAGGGAGGTGCATTATATTAGACAGGCCTATGATTATGTAATGTGTATGATTTTGTAGTAAATTGAATTATATAATGATGAAATATGAATTATATAATGATGAAATATGAATTATATAATGATGAAATATGAATTATATAATGATGAAATATGAATTATATAATGACAAAATATAAATTATTGTTAATGATTACTAATAATGTATTTTACTATGACATGTAGATGATTAAGTGATATTCATGTAGAGGTAGATTTGTACTATAGTTTTTACAGCTTTTAGCTTTTTTCCACACATTGTTCATAAGATCACTTCAATACCTATAGTCACATTTGCTCATTCTTCTTAGTATTTTAATGAATTTTATTTTTTTTCATCTTATTTTGCAAATATTACTGTCATTGTTATTCGGTTAAACTGCTTTTTCCTGTAGATACTAAGTATAGCGTATTTTACATTACACTCCAAAAAAATCAATTAGACACTATAATCATATTTTTTCAACAAAATCTATGAGAAACTTTGTTTTAAGTTTCAGAAGAAAATCTGATGTTTTAGAAATAGCTAAGGTTAATGAATATAGTAATCGAACTCGATCGACAGGTTATTTTATACTCCATATAAGTAGAAGTCAGCCATTATGATTAAATCAGATTTTTTTTCATCAGATTTTGATATTTTAACTTTTTTTTTTCACGTTCAACAGTCTTTGATTTTGTTCATTTAAATGAATCTGTGTTTTGCCAGTATGGTTTTTATGAATAAATGCAGAGAATCTGTCATCTTGAGTTGTTTGTTTTTTTTCCAAGTCAGAAGAGCTGGATGGGAGGGAAGGGGCGTGGGATGTAAGATATCGTCAATATTGCATGAGTGATCTGTATTTCTGTCAAATGAAGACTTTATGACAAGTTATACCAGATCTAGAAAAAGAGTTTGATATGTGCATTCATCATTTGATAAATGACCGGGTCAAATCATAAAAATTGGAATTATTAGAGAACTCTTCTATGGAATGACAGTTATTGTGATGTTCTTTATTCTTTATCTGCGATTTCAATAACTTAAATAGAAGAGTAATGCTTATTGCTTTATTTCTTGTTTCCAACCTATAATGAATGATAAGCAAGTAGGATTAGGAAGCTAATGGCAACTGCTAAACTAAGTCGTGACTTCAAATGCAATTTATTAAGGAAGAGATGCTTAGTGCCTTGTTCTCCTAATGTCAACAAGAAAGCTTCATTATTCATAGGCTTCTTGAATGTACTTTTATATATCCAATTGCCTTGTAAATTTAATATTCTAAACAAATATGTGACTGAAAGTCAGTTTGTGAGTATAAAATCTATTTTTTCTGGTGTTGGTTTACCTTAAGCAAATGAAAGGAATTCATAAAGGCTTTTACTGCATATACCTGGATAGCTAATTATATATCTAGGGAGTGAAATCAGACCTGTTCAAATGAATATTTTGTATTCGTACTTTCATATGACTTCACAAATATTTTTTTTTTACTTTATTCAAATAAATGTAAACTCAATGATTAAACTGGGTTAATTGAACTCGGTTTTTATGTATTATTACTATTCTTATTGTACCATATTAAATATATTTATGGTATAAGTCTGAGCAGATGATTATTAATCTACTAGAATATTCCAATTTTAACTAAATCTAATTATTAATTAGTTTATGTTTCAGATTGAAATAAATGGCTACTAACAAACTTGAGTGCTGCTTTTAGTGTGCATGGCTTTTTCTATCACTTAGACTGCATGTTGCTTTATTAATAAATTGGTTTACTTATTTTTTTTTTTCATTTTTTTTTATTTGCATGCTTACTTTTTTATTTTTCATATATTCACATTTTTACACTGCCTTTACACGCCATTGGCTCCTTTTTAATTTTTGGCTTTTCTTTTTGTTTTCAGATCCGTGTTGTAAATGCTTTCCAAATGGATTTAGATTCCACTCATATGGACAGCTATGACAAGCGTAGTCGACCTTCCGTTATTAGTCTACAATCGCTGCAGGCTCAACGGTCGGGCATCGCAAAAAAACCCATTCTAGCCAGTTCTCCTGAAGTGGATGAATCCCCCTCCTCCCCATGGTTTGGACGAAGTGAGAGCATCCCATATGCGGATGAATAATGAAAAACATGCACTTAGCACTTTCCAAAATTGAAATTCCCATATATATGTTATAAAAGACAAGTGGGTGTGTTAGAGTAGCTAACTTTTCATACGTTATTTCAACACATCTATATTGTCTGGGTCCTTTATTTATAAAAAGATGGGATTTTCTTTTGTTTTCTGTAAACATTCTTGTCATCCCAGTGTTAAAATTTGCGTGTCGTATTATTAATGTTATAGAATATAAAAAGCAGCGGCACGAATGATCTAGAATTTAGTCGCAAGACTGCTGATAGAAATTTAAACTTTTATTTTTACTTTATGTTTTATTCTTGAGGTCATATCATTTAAGTTCCAAGTTGAATGTTAGAAAACCATTTAAATGTATGTAATATTGGCCATTTTACTTGTATATTTATTGTAATAAACTGTTAATAGATAACATCATAATATAGTCTATTTAATAACAATAAAAAAAAAACAACCACAGATTTAATTTGATTAGGTTATTATTTAAACAGATGCTATAAACTACTGTAAAAGCATGCCAAATCATACACAACAAGATCTCAGTCCTCATTAATTTATAAAAATTGATATAAGTATAGAATGTTAGGTTTTGGCAAATACATACCCTAATAATATTTATTATATAGTTTATATATATATATACAGAAGCTGTAAAAAGTCGGCCTTCATGTTCGCAAACATTGGTGTAAACTTTATCTCAGGGACCAATGATTTTGTGAACACTATTTATTGGCACCCATATACATGTATGTAAGTCTTTATTTATTATCAAATAAATGATTTTCAATTTGGAACTTGATTAAAAAGAACAGCAAAAAATACGTATATACTAATGGAATACAAAGGGCATTTTGTTTCATGGTGGCCATTACTCTTTGTTTCATCCTGTGCTAAATATTTGAAATATCTTAGTTTGGGATTATTATTTGCCCCATGCAACAGACAGTTGTGTACATAAAATATCCAAATCTTTACCATGATAAATCCTTTACAACTGTTAGTTGGAACAATAATAAGATAAAATTCTGGAAATCCGATTTTCTGAAAGATGTTATATCTGTTGTGTTGGAAACAGTCAAACATTGTAATTGTTGATTATAATGACATTATACAAGGAATTTGCTAAGTAAAGTAAGTATTAAAAGTATTATTTTTATTAGAAATGTTTAATTATGAGTGAAATGAATGTTTTAGTAAGTTTTACATGTACACAATTTTAGTTATTAATTTGTAAAAGCCACTAGAAAAATGTTCACAAACTACACATTAAGTTCCGCTTTTTATGGCCACCATGTCCACAAATAGTTTTTATGTTCACAGATATTTTATTTTTAAGTTTCTCTCCTAAGTTTGCATGTGTTTGAAATGTTCAACACACAACATTTTTATGCTGTACGTTTTATTTTATTGTCATCCCCATGTCTTTCATTGCTTTCCAACCAATTTTTTTATTATATAGAGTAGCCAGGTTTTATTCGATTACATACCGGTATTTTAAAAGTCATTTGATTTCCATACATTTGCTCAGATTTGCCACAAAGCCAGGCACCATTCCTGGGAAATACCTTCAAAAGCTTTTAGCCCCTTACTATTATTTTTTAGGGGGTTAGCATTCACAATTTTATTTTAATACGCAATTTAGATCAGCTCCTTCCCTTATCCTTCATGCTTTAGCATATATAAAAAAAATATTAGAAATGTTTAAAACATCATTTTGCCAAAGCACTGCTCAGAAGAGTAATTATCAAAAAAAGAAATGAAGTGTGACATTTTGTGTTTTTAAATTTAATAATATATGAGAATATAAAAGGAATGACTTAAGACAAAAGGCAGTACAACAGCATTATGATGTGATAACCACCATTGTGTAACCATAGTGATGATAAATGATTAAAGATGGCGAGAAAAGAAAATGGTGACATGAAGAATTTTATTTCTAATATTATACCTCATAGAAAATGTAAGAAGAATGTTTCTTCTTTGATAGAACTTCCTAGAAATTTAATCAAAGATCTTATTAGTTTTTTTTTTTATTATTATTATGTGTACATCTTGTAGTTTATGAAATCTTTGTAGATCAGTTTTAAAAGTGTAAAACTATGGTATGTTAAAATTCTCAACATTTAGTATTAAGAAAATATATTAGCATTAATAATGTTGTGTGTGTAAATTCCTATTATATTTTTATTTACAACTAGTTTATAAAAAGCATTAATATATATGCAGTAAATATGCCCACTCCACACCCCCTACCAAACAGCTCACATTTATTACCATCATACATGTATATAAGTACACAGAAAGTATGTACAGTAAATATTACATTGGTTAATTTATATATATGTGGGTTGTACTCATCAATTTATATCAACTTTTAATAATATCTTTGGAATATTTAACCCTCCCTTTATCATTCATTTTATTTATATTAAACATAACTTGATTGTACATTGATGTTTAATTTCTTTTTTTCCCCATATATTAGAATATGTGTAACATGTTTTTTTTTTATAGAAATACATGTACCTTTCTTAGTGTGTTTGAGCCCAGGGTATATGTGGGTATCTTATACTTGCATACATGTACAATGTACATATTAATAATGTATGTATATATATCATAAGAACAATTTTTAAATATCATGTTAAAGCTTATATTATTAATTTATTCGGTTAGAAGATAAAACCCCTTTACATGCCATAATTGTCTTTTTAAATCTACATGTATTTATGCTATGTGTAGTTTATATGCTGAAATGTTTATTATGCACTAGTTAGGGCTACTTATAACAGAATTCCACACCCCCACCCCCCAAATTTTTAATACATGTACTTTTATAGACATGTCTACAAAAGATTATTTTTGATTCATATTTTTTAATTAAAAACAGATAAATTTTAACACAAAAATTGCCAAAATATGTTATTCAAACTGTTGAAAAATAGAATTTTCTTTGTTTTTATATTTTCTGTTATATTATTAAACGTTGTATTGCTATGTATGATCTACATCACAATATAATGTAATGCTAATATTTCATCCCACTGTAATTCGGTTACCTACCTTTTCATAACCAGAATTCTTGTTGTCTGTGTTCAGTGTTCACACATTTCATTGACAATGATATGCTCAGTTATTTCAAATCCAGTTATTGATGACTGGTTACACAAAGTTTTGACTTCTATTGAGAGGTAATTTTTAGTTCTTGTTAAATAATGTGTTGACTATATACTGATGATTTCTGTGTGTAGATACAATTACTGGCCTGCAAAGGCAAGAAATCCAGATATTTTATTGGGGTAACTCATTATTGAAAAAAAGGTTCAAAATGTAACTTACTATTTATTACTATGACACTTGCAGTAAATTTTGTGAAGAATATTAAAATTTAGATACTAAGTATTTAAAAAATATCCATTATATTGAATTGATTATTTTTGTATTATATGAATTTAAGACTATGAGGACCTGTACAGCACATCAGAAATTTTATGTTATATGATAAAAAAATTCAATGGATAAAAACATGTATATGTTCTAGAGGAACATGTAGATTAAATCTAAATTTTTTTGAGTGAACTATTCTATGATAAGGTATAATGATAATTTACTAAGAATAAGGAAATATTTTTCTCTTATAATATAATTCACAGTGGCCATTTTAGTTATGGAGTGTTTATTTGCTTTGTTCATACTACATAACATAGATATCTATTGCATTTTGATTTTTTTGAATGCTACATACCTCAAGCGTATATATATATATATATATATCTATTTATTTACTTTTAACATTTTCAAAAGTAACAATTCCCGTTTCCTAAGTAAAACTGAGTCCTGTTTTATTACTTAGCCCCTCAAAAAAAAATATAAATAAAAATGGAAAAAAAAAATCACAGTAAATAAACTAGAGTGATATTATGTCTTCAACCATGTTAAATAATTGTTGGCCATTTTGTGTGATTTTAGGTCTGTTTATTTTATCTATTTTAGATCAGCCAAGACATTAGACTGTACATAATGTGACTAACTTATGTCTTGTTACTTTTATTCTTTTGGGAATTCAATTTCTCAATTCGATTGATGCAGAAGTGTGTTGTAGTAGAGCCATTGTTATATTAAACCTTTTGTATGAAAATAGAATTTAAAAGGTGTTTGTTATTCATTTTTATACGCCCACATTGAAATGTTGTTGTCGTCCCTGTCCGATGTCCACAAGCAAGGCTAAAGTTAATATCGGATTGACTTTAAATTTATAGGCTACAGTGTTTACGGTCATGTGACAAAGAAATTACAATAATTACTGCCAGAGTTATATTATGGCCCTTGATCACTTTGAAAAATCTTGTGGACACTCTGGAGTCTGGAGGCTTAAGTTAATATCTGATTGATTTTGATTCATATTTGTTAAACATACATTATGCAAGAGCTAAATCTGATTATTGCAAGTCTTTATTTAGGCATCAGATGTCATAGAAATTATAAATTAGATCTTTATTTACACAACAAGCACAAAATCAACTCTGTAGACCCACGGATGGCTTGGATTCAGATTGGATTTAAACAAGATTTCGTTGACTGATTTAATTTTAAATGGCGTTGTGAGCGGAGATTAACCGTTACGTTGACGTCATACTCCCGGATCGAGGCTAAATGATAGAGTGCACGAAGCGTGGCCGCTGTTGAGCGATACCTTAACAAATGATATCTAAATTATTTAAAGTGCTATAAACTAAGCACAGATAATGACAAATTATACAATTCCTGGAGACTGTGTGATGACTAATACAGACGGACAGGTCTTCTGTCTTAATAATATCAATAAAAATATTTTTATTTCCCCAATACTTGCAATAGGCACGACGCCACTGGTGTATACCTATAGATTTATCATAATTGTATTATAATATTATGTTCTATATTCAATTGATTTAATGCATGCCCAAAATACAAGTAAGAATGAAAATTTACCCTCTCACTCATTTTGTCCAATTGTTATAAAAATCCAAAAAGGTAAAACACAAATTCGGATATGATGACAGCAGACAAAAGACAGCAGAGATTACGTAGGCCTGTCAATCAAACGATCGGCCATACTAAGAATCAGTGAAGAGGGAATTCAATCCCATTTCTAGTCAAAAATTACACTGGTGATAACTATGTTCAGAATAAAGTAATTTGACTGAAATTTTCAATATATTCTTCTTTCATCATCTATTTTTGAACTGTTATAGCAAGAATGGGTAACTCCTTATCAAAATCTCCCATAATGTATCTTTAATTAAAAATAGATAAATTTTAAGACAAAAATTGCCAAAATATGATATTTAAACTGTTGAAAAATAGAATTTTCTTTGTTTTTATACGCCCACATTGAAATGTGGTCATATATTGTCGTCGGTCTGGCATCCACAATGCTTGTGGACGCTCTAGAAGCTAAAATTACTATCCGATAAGACTTTAATTTCATACAGATCTAGGGTGCACCACCATAAATAAATATCTTGACAACTACACCACAAGTCTTAAATCAGTTTTGCACGTTTATAGTCACTAAATAAACGGTCATGTTATACTTAATAACTTGTGACCATTTAACCATCAATAAATAATAGACTGAAAAATGGGTACGAGTGTCGGCCATAACACCCGGGCACTTTTGAGTATAAAATAGGTTATGTACCCTTGTTTTGAAATTAGTTACACATAACCAGTCTACCGACCATTCTCCATCTGATTGACAGGCCGGGATAATCAAAACTACCTTTTTACGAAACAGAAAGCTGGAACAAGAAATTGAATTTAGCAACATGCTCGTTAGGCAATTCAACAATTGTTTTAAGAACCTTGTAAAAGTAAAATGAAACTACTGCTAGTATCTTGTTTTTGTCTAACCCGAGTATTTCAGATATTATTTGTATTAAACCAAAAGATGCCGCTCCTAATGGTCTAGTTAATTAATTTTAAAGCAATTTAAAAGCGTAATTTCTAAAGCTGCAGTAATAACCAAAAAGCTAAATATTACTGCTATTCAGAATAGTCAACAATAGATTATTTACAACTGTAAAAGTTGATAGATGTGTAGAAAATTTCACGTGCAATGGCTATTTATAGACTTGCGTTGAGTATTATTGTACCGTTTGACTTAGCTAGAAATGACTTCGAGACAAGCCACTGAAGTGTGCACATTCGCTGTGTCCAGTTCAACTTTCAGTAGGGAAATTTTTTCGCTGCATGGGGCACTCATTGCTGAAATTCAATAGGCTTCTTTGTTACACTAATTTAAATGATGCATATAAATTTTGCAAGGCTCAACAAAGTGAAACAAGGGCCATAACTCTAGAAGTAATTGCTGGAATTCAATAGTCTTGGTTTTAGTGATCTAAATAATGCATATACATTTCATACAGATCGGATGATAATGTTTGTCTATAGGGAATTCAAAAGGTTCAACAAAGTAAAAGGGCCATAACTTTGGACATAATTAATGGAAATTGCTGAAATTCAATAGGTTTCACGGTGGGTAAGAGGCTGGCTTGCTAGACTGCAGGTTTACTTCCGTTGTTGGCCGAAAAAGTTGGAGAATCTCATTGTCAGTGGTGCAGGACTGAGGGTCTGACAAGAAAATCTGTCTAGTTGTATGGATGGGACAAAAAACTGAATGTCCAATGTACACATTGGTGTGAACGCAAAAGATCCCTTATTAAGAGTAGGCTATAGCCCCACAGTCCAGGAAAGATTTCTCATAGTACACTGTATAGCGTCTTCATTAGCCCAGTAGGACGTTAAACCATAATGCATATAAATTTCATACACATCAAATAACTTGTCATTCAAGCGCTTGGCAAAGTGAAACAAGGGCCATAACTCGATGTAATTAACGGGAATTCAAAAGGCTTCTTCGTGTCACTAATTTAAAGGACGCATTTAAAATCCATACAGATAAGATGTTGCTATCCTCTTTTAAGTATGTTGTGTATTCAGACATGTGATGTCTCCGGCACTATCAAGCACAAATTCCTTGTTTTCCCGGCTCAATTTTCCTTGAAAATTTATAAGGTTGGTATACTTAAATTTAGAACAATACTACAAATGTGTGATGGATTGTTTTAATAACTTTACAAATAGGCGACATTTTAAGATTACAAGAGTTAATTCTTGTCAGCATATTCGTTGGTGACTCGGCATGAAAAAAAAAAAATAGCATGTAATTAAGGACTATTTAATTGCAGACATTGCACCATACATTTAAATATAACAGGTATTGTACAGCTAAAACAATTTAGCATTTCACAAGAATGGTTGATAAAAATATCTATGTATTTTGATAAGTGCAATAAAATTTTTAGAACAATATTTCATTACAACATCAAGTGTCAAACTGAGTACTCTGTGAACCTTGTGGAACCAGCTTGCCATATCATAAGTGAGACTGTCATAAGGAGAGACTTCAGGAATACCAGAATATCAATCTAATATTTTAGTACAAGTCGTTTTTACATAAATTAATCCAGCTGAAGGCATGAAATAAACGTTAAGCACAAAATGAAGTATTTGAGTCTGTAATCATTTTAGTGTCCAGTAACATCACTACAAATACAACTGACACAATGATAAGCACTTGTATAGTTTTGAGGAGAAGAATGAATACAATTACTGAGGGAGAATGTATTGAACATAAGGAACTTCACAATCTTCCCCATCTTTATCATTACAGCATATTTCTAACACTAAAGCTCGTACGTGAGCTGGTATCTTCTTCTTTGATACTTTCTTCACCACTTCAGACATACTGTTAAGAAAATAAAATTAATAACTTAAAGATGTTTCCTTGAGTTTAATTAGGTCATCAATTCAATTCAATTCAACAAACAATGTATGGTAATCTAATGTTTTATTTCTTATTATTTCTGGGATATATATTATAGTGCAGGCCTTCACCTCTAAAAATATTATGGAGAGCTGAAAAAAGCTCTCCTGGGATTGGAAAAAAATTGAAAATCCCTATCCTGGAATTGCGGACAGAAGATGACATGTGCAATCACATATAATGCTTTTTATTTGAAGAATAAAACACTGCATTAATATTATTATGTTTCTTTTATATTAAAAATACTTTACTTGCGGTACCGACTTCTAAGTTCATGTCAATTAGGGAGGTAACAGTGGGTAGGATGCGGACTCACTAGCCTGGAGTTCGGGTGTTCGATCCCTGAATTGGCCGAGAAAGTTCATCCAAATTTTCCGATGTGGACCCCCTTGTCAGTGATGCAGGACGGAGGGCCTGACAAGGACAAATGTCTAGTTGTTTGGATGGGACGAAAAATAAGTCGCGTGTACACATTGGTGTGCATGTAAAAGATCCCATGACAGTGGGAATTCGATATAAGAGTAGGCCGTAGTGCCGCTGTCCTACCAAAATTTCCCGCATAGGACACTGTATGGTGTATGCCAGTAGGACGTTAAACCCCATTTCATCATTTCATGTCAATAATATTTCTCAATAATTACTTCCTTTGTGTTTGGGGAGAATCTGATTACAGTTCAATCTAACAGCTAAATGTTAGTATTTCTGGGTAAAATAGGCAGATTCAGATAGTGGGAGAAAAATGAAGGTTAAGATCCACTCAACAAAAACTAGGTTATTTCGCATGTACTATATGGTACAATTTTATTTCAATAATTTGCTTGATTATAGGGGTCTTTAACAGTTCAAGGAAACAGACAGACATAGTGGAAAAAGATGGACGCAGAGGAAACTAAAGAGGTTCGGCAGGCAACCATATTTTTGGTCCTGTAGAAACCACAACTTGACTCAACAACAGACCTTATGTTCTAAAGTGCACTCCACACGTTAGATAATTAATCAACTTACGGTAAATTCATTCGTTCATCTCGTTTTGAGGCCTGCATGAAGAATGAATATAACATACACACACCCTGGGATAACATTGTAATCTCTAAATTATGTTTTTCCTGTAAAAAATAAAGTACAATAATAAACAGATTGTCAATAACTTCTAATTACATGTAAGTAGAACAGAATTTTACAAGATTTATCTATTTTATCAAGATCAACACAAAAATCCATGGATTATGTTAGTTCAATACTAAATATTTACCTGAAAGTAATTCATAAATTCTTTTAGGGTCATTTCACCTTGTACTTCAAATCTATCCCATAGAGTGAATTTGTTCCCATTATACTGAAAAATAATAATATACCATGAATTGCTTTCAAATATTACATATTTTAAGATATACAAGTTGTTTAAGTCATTATAATCTCATTTAAAATGCATCCGACAGTATTTCTTTAAAGTGCTGCCCATTATTCCCTTGGTTTCTAGGAAATAATACAGCCTGGTTATCTGCCTTCCATGCTTTCTGTTAACTTGGCAAAATGGAAATGAAATGGGGTTTATCGTCCCACTTTTCTGCTCCGACTGAGCTAATGAAGTCATACATTGTGCTATGAGGAAAATTTTGCTTGGCCAGCGGTGCTACAGCCTACTACTCTTATATCAAATTCCAACTGCCAAAGGATCTTTGATGTTCATATCAATGTGTAAACAGGAGCTTGGTTTTTCGTTGTCCTCTGACCTGCACCAATGACAAGGGGAGACCATGCTGGAAAATTTCTCGGCCAATACCGGGATCGTACATGGGATCTCATATTAGTGAGCCAACGTCTTACTCAATGAGCCATTGCGAATTTCATACCCAGAATAAATTACAACAAACTATTTAATTTAGTAAGATATATAGAGGAAAAAAAACAAACAAAACAAACTCACCTCGCTTTTTGGGGCCTCTATTGGTTCGGAGAAGGCAAAGAATGGGAGTGCTAAATTTACAAACCCATTCTTGAAATGTTCAACCTTAGTGTGACCCTGAGTCAACTACAAAGAACATATTTACATATTAAATTACAGGCTACTGTCTTCTAATATACAACATTACAACACAAATTGTTGAGAATTTAAAGGGTATTGGTATCTGGTGTTCCAGAAAAAAGAAAATAGTTTTTCATTTTTAAGAAACACCCAAAAATAAAAAATTTATTATTTTTTTTTCCTCTCAATAAGACAAACAAAAAATAAGTAAGATTTTGAAATAACGTCCGAATAATTCTGTGACTTCATCTAGATTAACTCCTGTGAAATCGTTTTCAAATCCACCGGTTTTTGTATTGGCGACCATTGTTAAAGCATGGATTTTTCTGCCTATTTAATTGAAGTCTGCGTCCTCAATCTCCCCACGTAGAATACTTTCGGTCATCTCTCTCACAGTTATCAGTAGTTCTCAGGAATGATACTAAGGCATTTTGATCGTAAAAAATGACAGATTGACGCAAAATGTCGCTATCATTGTGGAATAACAAATTGACAATTGATTATCCAATGCCGTTCGTGATTGTCAATAGTGTTTCCCCATGGTTACGCACTTGACAGCTGAGTCTAGTGTTTAGTTCCTTTTTTCAAGAAACACATAATAGAGTTCACTTGATCACGGGGAAGTAAGAACATGCGGAAAAGATGAGACATGGCCCATTTTTGATGACATGGAGATATCTTAGAACCAGAATGGTGTACATTACTGGATTAATATGAGTGTATTTATATTAACCTTACCTTATATAGTTCTAATGTAACCAGACCAGTTACTAGAGCTGTTGTTGTAGCTATAGCAGGTATAATTTTACCAGCTATTAATTTACTCTATAAATAGAAATAATATGTTATTATATATCAATAATTCTACAATATAATTAAACACACTACATGTAGAAATCATCATTCAACACAACTTGACTCTGTTAGGGACTAACTAATAATAGTTGTAAATTACATGAAGTAAACCTGACACCACTGTTCTTAATTGACTGTTTTTTGTCGGCTTTAGCCGATTGATATTTAATCTAGCCGATTGGTAAAACAATGAACCAGCCAGTATGGTATCATTCATATATCAAAAGTAAACAAATCTAAAAAAAAATCAGCCATGTGACATATTTCTGATGATACACGCAAACTAATTAGTTTATGCTTATGAATATAATTTTATAAATTGACATGTACTTATGAATAAAATATGTATTTACTTGTAGTTTTGCTTTTTAATATATGATAATTTCTGTTTGGTAGGATAAAAGCAAAAGTAGGATATGCATTATGGAAGTTGATGAAATTTGACTATGAATGTTGATATTATATCGATGTATGAATACATGTATGCAATTGCGAAGGTATTGTCTTAGGTATCATCATTCTGAATATGTTATGCAATTAATAACGTGAATAGAGTATGGCATAAACAAACATGTCTGTCATTGAAAAGATGACTATCGGTTACCCAGTGGCTGGTTCATTTCAAAATGACAGGTAACACTAGACCTATTAGAAATAATCAGGAAAGCCAGAACATTATATTGTGTGATGTCACAATGTAATCTATGACACATTCTAGTGACTAGCTTGCACCATTTTGGGCAACATAGTCTACAACTCCTCTCCGATATGTGACAAGTTGAAAGGAGTTAATACACAATTTCTTTGCACTATTTGTTAATAGGGTGATTATGTTAAACTGGGTAACTACTTGCAACCTTGATAAAATATAGATGAATACTGTATATTGTATCTTACTTTATGTCTATCAGCTTGTGGTATATCATAGTTTTCTGCTCTAAGATTTGAAGCAGCAACAATGAAATCTAAATGGAAATTTGTGTCATCATCTTTTTCAAATTCAATAGGAATTAATTTTAACGATTTAAAGTCTGCTGGTGGTGGAATGGACTTCTGTAAAACATCTAACTGACTTTCATCTGAAAATAAATATGAACTCAATAAAATCGGTTGAAATATTGAATTGTGTATATGAATTTTATTTATTAGCAACTAATTATAATGTTGAGGTCAACGTTACTATCATAAATAAGCTAAAACACCAAGAAGGTGGGAAACAGGGTGGCTAAATAAGGGCACTAGGTCAACCAGGGTGGCTAAGTAAGGTCACTAGGTCAACCAGGGTGGCTAAGTAAGGTCACTAGGTCAACCAGGGTGGCTATGTAATGGTGCTAATTCAACCAGGGTGGCTAAGTAAGGGCACTAGGTCAACCAGGGAGGCTAAGCAAGGGCACTTGGTCAACCAGGAAGTCCGATTTCATTCCCAATATTGTTTGAGAAGGTTCATTGGCATTTTCCATCCTAGTTAGGCTTCTTTGTTTTAGTAATCTAAATAATGCATATAAATTTCAAACAGTTTAGATGGTAAATTTATAAGACTAGAAGTAATTTATGGAAATTGTTGGAATTCAATAGTCTTCTTCGTTTTAGTGATCTAAATAATGCATATAAATTTCATACATATCGGATAATAACTTTTGTTGATTCAGTGTTCACACAGTTCAATAAAGTGAAACAAGGGCAATAACTCTAGAAGTAATTAATGGAATCTGTTGAAATTCAATAGGTTTCTTTGATTTAGTGATCTTAGTAAATGCACATAAATTTCATACAGATCGGATAACTTTTGTAGATAGAGCGTTCACAAGGTTCATAGAGCGTCTCACTAATGTAATTATATATAAATTTCAAATTGATCAGATAAATGTAGTCACACCAACCAATAAATCCATCATTGTTTCGAGACGCAGCTTCTGCATCTGTGACATCTATTTTAACACCTGATCGAGGTGTAAATTCTGGTACTTTAATTTTAGCTAACATTGCTTTAACAGCAGCTCTATCATTATTCTGTTTTAAACCATACATCTGTGCTCGTAGATTGGCACCAGCAAATACATAATCTAAATGAGTTTCCTAAAATAGTTCAAAAACATTAATGTAATCCTGTGATTATTATTATTCACTTCTTGTGTTATATTATAGAATGGCCACTAAATAATTCTTCTCAATTCTTTCTTTAAGATATCCATTACAGTAGAATTTGTTGGAGCAGCCACTCTTTTTCAGCACCTCTCCTTGTAATCGGTCTCAATAAATCCCCAGTATAAATTCTTTAGTTTCATCTCTTTCATAAACGGTCACTGTTTTAGCTATAAATTTAACAAAACATCGCCCATTCAACGGCCATACTTTGAAAATAACAATAGACCAATACTGATTGAATAAACTAAATGTACCGTTAAAGACAAGTTTTGTCACGATCATTGCCGCACTGTTGCTTAACAGAAGTTTTAGTGCCAACTATATTACGCACAGCGTTACACCTGCTGAAAATCGGTGAAAAATTCAGCAATAGTTTTTTTGATTAAATAAAAATCATGGATTTTCTTCACAAAAATGGATAAATATTATTTATAAATATGACAAAGGTAGGCAGTAATTAATGTTGGTGCAAACAATATTTTTGTTCCAATAGTAAGATTAAGCCAAGGTCAAATTTACCAATGCAAGTATCGATGTTTGCTGCCGATGCACCCAAGCATAAAATTTTACTTGACATCGGTACTTAGAAACACTGTTAAGCGTTCAGTTATGAAAATTCCCTTGAATGGCTGCTGAATACAGATTATATCCAGTTAAATCTACTTACATTATTTGGATCAAACACTAATGCATGTGGACATCTTTTTGGACCAGACCAAAATGGTGCCCCAGAACTGGTTGTCTACAAGATATAACAAGTGATAAGAATTATGAATAATTGATAACTATTGTAAAAGATAATCTTACATAATATATGATCCTTGGTTTTACAAACAGACCAAGAAAAACAGAGCAAAGGTAAAAAAGAACAAGCCATTGCCATGCAAGATAGGCCCAGACCTTTGGGATATAAACTTATATTTTAAGTTTCATCAAAAACGGATAAACATTGAGACCTCTACAGGGTCAAAAACCTTTGGATTACATACTATTTGTGTACAGGAAATACAATAATGTCCATTAAACTAGAGCTGGTCAATAATTTCAGTTTATCACCTTTTAAATGTTAATAAACATGCATAAAAAGTTGGAAATTCCCTTGGAGTATTCACTTGACACTTTCTAGTCATATTATTAAAAGTTTTTAGCATAAATACAGTACAGAATTTACAAACAAAACTTAATGAGCTGGTTCAAACATAGATCTAATAGCCATGAAGACTTTGACATATGCCACAGGTCTATGCATCAGAATCCATTCAAATAAACTGAAATGTGTATTCACATAATCAGTCATATTATTTAGGCTATGCAGTAAACAATAAGTGTCCAAAGACAAAACCAAAGTTGTAAAAACAATAAAACTATTCAAATATAACTGTGCTTTGTGATAAACTGACTTTATCGAAGTATTGCAATACTACAATATATTGCAATACTTTTTGTCAAGTATCACAATATATTGCAATAAGATTTTTTGCCGAAATACACAGCTCTAGTTGCAATACATATGTACTGGTGGAAATGAAAATTTATATCTATTTACCTGTTCTGGAGGGAAATTAAATAAAAGTTGTCTAATAACATTGTTATAATTTTTTTCCCAATGGTGTCGCATAAAGGCTACACAATCCTGGAAATCTTTAGGTTTTTCATCAACTAAAACTCTCTTCACTACTTCAAAAGTTTCACCCTTCAATAAAGACGAAATAATAAATGTTTCATTTTAAATATAAACTAAAGAGAAATTTGATAACATTAAAATTTATCTTCAATCTGGAAGCATGGCTTTAGCATTTTATTTAGAGCTATTTGTTCAGTAAAAGATGAATGATTGGAAAAGTTACTTACAGGTTGTGTTCCTTGTAATTTAAGTGTTCTTTCAATAAATTTCGGATCATTTATATACTGTATAGCACTTTCAACTGGTTGACGGAATAATCCTTCAAATTCATCTCGAGCCCACTAAAAAACAGAAAACATTCATCTAATTGTACTGTACAATTACCAAGATTATCAAATAACTCATAATAGCAGCCATAAATAGCAACAATCCTCCAGATCTGCTTATCTTTCCATTTTGCTGCAAAAATTACTGTCTGCACTTTAGGTAAAAAGTGGAAATTTGAGTACCATATTCAGATCCAGATCTGCTTATGTCTTTCCATTTTTCTGTGAAAATTAATGTCTGTGCTTTGGGTCAAAAGTAAATTTGAGTACCATATTCAAGTCATGGTTCCAATGACTAACTACATACTTATATGAGTAAAATTATTACCTGTAATGTATGTTCTATAGCATTAGGGAAATTTTTCAATGTACAGATTGGTATAGATTTTTCTGGTGGATCTTGTGATGAGGAATAAGATTCTGTTACATGAGGAACTACCACCTTAAAATAATATAATTAAATATCCATGACATAGTAAATTATAGTAAGTTTATGGTTTCAGCCAAACATTTGATATAATTCTAATGTACTCTAATTTGCAAAACATTGTAGAATTCTGTAAAGGCCGCAAATGAATTCCTGCAGTGTACACCTTTGTGTGATATATGGTTGGCAGAAGTACCAAAGGTATTTCCTGGCCCAAACAAATATCTTAACAAAAGACATTATTATTCAAAATACAGTTTCCTTACCAGACAAAACTGGTTCAAAGTAGTATATAAATCATTTCAAAATAAGTCATCAATTAACTTATGAGGGGTACACAATTCTACATAAAGATCCAGATTAGAAACTAATTTGGTTACTAAACTCATCAAGGTGTATGGTACATGATTATAATTACCTGAACATTAGCTTTAGTACCTAGTGTACCAGACTCTAATAACGGTTTACGATAATATACACATCTTCTATCCATATACATTCCTATAGTATCATAAAAAAACAAACCATAATCAGGATATATTACATAGCTACATCCATATCAAAAGACATATGGACAGTATCGTAATTAATCATTCATACATTAGTTAATGTGTACCTAGCATGTCCAATTTTTTACTCCATTATTCAGAGAGGCATCATAACAAACTTGTGATGAAGCTGTGTCAATCAGCTCATTAACCTCAGAATCAATTTTCAGTTAAAGGATTATTAGCAATAATTGATTAAACGGTGACCTAATTTATAATTTCAAGTTCCAAAGGTAACTTACTTGCATCTACATTATCCAGAGCATTAGCTACACCATCTAATGTCTCAAAAAAACTGTCAGTATAAACATTTTCTGTATCAGGTCCAACTCTGTCTTCTTTTGCTGTTATTTTAACAGCTGGATTCATCTGTTTGACTGCTGCTGCTGCGGTAGATGATTTCGTTTTCTGATGAAAAATATATATAATATTACACACACCTTGTTTACTTTCTTTATTTAGCACTTTGGCATAATTATTTTAAAAAATGAAATGAAATGGGGTTTAACGTCCTACTGTTCTGTTCCTAGGCTGGGCTAATGAAGATGGGCATACGTCATACAGTGTGCTACGAGGGAAATTTTGTCTGGGCAGTGGCACTATCGCCTACTCTTATATCGAATTCCAACTGCCAAGGGATCTTTTACGTGCATTCCAATGTATACACGGGACCTCGTTTTTTGTCTCATCCGAAGGACTAGACAGCTGTCCTTGTCAGGCCCTCCGTCCTGTATCACTGACAAGGGGGAACCACGCCGAAAAATCTGGATGAACTTTCTCGGCCAATGCAGGGATCGAACACCCGACCTCCAGGCTTGCGAGCCAGCGTCTTACCCACTTAGCCACGTGATCCCCAATTATTTTAAAAGGTAAACATTATAAAATTATCAATATTTCTAATACCTGAACATCCCATGGTCTGAAGAGAAATTGTCTATTCAGGTTAGATTTTTCAATGGTGTCCATATCTGTGACAGTAACGTGACCCTTCTCTCCACATCCTACTCCCATCAAAGCCCAATTCTTTAACATTTCACATCCTATAGCACCAGCTCCAACCTATAATACATAGTATATAAACATTGATTCAAATTATACTGAACACCATTCATGGGTTATGAATGGCGAAAATAAAACAGATAATGTAGGCAGATAATAAAAATGAAATATCTGTCAACAGGAATTATAAGCCACATCTTAAACTTCTGACCATTTTTATTAATTATTGCCCTATATCAAGAATTAACCTACCAAGAAATAATTGATATTTTCTATCTTTTTCTGAAATTCTTCTCCAAACACTGCTATTTGACCATCGTATCTACAGTTTTTCTGAAATAAAAACAACAATAAGATGATTATATTATACTCTTGTATCTTACCATGCTAGTTCATCATACATGAATTTTGTGCCTAGGGTTCACACTGGCTTTCAATTTTTTCCCGCCAAAATTGACAATTTTATATTCATATTTCTTCTGCCAAAAAAAATGGATAAAAAAAGACAACATGTAACAATTTTATTTCTTGGGTAGGCCTATTATAAAACATTTATCGTTATATACAATATGCAACAACTTAAAAAACCTGTCTATATAATACATTATCACAAATCAGATTTTTGAAGACCAGTCTTTTCGCACACCATACTGAACAAAATATTTTTAGTATTTACTCATCTAATCTCATCTAAGGAATGCCAATTTTCAAGTTTTCTTTAAATTTATGTTTTGCACATACAATAAGCCGAGCGGTATCAGAATCTAAATCCCTTATAGAAATTACAAAATTTGTAAGAGATACTTCCAATCCGACCCATGGTAATAGTACAATTTGAAATAATATCCAATTAGGCATGCTTGTATATTTTTCATGCTGTATGAAGCGACAGTAAACGAAATTCAACTATCAAACTATTAAATTCTCTTCGAAAAGAAATGTCGACCATATGATTCTTTCAATTTATCTTTTTAATTTAATTAAGGCAGGACACTACCTTATAAAACACTCTGTATAGATTGATCTGTCAAATTTTGATAACAGCTAAAATTGCCCAAAATAGTTAAAATTTGTTGATTTTTCAAGTCGTGTCCAGCCTTAATATTATATAGTGTTAAATATTTAGTCATTTATATAGGTAAATCAAATTTTTAACTTTTAACTTGCTTTTTTCCGTACTCAATTTTTCACCCATATCAGGTCTTAGAAAATTGAATTCTCAAAATCTATGAGAGATAATGGTCTCATCTTTGGAATACGATTAGTGCTATAGCTACTGTGTGCAATAAGGTGATTTTCAAAGTGTTTGTTATACATTTGGACATTTTATTGGGCTGACCTTAAAAATATCTTTGTTTCGCCTAACGCGACAGACTTACTAAAACCACCCCCGACTTAAATTATTTTATTGCACTTTTCCACGATCTTTTTATTTTATTTTGTGTGTCAACCTGAAATATATCACGAGAGTTATTTCCCTTTACTATTGCTATGGTTTGATTCATTAACTGGTTGATCAAGACGAAAGCGTCATAGGTGTCGCTTCTCAACAAAATGGTTGCAGACGAAAGCACGTCCATTCCCACGAAATGAATCTGCCTCAATGTCTGTGGTGCGTCGTTTTAAACATGACGATATTTTCAATATCCGTTTTCGAGAAAAATGAAGGGAGGTAATTGGGAGGAAATTGTGTTATTATTTCCTGTCTAAATGAATCTTAAGTGTGAGAATGACACCTATGATCGTAAAATTGTGAGTTGACAACCTATTGAGCAAAAGACATAGAAATAATTACGTTTTGACTTTCTTAGAAAATTTGCAATTTCCGCTTTAAACAAAATTAATGAATCTGTAGTTTACAGAGCTAATAAGTTTTCTGTATTGATTTCTCTGACACGCATCTCCTCGATTGTGGGTCGGGTTTGGTGAAACAAAGATATTTTTAAGGTCAGCCTTGTACAAAATCTTTTTAGTGGTGTGTTCGGTCGCACCCACTTGTTTTATGTGGGATGCATAATGTTCTTTATTAACATTGAAATAGTAAAATGTATGCCTTGTTGCACTCTTTAATGCCTATATATGTTATTCCAAATCACAAATAGTTTGTTTCAATAAAATTGGTGAAGATTTTGATTTCCTAACATAGCCACCGTGAATATATAAAAAAATCAAATATGGCCACCATTTCCACGGAAACAAACAAACATTTTGCGCTCAAATTATCAAATCTGATTTGGGGCATCATATACTAATATTATACTAAATGGCAAGTTTCTGTTATCAATGTAAAATTCTTAGGTAGTGTCCTGCCTTATCTTTTTAAGATGAAACGAAACATCAAATAATGACTTGAGATAGGCTTTATATACATTATTGGCAATTATCAATCAACTAATCATTAATCCAAGACAACTGATTAGTATTACTCTGGATTATCAGCGAGTTGATTAATTTCTAGTATACCACCACATGATTGTGATTGACACTCAATGTAATGGTTGAACTAGGATATATATCCGATTAGAATTTTAAGATCTTTTTTTCTGCACTTTTAAAAAGGAAGTGCAAGTACCCCAAAATGTTTTCGCCATAATCAAATATTAATCGCCACTTTCATTTTTTTCAATCGAAAATTGCAACTTTGGCGAACGATAGTGAGCTTTGGTAGTGCCAGTTATTTATAGATAAATCCATAATTGTGATACTTTGGACTCTTTGCCTTTATGAAAGTTACCTATATCATAAGAAAATGAGATGCTTAATAAAATATAACTTACAGGTTTACAAGAATCTTGCGTTATAACTGTTTCTGCATCTACTGGTAAACATTCTAACGCATCAAAATATAAAAACTGTAGGATTGGCATAAACTTTCCACTACATGCCTGCAACACAAAATATATATGTATGTCACTTTTTCTATGCAAAGACTTGTAAAAAAAAAAAAAAAAATCAAGCTCATTTTTATGCTTACTTCATTTGAAATAAATGAGAAAACATAATTCTAGCAAGGACATATAATAAGTATAGGAAATCTGAGAGTAAAGCACTCCTTCAAGGAACTAAAACTAATACCAATGTAAAACATATTTTCCCAGGATATAAACTATATACGCCTGTCACAGCAGTTATTGGCTCAGTATATTATTATTAACAGTAAACTCTTTTTCAAATTGCGACTTGTAGCAAAGTCAATAGATAATAATTGAAAATGTAACAAGATTTTGGAACAAAGGGGCATAACTCTGAAGGTGATTATAAAAAAATTGTCTTATTACGAATGAGTTGGACAACTCATCAAATTTCAAATGGATTATAATTGAATTCTGTAATACCCTAAGAAACATGGACGATGGACAGAGAGAAAAGAATGACAGCAATATACACCTACATTTAAATGTGGACGCATAAAAAAATGAGTCTTACCTTCATAACTTCTTGTGCAGTTATACCACCTATCACAGCTTGCATTGGACATATATCACCTCTAGCTACATAGGAAAACATTCTTACTAATTTTTCATCATATTCATCTAATTTAGCTGTTGATTTCTCATTTACAGCTTTAAATACTTTGAGGAAAGCATCCGCATCATCCTGATAAATAGAACAGAATTAAATTTGACTACATGATATTTTATGTAAATTTGCTCAAGTGTCATAAATGTTGTAGTATAGATTTCACAGATTAAGTTTCATATAAACTATATTAAAGAATATCAAGTTTATGAAATCAAATTATCATCTAAAAGCTATCCGCTTTAACAATTGTGAAGTATTTTATGGTAAGAATATATCTGTAATTGTCACAAATTTATGTTAGCAGATTAAAACCTTACAAAGCCAAGATGAAACCTAAAATAAGACGACATGACACAAAGTCTTCAAACAAACAGCCAACTGTCCTACCATAGTCAAATTAAACCTATAATACAGGTATAAACAAATATAAATGATGTTATAATAATACAACAATACTAACCCTACACCAGGATTGTGGTAAACAACCATTCTCTTTTCTATATTCACTCAGTGCTTGAAAAGCAATATGTAAAATACCTGGACGATCAAATTTAGCAAAATCTGTCAATAAAAATTCAGGTTCTTGTAAAGCTTGAGCTAGTGGTTTCTGAAAACATAAAAAATAAAAACTATCAGTATCACGATTCATTATATAAGAGAAATGATCTACAAAATACTAAACCACAATAGAACAGTCTGTGCCACTGCCGAAGAAAAAAAATAAACAGTCGTAGAAAAATTCTAAATCTGGAAAATCACTACACACTGCTTCATGATTACGACAAAACTATTTCAAATCGAATTTGCAACCACAAAAAAATAGGTTGCCAGGTAATGAGACCTACAGCAGCTAAATAGTCTGGATAGTCAACAAGGGTTAGGCATATCTATCCTTTTGTAGGTAATGGGAGTTAAGTGATGTTCTTCAGATATGAAATCGGGACTGAGAGACAGACGGAGCCCATGGCAATATCTCTCCCTAACTTCAATCAGAGCTGAATAATCAAAAGTACTTACAAAACTGATTGTTTTAGGCATTTTAACTTTTGTTACAATTCCACCACGAACATAATCAGAAAAGCCACTAGTATCTCCAATACTAAAGGTGTATGGACCTAAGATATAAAACAATTCCAATCATAATTTCCGAAACTGGAATCACAATTAAAAAAATATATCAGTGACCAAAAGACCAAAAAATAAAGTAAAAGTAAAATGGATTTACCTAGAACTTTGATTTTAATTGGTTTGCAGTTATTTAGTTCAGTCATGCCCTGTACCTCTTGAAATGTGACATAATCACCATCTTCATAACCATGTCGAGTTTCATCAATACATGTAACCACACTAGATGTCTCTTTAGTTATTGCGGCAACCATATTACTAATAGCTTGTTCACCGTCTGTATCTGATACCACAAAACTAGCACCAAAATCACAAAATATTTCACTGAAATAAAAGTATTTCATTTAGTATCAACACTCTCTTAAATTTGTTCATATACAGCACCTCCTGGTATGACAAATATGTCAACAATGTTAAATATAGAATCTGATGTTGATGACCAAAAATAAATGGTTAGGATTGTAATACAAGCTAAATTACAATTACTAATAGCCCAACAAAATTACTATATTATTATTATCAAACAATGTGTTATAAAAAAAAAAAACTCATACTGAATGAAATGGAAAGATAGGTTGCAGGGCAATTAAACATTAAAACATACCGTATATAATTGGAATTGACCTCCTAATATCACCCAACATCACCCTAATATAGAGTAAAACATCTTACCCAAACAGTCCTTTAGTATCAGCTATTACATACTTAATATCATTTTTTCTACAAATATTACTAACTGCAAGTTGTTCTTCTAGAGAAGAATTAGTCAACACTACAACCTGAATATAAACAAGAAGTTCTACTATTATACAGCAAACATAAAGACAAAATCTTCATGAACCAATTAAAACAAAATCTACAGTAGGTCATAGCCTACCAAATATTATACCTCATAGTGGGATCCCATGGAAACCCCAATTTCAATTATGATAGAACATGTCGTGGGTGGGAAGTCAAAGTCTTATCTGGGGTTTTCCAAACTGTCTGGTCCAGCCAGAAAACAATCATGAAATCGTACAAAAATGTCACGCCAAAATGCTATACGCAAAATGACGAATTTCTAAAGATTCACAAATATTTCTGAAAGCTGTTTAAACAGTATGGGATTTTTTGTACAATCAAGGGCCATAATTCAGGAAGTTATGATCTGGTATGCGCAAATATCGAAAGGTACCAAGATCGTTGGATTATAAACATGCATTACAAGTTTCATCAAAATCAGATGAAAATTGTGACCTCTAGAGTGTCCACAAGCTAAAATGTGATTTTTTGTACAATCATGGGGCCATAATCCAGTGGCGACGGCATAATACACCCACATAAGAATGTGGACGTATAAAAAGTATGATTTTCTTTTCTATATAAAATAAATACAATAAAGCTTCACAAGCCATCAATTAGTCAAAAATTTTTTTACCTGATATGACTTAAGTAATTCCTCATTAAGTTCGCCAGTATAAGATGTGACAGGAACGTAAGTATTTAATTCAGCTAATCGAGGTGTCGAGACGTCAGCTCGATTCTTACCCACATCTTCTTCTCTCAAGAAAAACTGAGAGGATAAATCCATCCAGTCAACATTCTCTTGATCTTGTACAGTAACAGACTTAACACCGCCTAATACAATATTCTTAGCTATTTCAATTCCTAGCCCTTTCATGCCACAAATAAGAATGTTAGAGTGGGCCATTCGTCGCATAGCCTCGTGTCCCAGCACATAACTGAAAGATAATAAAATTAGGGCTGAGTATTGCAGCCGAGTATTGAAATATTTTATTTATATATGGCAACATGTAATTGTGTAATTTTATTATGGTAAAAATATGTACATCTTTTTATTATTGAAATAAAATTAGTTTGTGTCGAGTGGATGTTAAACCCCATTTCTTTCTCTCTCTCAATTATTTAAGCCCTCTTAAAAAGTCCTGATGCACCACTTTAAGCAATAGGAATCATTTGCAATATAATGAGAGATGAATCTCTCACAGAAATATCAGTCACACAAATGGCTAAATTCCGTTCAGTATACGTATTTACAAAGATATGTGGAATTTAAATTTCATCGATCTATGGTACTCGCTATCAAGAAGGCACCACCATCTTTTACTGGTAGCAGAGAAACCTTCATTAAATGTTGATTAAAAATCTGAATACATAACATCATACGAAATTTGATATTTTAGCAACAAATTTCAAGGGAATTTAAGTGTTATTTTTATCCTTTCCTATGTTCAGTACTTTATATTTGATCACATCATAGTAATACTTACAGTTGTCTTGAATACAGACTTTCATCAATATCGTTTGAGGATCCATTTTTAGTGGTGTTAGTCTATAAATAAAACAAGAAATTAATAACTTGATGTTTTTAACGGTTTTTAAATTAAAATCCGCTAGAAACAACAATATTATATTGTCTAGTTGAGCATATACCAAGATTTCCTAGTGGTAACCATCCACGGTATCCCCAGTGGTATTGTTCCGTTCTACTTCAGTTACTTACGTTCGCTCACTCGACTGGTCGATAAAAATAGCAGAAGTATCAAGGGCGTAGAGGACTACAGGAGTATCTAGAACAGAACGATATCACTGGTGATATCAAGGGTGAGTGGTAACAAACTTTTCAAATGCCGAAAAGTTTTCATCATGAGTTTAACCCAACTGATTTGTCATAATTCAATAGATATAGCATCTTGTTACCTCTTTATATGATGAAAACACTTTATTATACTCTTAAAAAAAAAGTAGGGGATATTGAAATGCAAATACCTATGCAGGTTGTGATATGATAAATAGTCATGGACACTTGACATGCTTTGAGAGTATGTTCACAGATTAAGAACTTATCGCCCCAATAGAACCACTGAGCTGCACGTGCGACACACAATAGCACCATACACGTGGGAGGGGTTCTGTTTAGCATATCTTTGCTTAGTGTGTTATGTATAATTTGCAATGAGACGTCTTCAACATGATGAAACGTCAACGTGCTATTGGCATGCTTCAAATGGGTTCTACACAGCGAACATTAGCCAACATGCTGATCAGCAGACTGTGGAACCGGTACCAACAAACACACAATGTTGATGATAGACCTCGTTCGGGTCGTCCTAGAGCCACTACACCAGTCCAGGATTGATACTAATGATACATTCGTACACAGGTCCTACGAAATCGAGGACAAATGGCCAATCAGCTTTCTGTAAACTTGTACCAAGTTACAGGAATTCGAGATACATGCAGCCCATTTGCATGCTCGAAGACCGTGTGTTGTGCCTTCATTAACTTGCCAGCACATGGCAAACAAGTGTCAATGGTGTAGGCAGCGTAGAAATTGGGGTAATCGTCGATGGGCGCGTGTAATGTTCTCAGATGAGTCCAGATTTACTCTGGATTTCACTGATAGGCGTGCTCGCGCTTGGAGGCGTGTAAATGAGCGTCATGCTAACGTTAACGTCAGACAGCATGACAAATTCAGGCGTGGGTCTGTTATGGTGTGGGGAGGAATCGCCATGACTGGCAGAACGGACTTGCATATTGTTCAAGGAAGGGTCACTGGTGAGTACTACCGTGACCACATCCTGGCACCAAAAGTTTTGTTCTTTGCTCAATGTGCAGGTCGACGTTTCATCTTTCAAGATGATAATGCCGGTGCCGACCGCGCCCGTGTCGTGAATGACTACCTCCAGCGTCACCATATTGTCCATATCCCTTGGCCAGCCATGAGTCCTGACCTTTCCCCTATAAAGCATGTCTGGGACATGATCGGGAGACATGTTCGTCGACGTCAACAGACAACACAGCAAAATCGTGATTGGACGGTTGATTAGGAGCATGCCACGACGAATTGCTGAATGTCTGAGGATTGGTGGAGCAATTTACTCATTCTTAAGACAAAAATCAAAAACGTCCATTTTCACTTTTGACAGTGTATCACTTTGCGAGTGAGATGGGGCTGTCAGATAAGCTGCCCATATGAACTGTTTATGTTCATGTGTAGGCAATTGGCCTATTATTAACATACACTGGTTACCTCTAATAAAAACAGCAGTGCATTTCCGCCGTTTTGTATTGTTTCTGAATATCCCCTACTTTTTTTTGAAGTGTATATTTTAGCATGGCGCGGACAGTCAGTCCATAGTAGAAGACTTACCATGTTAATGGTGTTATTTACTGAATTACTAATATTATTGGCACTTGTAAGAGGCTCAGTGCGTGCTTTCTTTGCCGGTGGAGAATCGGCGCTACTGGACATCTGTAAATACAAAATTTAATACATGTTGATAATGTATGTAACAGGTGGGTCATAGGCATTAATGTCTCTTAATTTTGAAACTTAGTGTACCTTGTTATCTACATCTGAAGACTGAAGCTCCACTAAGCATTTAAATATCATCATGTTCTAAAATAATGCTGCCCTAAAATAATGACCGCTTATCCTCATTCTTTCCCAAAATAAAACCATTTCCGTAACAAGGAGGCTTATTTGTATTCACAATCACATACTGTGCTAGCCTATAATGAAATAGTTTCATAGGCTAACCTTTTTTAAGTTTTAGCATGCATTATCATTATGATTTTGATGCAAGATTTTATGTTATTAAACTTAAAGATAAGCTGAGCTCCAAATATTCATATTGAAATACATTGGGCATTGATATTGTTTGTTTTGAAGTTTCTGCCTGTGACTTGACTTGTGAATAAACTGAAAGATTTCATTTCTGATTCAAGCAAAATGTCATTATTTTAGACGCCTAAATTAATATTTATTGTAACAAATCCAGACAAAGAAAAGGATATGAATTCCCCCTGTTTCGTAATGATCAAATCAATCATCAGACAAAATCTGATAAAAGGCCGAATCACACATTGTTGAACTTATAAATAGCATTTCCAGAAAAGCGGTGTGTGGTCGGATATGATACATTATGTACAAATACAATAATAATAGCATCATGGACACCTGAAGATTAATTATCAGCAAACTGTACAACGAACTTTCTAAAATGCCAAACAAAAATGGCGGATGTGCAAACGGATTCTCGACACGTGCGAAGATCGCGAGCTTTTTAAACAAGTGTCTGATAATAATATGATATTACATTATCTGTAACTAATAAATAAATAATTCACTATCTCATATCAATATCCATTGTTTCTTGACCAATTAATAAAGCACTAAGGAATCCACTAATAAGACTGTACCCCGTTCTCTTACTGGAAAGCAACGCGCCGCTTCGATGCGCACGGTACGGAATTCTCCCTACTTCACTTACCAAATGGCATAAACCATTTGCCGATCTCTACGGCCGCTTTACTGTTTTTTTAAAATTGGAAAGACTTCAAAATTACAATACTTTCCAAATTCCGGAATAAGTTGAAAAAATATCCAAAATAACGAACACAAAGAAATACAAATTTAAACTGATATTGTTTTAGTATTCGATGTAAATTCTTTGTTGACGGTGTTTTCCGTCGATTCACTGAGCCGTCTTTCAGTAGTCTCAATCATCTAAACTCGTTGTTATTATACAAACACAAATTCTTGCCACTGGCTTGATTAATCGAGACTATGTATTTCCGGTTTCTTTCTATCTGAACATACCAGACGGGATAAATGTTTATAACGACTGGTCATGGCATTTTATCGCCTGGTTAACAGCGAAATAGTTATTCCCTGTAAAAGCAGCGCCTTATGGGATGTATCTCTAAGAATAAGTAATGATGTCATGTATATTCACATGTAATTTTACACATGCTGTCATAACTAAATATACATTAGGCCTACAACAAGGAAACTTCTAGAACGAAATAGCTGCAATGCAGTAGGATACAAAGCAGTTAAATTATTTTAGTCGACTTGCTCGAGTAGGGTTTTGTCATTCATTTTAGGACAGGCTATTATAAATCTATTAGGCCTAATAATAATACTAGGCGACTATTTATTAATTATAATTTTAAGGTCCACCGCAGGCTTACATCCGTCGCTAAAAAATATTTCCAAAAGCTTACCAAATTCCCGATAACATTGTAGATCTTCGCAAGTTGCTAAAAACGAATCTAGCCAAAACGTTAACTTATTACATTTTTTACATTCCCCACTGCAGTATGTCCAAGGTGTTTATTTATAAACGCCCGTTAAAGGACAATATTGGTGCCAGTCATTATCACATATATGATAGAGCTGGTTGAACACATTCTAAATATAATTTTAACACAGAGATCATTGCTACGATAGCTGAGTAATATAGGTTTCCTGAATCGAAAGTGACAAACGCCAAAGGAAAACACGAGTCATCTCTCTATACCGACTGATGTGACGAGTGATAACGGATATACGGGCGAATTTCTGCTCACTAATAATTCCTTCGAAGACCAAAACTTGTTGTGTGAGATTGTGATAGGATATCTGACAATTCACAAAAAGAATTGACTGCCACTAGATAAGTAAACACGAAAGAAAAACAGAAAAAGTCCGTGCATTACCATGTTTTTATAAGGTATAGAATGGATATAAACAAGGGAATGTACGGACTATTTCTATTTTTCTCGTGTTCCCTTATCTAATGACATTCAATTACTTTATTGAATTGTCAGGTATCCTCTTACAGTCCCATATGACAACTTTTGGTCTTCGAAGGAATTATTAGTGAGCAGAAATTCGGCCGTGTATCTGTTATCACACGTCACATCAGTCAGTTATATAGAGAGATGATCACGCGTGTTTTCCTTTGGCGTTCGATCGTCACTTCCTTTTCAGGAAACCTGTATTACTCAGCTATCGTAGCAATGATCTCTGTGTTAAAATTATATTTGGAACGTGTTTAACCAGCTCTATCACATATGTGATAATGACTGGCACCAATATTGTCCTTTAAAAGTATAGGCCCTATACCCGGCCGCATGCTAATAGTATGTGCAGGGGGACTGCGGACCACACAAAATTTGCACAAAAAAAAATACACGGACAAGACATCATACTCAGGAAAACACAAACAGACAGACAGTTAAAAAAAGTGAATGTTAATTAGACGAGAGTGTCTGCAAGTGTAAGGCATTTTAAGTATAATTGCAAAATTAAACATTTTGTTCCAGCTGATCAGAATGCCTTAAGAAAATATGGGAGGTTTTTGCTTTTATTTAAAGTAGCTAAGTCTCTAACTCAATATCATCCAAAATCTTCGACATTGAAAACACGAATTATTTGTCAATTTAAATCAACATTGATGCTGTGACCTTACGGGGAAAAGATGGGCTTCTGATATCCAATAATTAAGACAAATAAACATGTTACCGTTGGTACACGAATCGTGTACCATGGTGCATTTCAGCGCCATTTTTAACAAGGGACTCGTAGAAAGAGGCTAGATATATTCCACAAGTCATGTCAAACGGTGACGCCATATTCTTATCTGGAGAGCATGCGCAATAAATACTATCGGTATAGAGTGGAATAACCAGACGCTAGAGATTGCCATTCGATTGAGACTTCTGGCGTATTTCGCCGAACATAACTGATTAGAAATTGCAGTAAAAACAGAAACGATTGAATGTAAATCAGTTTATATACATTCACATTACATTATTATATGCGTTGCGACCCATTTGTGTCAATTTCTAGATCCAAAATATTAGCGATTTAGCTCCTTTAAACGAGCGGTTCCATGCAAGGTACGCCCACATTTTGCAATAGATGGACGTAGAAGTGTGGGAAATCGACAGGGCTCACATGTCCCTATTACTTTGAATAAAGTCTGTTAAAACTGTACGTAGCCTGTATCGCTTTCAAAAGGTTTTGCGAACAGAAAGTCGCGGAATGCAGATTATCGATAGGGTTAATCGTCGCTCGCGCACTGATGGCCCAAGAGAGAACGATGAAAATTATTGATAGGTTTCATACTCTCATGCTCGTAACTAAAAACATTGAGATATATACTTGTGTTTGTTTTTAGCTACGATTGGATCCTTTTAGTTTCACCTGGCAAACGTAAGGTCATTTTATACTATAGGACTACTTAAACAAATCCCGGCCCATACCTGTTTAAACGCCAGACCTCTCCCGTTTTACAATGTCGGGCGTAGCAAAAGCTTTTAACGTTCCGATTTGAAAGAGATGATTTGTACCCGTGTCAGGATTATATGCATAATTGTATTTGCGTATGCCAGTAATGTAATAAATAACTTGATCAGTTGTTATTTTGAAGAAAATATTGACAATTTTACGTTGTAAAATCCGACGTGATCTGAATGGATCTTCCAGAAAGAAATTTATAGTATAATACTATCTCTTATCTGGAGACCCGCGGTGTCGAGAGAAGAGGGTTCTTTTTAGCTACCATGCTCATGCTCCAAATTAATCACACTAGAGGACCTACAAACTTTGAGCATATTTCACACTTTGCGTAAAAAGCAGGGGCGCACCAAAATCGAACTCACCCAAGATCTTTTGATCCTTAAAGGATAATATTGGTGTCAGTCATATGTGATAGGACTGTTTAAACATGTTCCATATATTATTTTATTACAGAGATCATTGCTACGATAGATGCGTAATCAATGTTGAAACAATCGGAAGTGACGAACGCAAAAGGAAAACAGATACGTGGGCGAATTTCTGATCACTAATAATTTCTTCGAAGACCAAAAGTTGTTGTGTAAGACTGTGAAAGGATATCTGACAATTCATAAAACAACTTTTGGTCTTCGAAGCCATGTATCTGTATTATTACTTGGTTCATTTGCCAAGAGTAGGCCGTAGTGCCGCTGTCCGGGCAAAATTTCCCTCATAGCACACTGTATGGCGTATGCCCGTCTTCATTAGCCCAGTTCGGAGCAAAACAGTAGGACGTTAAACCCCATTTCATTTCATTTCATTTTGGTTCATTTGCCAGTGCCAAGTCAACAGGAATTAAATATGAGAATATTTCATTTGTGTACTATTAGGCTGTGGTGGTTGAGTGGTAAGGGACTGGCTTCCGAAATCCCGGCGTGGGCTGTGTTGCACCTTTGAGATTTATCAAGCCCGGTTGTCATTTATCAAATTGAAATGAAATGGAGTTTAACGTCCTATACTGTTCTGCTGTTCTGCTCCCACTGGACTTACGAAGACGGGCATACACGATACAGTGTGCTATCAAATTCCAACTGCCAAGGGATCTTTTACGTGCACACCAATGTATACATGGGACCTCAGTTTTTCGTTCCATCCGAACGGCTAGACAGCTGTCCTTGTTAGCTGCACCACTAACAAGGGGAAACCACGCCGGAAAATCTCGATATACTTTCTCGACCAATGCAGGGATCGAACACGTGACCTTCAGGCTAGCGAGCCAGCGTCTCACCCGCTTAGCCACCGTGGCTAATCTATTAGGGTCCGACTTGGAAAATGTGCTTAGTGGCTTGGATCGGATAAAATAATTTCCATTTCTACTAAGATGAAGTTGGCTTGCGACTAATCAAAATAGTCAATATATCTTCTTGTGTTTTTGCTTCGTATTTTCATTAAACCTATATAGGCCTATATATATCTGTTATAAACCATTCACAAATTCATATAAAAAACAGGGGGGTTGGATGGCCGAATGGTTAGCAATTGCGCGCTGTATCATAAGGCCTGTCATTGAGTCAACTGGCGTGGTTTCGAATCCCCGGTTGTACGTGACAAGGAGTAGGGTCGCCTTCCAACCTCGTGGGTTTTCTCCGGGTCCTCCCACTGCTAAAGACCCCTACGAGCAAGCGAATTATTGAAATGAAATTGAACCCTGTGTTAGTCCCGAAATAACCTAGTTTGTGTCGAGTGGACGTTAAACCACATTTCTCATATAAAAAAACTCTTGAAAGACACAGTTTTTCATCAATATGGATATGGGAATTGACATAAACATGTGTCTCCAAATATCCAAATACGGGTAAATAAGGCCTGTCCTTAGGAATGTGATCTAAGTTGATCTCCTGACAGGTTTGTAGAACCGTCCCTCTAACTCATTAATTTGGGTCTATATATTATCATGCATTGCCGAGGACATTAATCCTATAAATCTATCGTCCAAACAACAATATACCATGGTATAACTAAAACCCTGTAACCCGTAGACGTTAATTACAATTCATAAGATCAATAAGTGTAAAACAAAGAATACTGGAGACAGGTGATTTAAGCAAATATTTAAGACAATATGAAATAGATATAAGCAAGGTGGATTAAGATCCATTAAAATACTGTGTGGATTAGCACGATGTATTAATCATTTACTATTGAGTCCAAATTTACCCTACTACAGTATGTATCCCGTATTTTGCTAATATTTACAAAATTGTACTATTCATATTGTTGAGAACAGAATATTGTTTTTGTTTTTGTTTTTTAAAAAAAATATCATTTGGTATTATTACTCATACTTACCTAATAGGATCTGATTTGTTCATACATGTATATTATCAGTAGCATAGCCATATAGTAACTTCCCTATTTACACTGGCGTAAAATTATCCCGAGGCTGACTGACTTTGGTTTAAAGATAACTTGCATTGATAACCATATCACACTAAAACTTCTTACAAATAAATCAAATAAATATAAAAAATCCATACATCTTGAAAACAATTTATAGAAAATTTAAAAAGTTCACAGGCCCTAGAAATGAACAGATTTTCATTTATATGGGGTCATTTGTTATATTATCTGCAACTCTCCTGATGAATAATAAATCTTTGTTGTCAAAAGAGACAAATGTATAAAAAAGAATGAATAGAAAAGCATTGATTTATTTAATGCATAAAACCGTTAATCCGCGGATGAAACATATCATACAAACAACACACTTACATTGTATTAGTAAGTGCAGGAGGACCACATCACACATTAACAAACACCCTTAAGACAAACCTGTAGACAAGACACACAATATTCAACGACATTGCCAGTAATAAACAACAAAATTATATCGAATCAAATAAATCGGAGAGGTTTTAGCAAGTAATAACAAATAATACAAGTACTGTCAAATCAAATGTGTACCCGGACGTAGGAACTAAGCGCACAGTGCCTGTATTAATATATAGGTTTCGCATTAAATGAAAACAAATTCACAAGGGAGACAAACCACAAAAAAACGGTGACAAACCACAACATCATAGATGGAGCATTTACAACAAGGAAGCTCAATGTTAAATATTCAATTTGCGGAAGTGAGGCAATCCATAAATACGAAAGTCCAAATGGACTAATGAAGACGGGCATACGCCATACAGTGCGCTATGAGGGTAATTATATCGAATTCTAACTGCCAAGGGATCTTTTACGTGCGCACCAATGTATACAGGGGACCTCGGTGTTTCGTCCCATCCGAAGTTGTCCATGCCAGGCTCTCCGTCCTGCACCACTGACAAGGGGGAACCACCCCTGAAAATCCCGATGAACTTTCTCGCCCAATATAGGGATCGAACACCCGACTTCCAGGCTAGCGACCAAGCGTTTTACCCACTTAGCCACCGTGGCTCCTCCAAAGGAAATGACTTAATCTGTTGGTTTTATAGCACTGGCTTACAACCCAAGAGTTCCCGGGGTCGATCCCCGTGTTGGCCGACAAAGTACCTCGGGATATTACAGCGTGGTTTCCCCTTGTCAGTGGTGCAGGACGGAGGGCCTGGCAAGGCACCGAGTCTAGGTCATTCGGATGAGACCAAAAAATGAAGTCCCGCGTAGACTGTTGGGGAAAAACTTAACCCTCATAGCACACACCGTGGAGTCTTCATTAGCCACGTCGATTTAGAACAGTAAAGGGTTAAATCCATTTATAAAGGGGTGGGGTGGGAACATCTTTTGGGAGGGGTTGAGGGATGGGAGGGGGGTAAGCTGTGCAGGAACGAAAGTTCATTTTGTGATCGCAAGGGATCTGTTGTCTCACAAATTGTCCATGTGTAGACCCCGCAAATTGCTAATAAAATAACTTCTCTGATTATTAAACTGAGAAAAGAAATAGATTTTACGAATGCTGTTGTTTACACACAGAAAATAAGTATTGATAAAGCAGTTTTATTCTTTTATAATATACACCCTGTAATCTATCTATATATCCGGGACCAAAACCCCCGGAGCTAATACTGCTATATAAGATCGACCAAACACTGAAGCCTCGGGTGATCACGTGACCAAACGCCCTCCCATCAATAACAAAATGTGACAGCTAGAAGAGAATGGTGAACCTAGAGAATTTACAAGTTGAGGTCATTTGTATTTAATCACAGTCTAAGTTTGTGGTTATAAACCTGGTGTTATAACGGCCTGTGCAGAGAGAATAACATGTGAATTTGGAAAGTGTTGTTGTCTCACCTGTGGGCTTTGTCGTATTTTTGGCTGGTTCAAGTGGTTGCGTGTAAAATGTGAACGTGTCGCAGCAGTGCATGGTTTGTAGAATATATCCCAATTCGGATGAACTTGATATTGAAGTATGACCTTAATATCAAACTACAACACTGTAAATCCATGTTAGAGTCGGGGTGGAGCATGTGTGTTTACTTCTGAGACGAGAATAACGGGTTTGAAAAACTATAACTTATAAGTAAGTATAACCAAGCTTTCTGAACTGAATTAGGTAGAGTTGTAGGACTTGGTGTTATATTAAGTTTACTTAGTTGGGTTGGGTTTGGTTAGTGCATAGTTTGGTGTATAATGAAACAACCAAGTAATTCGATCATGAGACTACATCAATTTATAGCTCTAATACAATAGTTATGATTTGTATGGTTGCTTAATCAGCTATCGATTCTTGTGTGCGAAACGTTATGTAATATAGGCCTATAGAGGTAATTACCATTACAAGAGTATAACAACAAGAATAGGCTATAGAATGTTGAATCGTTGTTGACTAACTTGCTACTGACTTTTTCACTTTGAATGCATAGACTAACTTCTTCATGTTACAATGGATTCTAAATTTCTTTGGGTCATTGTTGCCTCCATAAACTTCTTCATGTTACAATGGATTCTAATTTAAATTTCTTTGGGTCATTGTTGCCTCCATAAAATTAACCTATTTTGGCCCCATTGCTAATTTTAAGGGGTGTTACATAAGCCAGTTCTTACTGTTTTGAACACACCTGGTAGGCCACTACTACTAGTGGACACTTATATTGTTATATCGTTGTAATAATGGTCGTTGTCATTTTAAATGTTAAAACTTTGACATTTTGGATTGTCCCTCTGTTTCTTGTTTTGTAAGGAAGTTAACCCCGCTAAGAGTTGTGGAAAACGAGTAGGCCTATGTCTGATATACAGAAATCTGCATTAATAAATTCCTAGCAAGTAGAATATATAGTCTTTAACACGTAACCTATATTACATTATTATACATTTGCTCAATTTAAGCGATGGTTTGAGCTAGAGTTATATGAATTTTTAAAAAAAAGTTGCAAGTATGTGCGTATGTTTTTTTTAAAATTGTACACTATACGCGAAATATCTTATAGTCACGTTTACCGGTCAGAGACATATGTCATATCTATAAAATTCACAAGTTTATATAGCCTATAATTATATACCACCAAGGATAATTCTAAATATATATTAAATATGTTTGTCGTGTTACTGCACCACACGAAAGTCATTAATTAGCTTTTGATGCGGATATTACTGCATAATCCAAAGCAATTCGATTCAGGCCCCAAGGCGTATGCGGTATATACACTGAGCTAAATTCTATATACATATTTGATATTGTAAACAACAAATTGTATTCGAGTTACTGTCAAAAATAAACATCATAAATAAACATGGAAATCAGGCACAGGTTGAAAACGATATTAAAATATAGAAAACCGATCCCTACGGGGCTTGCAAGTTTCTTGTACAAATTGCACACATATAGGTTGTTGCTTTACGAAATGTGGTAGGCTGATGACTTTGCCGGGGTAAATATATCTCTATATTTAGTCCGATCAAAGTGACCCACACTGATATTTTTGAAAAAATTCTAGGTCAGAATATTACGGACAGGTATAGGCAATAAAAACCGTATTTGGGTTGGCATTGCCATGGCTGGTATCGAATCGTCATTAAACATTAGGTCTGCCCTTTCAACCAAACTACAGAACGACGCTGACAATATTCAAAATATCACTAACAACGACAATGAAATTCCAACATTTAATGGAATGTGGAATTGTAAATACGCGTCTTATTTTGGAGGACTTATTGTAAGAGAACACGTAATGTCGTACTGGCAGGTTTTCTTCATTGGTTCAAAATTTGAAACTGTTGGGGCTAGTCTGAAATCTTTTACCAGTCTTTTAAATTCGTGTGGTGGGCTTGTGTGTACAGATTTTGTCAGTTGACTGAGTCAATATGCTGGCCATGTTGTTTTTATTAACTTGTGTAAGCTTGTATTGCAGGTGTATATTTAGACCTATAGTAAACCTACCGCAAGGCGTAAATATGAACCTGTTTGTTATGTAAATGTTAATTATGATATAAGGGGGGTATTATTAATGACATAAGCAATAACATTAGACTGGCTGATACGAGTTAAATCTCTAAATATGTGCATTACAACAAAGAATCGATACAAATCAAATGTCACCGCCTCTATAGATTATATCAACATATTATGTCTCTAAACTCTGAAGAAAACACCGACGTACTCACTGATCGATTGCCATAAGTATTGACCCACAAGCAAAAATAAAATATAACACGAACTAAAAAAAGCCCCCCCCCTCCCTCCACAGGACACACCCAGTCATAGCATATCAACAAATAATTCACTATTTGCAGCGATAGGGAACTAGATGATCATGCATTATAAACCTATAAATATAGATTATCTTATATCCTGTATTGACTACTTGACATGATATACCGTATCTGTTCTGTAATGGTATATTGATAAGAAGCGTAATAATTCTTGGTTTCGAGTTACTAGGACGTCATCAAACTATCACATAATAACGTTGATTTCTTGATTTCTTTCTTTATTTCGCTAAAATCAGATTTAAATATTAGGATAGCCACGCAAAGCGTGGAAATACGTCCACACAAAAGCTATGCCTCTACAGCAGATTATCCGAAAAGGAAAACTTGGATATCGATCAAATTTGATAAGGCGATTTTCTAGAGATCTGATCTCGATCGTGTTCACAAACTTGAAAAAATCCGTTAAAAACGACAAAAACCTCTATCTGGGTAACTCCGGAACGTAAGGCCGCGGAACTTTGAATATGTAGAGTGCTTATTCTCACCTGACCCCAATACTTTCACCGGATTTGGAACAAATTGATCAAAAGAATCCAACCTCTTATCAAACGGAGGATAATTCCGGAACGGAAAGTCGTGGAATGCTGAATATCAATAGAGTTCATTTTCTCTCCCCCCCCCCTTCCCACCAAATTTGAAAGAAATCCATTAAATGGCGTAGACCGCGTTCACAAGGTTTTCGGGAAATGGGGTATAACTCTGGCACGGAAGGCCGCAGACCATATTTAACACCAAATTTAAAAAAAAAAAAGATTCGTCACCGTTAGATCTTAATGAGTTCGAATTTCGTGAAAATCGGACCGAAACTGTCGAACAAAATTTCCTCTCCTCGTACGCAGATAGTGTAAAAGTATGTAATACCAAGGTTGTGGACCCTCTAGACGTCACAATTTTTATCCGATTTTGATGAAACTTGAAATGAATGTTTATAACACAAAGATCTCGGTTCCTTTCGCATATCGGACCGTAACCTTCTGAATTATGATAACTGATTGCTTTTAGCTAGTGGTCCCTTTAGAAGTCACATTTTTTTTATTCTATTTAAAAACGTTTAAATATATCACCTCGATATTTGTGAACATCGGACCGAAACTGCCCGACAAAATGTCTGCTCCTTGTACGCAAATAGTGTAAAAGTATGTAATACCAAGGTTGTGGACCCTCTAGAAGTCAAATTTTTTATCCGATTTTGATGAGACTTAAAATATATATTTATATTCAAAAGATCACAGTTTCTTTCTATATTCATGCATATCGGACCGTAACTTCCTGGATTATGGCCCCTGATTGTACAAAAAATCGCATATTTTGGGGCTTGTTCTCTGTTCACCTCTTGCAAAATTTGGGCGTATCTTGCATGACAACCGCTGGTTAAAAATGCAAATCGTTCGATCTCAAGGATGATGTGCTAAAAAACCATAAGACCACGAATTTAGCACATTAGCTAATGAAATTACATGCACTAGCCTAGGTCACAGTGTACTTTAGTTCATACGATACGTTTGGGTGTATTTAGTTCATTTTCCCGTCATTTTGTTTTTCAAACCAAGTATATAAATATTGACATGCGACGGAAAATCCCACCATAATTAGGCTTGGGAATTACATGCCTTTGATATTGTAAAAACACGGGGAATAAAACTAAATGCTATTTCATTGGTATAATAATTCTACCTGTTTGTTTAGAAGTTTTAATATTGAGATGTCAAAGTACAAGGTACATTGACATATAGATAACCAAGGACGACTTGAATATATCCTGGCAATACTTTAATATACCTTGAATATAAAATACTTTAAGATATCGATCATATAACTTTTCATATATTATTTATAGCAAATCGATATATCATTTTAGTGTCGTAATCCAAACTATATATATAGAGATGTGGATACCATTACATCAATAAAACTAAGACATAAATTCTTAATCCCAATTTAGAGCTGCTACATAAAACAATGTAACCGGATACACGTCATCCAGCTCAACCAGTTAAATAAATACGGAATATTTATAATAAGCAATAGTTATAACAATGCTTCACCAAGGCACGATACGGCTTAAAACTATAAAACGCAGACGTTTTCATTTTGGTAAAATTAAAAACAAAAACATTACCAACCTTCATAAATCAATTGATTTGAAGTGTTATATAACTTTGAATTATAAAGCCTTTAAAAAATCTTTCGAGGCCCCAGAAATGATAATACAAATTCGGTAATTATGTAATGCAAAGATAACCATAGAAATATGCCCACACAGCAGTTTTCGAGCAAGGGGATATAACTCCGGAACAGAAAGTTTCGGAATGCAGAATATAAACAGAAATGAAATGAAATGAAATGGGGTTTAACGTCCTACTGTTCTGCTCCTAAACTGGGCTAATGAAGACGGGCATACGCCATACAGTGTGCTATGAGGAAAATTTTGCCCGGGCAGCGGCGCTACGGCCTACTCTTATATCGAATTCAAACTGCCAAGGGATCTTTTACGTGCACGCCAATGTGTACACGGGACCTCGGTTTTTCGTCTCATCCGAATGACTAGACAGCTGTCCTTGTCAGGCCCTCCGTCCTGCATCACTGACGAGGGGAAACCACGCCGGAAAATCTGGATGAACTTTCTCGGCCAATGCAGGGATCGAACACCCGACCTCCAGGCTACCCACTCAGCCAGGGGTTAGTCCTTTCGAATCCCCAATGCTTCACAACAATCTGTATAATACAGCAGCCTTTGTCACAAACACAAGGTAGGAGGATCGTGGAACGCTGATGTCCCAAACCCAAGGTTTTCGAAAAAGAGGGGCATAACTGTACGGGGGATCGCGGAACGCTGAATATCAATAGGCTTCACCCTCTCATGACCACAATGCTTCACACCAAATTCTAAAAGAATTCATTAAAGGATCTAAATCTCTATTCTTTGAAACATGGAAATGGACACAAATGGGTCGCAACGCATGTAATAATGTATTATGAATATATATAAACTGATTTACATTCAATCGTCTTTACCTTTTTTTTACTTTAATTACTAATCGGTTATGTTCGGCGAAATTGAATGGCAGCCTTTGGCGTCTGGTTATTGCAATCTACACCAGTAATATTCTCCTGTGGGGTATGTTTAGCCTCGTTCATCAAATCGATTCATTACACATGGGGCTCGAAAGTATTCTGGCAAGCGATTAGTGTGCCAGTTTTAACATTTTCATTTTGTCTCAAATGTTGGATATCAGAAGCCCACCTTTTCACGGTAAGACAACAACATCAATGTTGTTTTATATTGACCAATATGTCGTGTTTGCAATGTAGAAGAATGTGGATGATATTGACTTGCCTTCTGTAGCCGCTATCGTAACTTCGGAGCAAAATGTCGCGGAACATTGAATATCGATGTGGTTCGTTCTCTCATGGCTCCAAGGCTTTACGCCAAATTTGAAATAATTCTGTCAGGAATAAGCCCTGAGCATGCCAGTTAATCGTCATGACTACCAACTTTAACAAGCATTAAGTTCAAGCTACCCAAAGACAAACAAAAATGTTAGTTCGATTTACATATTAATATGATCTGATCGTAAAAAAAGCTATAGCTGTAATGCTTAAGATTGATTCTCGGATGTAAGGCCCATATTTTCTTCAGATCAAAGACCTTAAAACGTATTAACAAAATACGTGGAAATGTTTACCTTCAGTAGCCGCCATATTGATTTTCAATATTCTGTCTAGAGTGGTTTAGCAATGGGTTCGTCACGACATCACTTGATAATACAATCCGCAACCTTGCATTTTTTTAATATAAAAAACACGAGTAGCATTCATGGATGTGGTATTATGTAGAGCTATATCTTGTTAATAAGACTCGAATTTAGACTCTCCATGGTGACAATTAGAAGCGGTCCAACGAGGATGGAGAGAGAGATTATTCACTAACGGCCCTCTTTACAATTATTCACCAAAGCAACTCCAAAGGGAGGAGTCTCGGATATGTTTTAGTGGATTTCAACCTTTTAGTTCTGTGTTAAAAACTACATGTATATGAGTGTTTGGATAACCAAAAAGTGTGTGGTGGTCAGTGGTCACCAGTACTCATCACAAATATAATCATTTCCAAACGGCCCAATATTTTAATTTGAAATTTCCCGCCAAGGTAAACACTTTGGTTTTTGATTCGTTTAGCCTACTTTAAACCATGTTTGTTAACCATATTCTATGAAATCTGGAAATAGGCCTTTAGATGAATAATATACAGTATAAATTCAGCCGCCAAATACTATGAAATTGAAATTATCTGTGATCTTCGTTGAGTAGTTAGTGTGTGTGTGAGTTAGTTGTATTTTACGTCCGCTTCCACCGAGGTGATATCTTTACGGACACTTTATTGACAGTCTTCATGAACATTTGCGATGCTATCTTATTATAGTTTAATAAATACCCATCCACATCCACTCTGTCCCCCACCCCCTCCTCCCATTAACCATTGCTATACTTACTGTGGTATAGTGGTGTTTCTGATTAGTTATCGTCCCCAACGTCGGCTAGGGAAAAGTAATCCGCCTCCATGTACACTTACTACTACATACAGTTCTCCCTGTGACCCCATCTCATTATTTGTAGGACTTGGGTGGGTATAAACTATGCATTTCCTAAAGCTTATGCCCATTTTAAAGGTGTATAAAGTTAAATATAAGTTATAGGTAAAACACCAATGAAAGCAAATAATATCAAAAATAAGTGTGGCATTGGTTAACAGGGGCGGATCTAGGAATTTTGAAAAGGGGGGGGCGCCGCAAAATGAGGGCACTGACCGCGGAGACGGGGCATGCCGCTGAGAGGGGATTTTTTTTTTTAGGAGGGGGGGGGGGGCAAGAAAATTATCCGTCATTTCCTTGCATCTGTAGCCATTCCAAGAGCTATTTGGCTGATATTTTCGTCTAAGTAAACGTTCGGAAATCGTTGAAAAAGAGCCTTAAAATCGAGCACTAAAGCCAGTTGAACATGCGACTCGAAAATTGTCATGGCGAGCGAGGCATTATGATGGGAAAAAAGACGAATCTATTCCCTAGCCGCTTCACTATTTAAGCCTTGTAACTTGTACTTTGTACTGTCCACACATGAAACAATGCTACATCAAGTTGCACTCATGCGCGTCGGTGATGGGCATGAGTGTATACGCCGCCGATCCCACAAGAAGTCTGTCTATAGTCACTCTATAGGATGCACCGTCAGCTAAACAACAAGAATTCGTTTGCAAGTGGAAGCATTAATTAAACCAGACTGGTGTGTTTGAATCGATGGTTTGAGTCATTTGGGATCCCTGCAACGGGTTGGGAACGGACATATTTGGGTCTGAGAAAGGGCACTTTCAGCAGTAAAAAAGGGCACTGTCGAAAATTAGGGGGGGGGGGCGCCCCTCGCACCCCCTTTAAATCCGCCTCTGGTTAATGTGCGGTTAGTACTCGTTACCCCTGCTCCGAGAATATTCTTTTGTTCTGAAGGAGTGGGGCTGGGAGGGTGAAAGGGGCGGGTGGATTGGCTGTTGAGAAGCATAATGATAATTTAAAGACATTCAACTATTCATACATAAACCTTAAACGACTAAAATAACAAATTACTTTAATAAACTAAAACTTTTTCTTTTCAGATCGAAGACTGGTAAAAAGTAAACATGGCAAACGGAACCGGAAATATCCGCTTTACCAATAGCACTTTGGAACCTACCGACCATGTTCACTATTCTGTAGGAATGGCCGCATTCGGAATCATTTTAGCTATCTGGATAATCTTTGTCAATGGAGCCCTTATTATTGGTGTTCTTTCCAGCAAAGAAAGAAGAAATAACAACTTCATGTTGCACATTATCAATATTGCGGTGGCAGACATTTTTGTAGGAATATTGGTGCTTCCAATCTTGGCTGATTATTTGTTGGCTGGTTCATGGAAATTAGGCGCCGAAGCCTGCCAATTCTGGGTCATCACTGATATTCTCATGTGTACCGTGTCTATCATTGCTATCGTTATGGTCAGTTATGATCGGTTTATATACCTTGTCTGGCCGAAGTTTTATACTTCCGGTTGGAAGCAGTATATATTAGGATCTGTGATGATCCTTATTCCCTGGGTTGTTGGACTTGGACTCGTTCTCCCTTTGTGGCTAAATGGACAATCGTTACACCAAGAAAATGATTGTCTTGTCATCTTAAACCGTGATTTTAAAATAGTATCCTGCTTCGTTAGCTTCTTTGTCCCCGCCTTCTTTGCGATCTGCTTGAACTTCTCGGTTCTACTAATGCTATGTGTCCTGAGAAGAAGGTGGCAAGAGAGATATGTCCCAACAGCCAAACGACCAGCTCGTCAAATTTTAACCGTTGCTTTAGTCAGCCTTGTTTTTGTTGTGATGTGGTTACCATTTTTTGTTTTGATGATGCTCCAAGCTGTGGATGTCGACGAGGGGATATCCGGTAGAATGCTAGAACTATCAATATGGCTTGGGTATTTGAATTCAGGAGTAACTCCAGTACTATGGTTAATATATCCATTGGTTAGAGAAAGTTATTTGGATCTCGTCTGTTGTAGAAAGAAACCAGAAAAGAGACCAGACGACACGAGGCTTTCGATGATTGAAGACCTCAATGACGATACTGAAATGAGAGAAATTAATTAATATATTTCTAAATCAAAAAAGACATTTTGTTAGGATCTGGTGGTTTGCCGATTTGATCCGAGCAGTGCTCAAAAGTATGGGTTGGTAAAATGTGGTTTGCCGTCAAAAGAAGTAGGCAACTAATCTTGTCGACCAATGAAGTTCAAAGGTTAGGGTTAACCGATGCTGTGAACTGCATTTATGGTATTCCAGGGCTAGAGTTAACTGGTTGTGTGGACCAAAGAATTCGAGTGTAAGGGTTAGGTTCTTCGAGGGGTTCTAGAAGACGTTTTATGGTATTTTGTACCAACCACCCAATTATACGCCATTCGTGTTGAAACGTATCTGAATTGTTGATGTATAGTGGATTGCTTGGGTTTATAGTCTCTTCTAAAGTTTGACCATAATTTTAACAAGATTAGCAATGCCATTAATGTAAATCGTGTTAATTTAGTCATGTAATTGGATGAATTTGATTCTGGCTTTTAGGATTTAGTTAAAATAACAGAACAAGATATTTAAATATTTGTATAATATAAAGACTAGTCATTAACGTATTTAGTTTTTAAAAAATGTTTTAAATGAATACTGTAGGCAGTAATGGACTCTAGCCAAAATGTAATTTCTAATCATTTAGTAATCTAGTCGCTTATGTTGCTAGCTTTAACATAATCTAGGTGCATGTTAAAAGATAACGGTTAATACCAGATGAGGGTATTAAAGTCTCAAATCAAACCCTGCAGACAAAGTTTCTAGCTTACAATACGATAGATTCTGAGGTATGAGCCATAGGGACTTGTTAACCGGCAATATTGTGCTCGGCCAACCAATCAATCTATGTTTGAACCAGCGCAAGTCTTAGTGTAACAATATATCATGAGACTGAGCTTTTGTCTAAATGAAGAAATTTATAATAGATCGAACCTGGGCTTAATTTCATAATGTATATTGATTGTACTGGTAGAAATGGTCTGATATTTTGCTGCAAAGTAATTATTTTTCATGTGATATTGATGATATGTATTATATATAATAATAAAATACGGTATATACTTATAGATGTTTGTTGTTTAAGATTAACTGATATAAGTTAATGGTACACTCGGACCCTGCCATCGGCAAATCTCAAAGTGAATCGAGATTCGTCACTAAAGACAACCGAATTCCACAGTCTTTGAGTAAATCTTATGTGTCTTGTGGCCCACACAAGTCGGTTACGGCGATGAAGAGGTGTCAATATTGGTCCCTTATAGGGCCTCCGAGCTCGAAAACCAGCAGCCTGCAAGCGATTTCGAACAGTTTGTGCAGTTACCCTTTCACCAAACACCTCTCTACTTGTGGAGGTTGCAGTGACAAATCTGTTTCTAAGATGACGTAATCGTATTGCTTGATCTTCCTGGAGTGACGTCACACGTGGCGCTCCCGTCCTTGGGCGGTCGGCAATAGTTCCAGTTTGAAGCACTCTCATTCTAAGATTAATTATTGTCTGGCGTGAACAATTAAAGGCTCTTGCAACAGTGACCACAGACTGACCAGCATAGAGCCTACCTATAGCACGTAGACGTTCTACATTTGAAAGGCGCGGCATTTTCTAACAAAGATGAAAATAACCATTTTAATTTGTTTTTCCAGTTCAAGTTACGTGTGCGTGTTCAGTTTAAGCAAACTTGCATCGATTGACCTCACGAGTTTGTGTTTGCACGTGTTTTTCAGGTTTTTCATCTTTATATGCTCAAAAGTCACGTGATCCACGTGACTTTACAATTTTATGAATTAAGGGCTTCTTACTACTTACTATCGTTAGAAACACTTTAAAATTTATTTGACTTACCAGAAATTTCTTTTTTGTTGAAATTCATTAGTGTCAAGTTTTTAATTTGGCTGAGTATATAATTTATAAAGGTCCGCTTTAGAACTAGCCAAACAATCTTATTAAGTAGGCTTTACATATTTTAAGTTAAAATACGTTTGGTTTTTTTTTTACCTGACCCCTGTCTGTTCAACAAAATTTAATGGCGCCACCACATATTACATTATATTATTAATGTATTTTATCCAGGTATTGATGTCTAGAGTACCCCGGGTCAGCTTAATTAGCAGTTTTTTCCAATATAATTACTTAAATCAATATTGAGACGACTGGAAAGCAATCTAATTGAGGTCAAGAGATTAACGAACCTACATTGTTTGGTTTGATTTCTAAATTACTTCTACATAATATTATTTAGTCGTTATTTGTCTGTAATTTAGATAATTTAAACACCTGTTCAGCTTAAAATAAGTAAGGCTTTGTTGTCTCCCTTTATATCCTACCGTACCTGGGCATGCGAGAGGAGAATTTATGAAACCAAGTTTTAGTAGAGCAGAGCATCTGTTAATAAGTATAAAGTATCCTCTTGGATAACCTTTTTGTTTTGTGCTGGGGCCCGGGGAGGGGAGGGACTGTAGACAGACGGTCCGGTGCTAAAATGGCGGGAAATATGATAATGTCATATAAATTTATAGCTCTGCACATCTGTAAAGAAGTGTATATAATGTAAAGAAGTGTTTTGCTTTGTGAGGGGTTGTTTGGGAGCCACGGTGGCTAGGTGGTTAAGACGCTGGCTCGCTAGCCTGGAGGTCGGGTGTTCGATCCCTGCATTGGCCGAGAAAGTTCATCTGGATTTTCCAACGTGGTTTCCCCTTGTCAGTGATGCAGGACGGAGGGCCTGACAAGGACAGCTGTCTAGTCCTTCGGATGAGACGAAAAACCGAGGTCCCGTGTACGTAAAAGATCCCTTGGCAGTTGGAATTCGATATAAGAGTAGGCGATAGTGCCGCTGCCCGGGCAAAATTTCCCTCATAGCACACTGTATGGCGTATGCCCGTCTTCATTAGCCCAGTATAGGAGCAGAGCAGTAGGACGTTAAACCCCATTTCATTTCATTTTTGTGAGGGGTTGGTGGGAGGCAGTAGTGTATGTTAAACCTTTTACGCTTTGTGGGTAGGTGCAATACCGAAGAATGGCGTGATTGGTCTTAATGATAATCTTATAGATTAGTAAAACATTAATTTCTAGCAATATGGTATAAAGGTTGCCCTTGGACATCTGATTTGCTTTGTGGGGTGGTATGCGTGAAGGGGGGGGGGGGGGCTAAAATCGGCAGGAAATGGGTTCAATGCCCAAATTGGCGGAAAATGTGATAATGTTGATGTCAATGATGATCACCTAACACTGTATATAGCTAAATAAGTGTGTAGAATACACTATACAACCATGTGAGTAAAGGACTGTTCTAAAAATGGATAGGAAATGGGATAATGTTGATGTACATGATGAACATTTGTATAGATTCGTAAAGCATATAGTTTATAGCACTGTGCAGCTCTAAATAAGTGTACAGGGCAGATATGGTCAACTGGTTTGCTAGGGAGGTGAGGGTACTGTGAGGGTGTGGGTGGGTCTACTCAAGGGCCAATTTGAAGGTTTATTTGAATTCAAAAGAAGTTATAAAATTCGATAATTTAAAGGAATCCCTTTAAGAGGATTCAATACAATCATGTTTAGGAAAAGTTGTTAACGATGTTTTTGTCACCAAACATACACTAGTTGTCCAAGTGGCATCATATACACTTAATTAAAGCTGTAAAGCGTTATAAATTTTATACTTTATAAAGCAATGTTTTACCAATCTATATAATATGATCAGTATTGATAGCAACATTGTCACATTTCCCGCAAATTTTAGTCATTGCCCCCCCCCCCCCCCAAACAAACCAGTTGTCCAAGGGCATCCTATATAGGGAGATCACGGTGGCTACGTGGGTAAGACGCTGGCACGCTAGCCTGGAGGTCGGGTGTTTGATCCCTGGATTGGCCGAGAAAGTTCATCCAGATTTTCCGGCGTGGTTCCCCCTTGTTAGTGATGCAGGAAAGGGGGCCTGACAAGGACAGCTGTCTAGTCGTTAGGGTGGGACAAAAAACCGAGATCCCGTGTACACATTGGCGTGCACGTAAAAGATCCCTTGACAGTTGGAATTCGATATAAGAGTAGGCCGTAGTGCCGCTGTCCGGGCAGAATTTCCCTGTATGGCGTATGCCCGTCTTCATTAGCCCAGCTCGGAGCAGGACAGTAGGACGTCAAACCCCATTTTATTTCATTTTGCATCCTATATATTATGTTAGTGATTCACAGTGTTAGGAATTAATGTTTTACCAAATTATCGAGTGATCCATCAAGACCAATATCGAACCACGTGGTTCTGGTCCCCGTTTAGGTATTGCCCCTCCCCCTCCCCACAAAGCAAGGCGGTTGTCTACACTTCTGTAGGGATGTACAGTGCTATAAATTAATATTTTTGTAATCTGTGAGATTCCCCGCCATTTTTAGGTATCGGACCGCCTGTCTACACCCCCACCCCCTAGCCCCGACGCAAAACAACAGGATCATATACTTATTTAGAGATGTAAAGATCCATCATCCCATTTCCACACAGTTTTAGACATTGAACCAACCCAAACCCAATCTCGGAAAAGCCCACTCAAACACCAGATGACCCCCAGAATAGAAATAGACGCAAAAAAACTGTTGTAGAAAAATACTTAGTTTCATAAATTCTCCTCTCGGATGAATTGTTAATTTTGCAGCTTATCAGGACGGATAACCTGGCAAGGAACAACATTTAGTCGTTTGAAGGGCCCGAAAACCCCTGACCCCGTGTGGCCCATTTCTTCTCGTACACCGAGCCGAATTCGGTGTCTGGATATTTCTTAGCGGTCGTTATAATGGGCGCATGCTGATATCCATACATTCCCCAATGTTTATTGCTCTCTTGATTTATTTATCTATCATGGTGACTAACTATAGCGGTTAGGGTTCCTCCTCCGCTCTTGCGTGAATCAAGAATCACCTGCGGTTCACCAAGGGCGAGGTCATTGCTTCTTCGACGCTAAGACCCCGAAGCAGTTTTCAACATTGTCACAAGCCAGAATAATGGGAAAAAAACTTATTATGTAAAATATTTGCTGCATGCCCCCCCCCCCCCTACTCCATAGATGTAATTTTTGCATTTCGTCAGATCTGGGGCAAATCTTGTCGACAAGCTATGGCAATCTGGTCTTTCTCAAAAAGAGGTCGTGAAGTAGGGAGGGAAAGCGATGGTGGAAGTATAGAATGGCTCAGTGGGGTTGGGTGGGGTAAGGATTCGACAGCTTACGATAGTGACGGTTCCACAAGTAGGTTGTCGGAAGTACCAGCTACGGCAGTCACAAACAGACTTTCAGTTTTCGTATACGATTTACCAAATTTGAGAAATGAAGGGTGACTAGGACTTGGATCCCCTGGAATATTGAAGGAAACCTCCCAACGCCATGTTGCTTCCAATCAGGACTGATAAAGAACTGGCTCCCAGAGAGTCATTAGAAGTTATTCATTGCAACTGTAAAAGGAGCTGCGGAACCAGGAGTTGTACATGTTGCCTGTAATGACTTGACTGCAACTCGGCGTATAGACAATGCAAAGACATCAGTGGCCTGAACACGGCGAAACCTAAGGTTGATCCACATCACGATGAATAAAGTGTCCATAAGGTACGAATATTCAGCTAGATTTTTCTAGTTACCATGCCTCAAACTATTATTTATGCCGATTAAACGCCATTGTTATAATGTTACGATTATTTGCAATTTTCCTGGTATGGTAACCTCCTACAAATGTGGGCGCAGACCCCGCATTTGTCCATTTGAGAAAGTTAACGGCAAAAGTCGGACTTTCTTTATACTTGAGTACACCCTTTTCCTGGAACATTTTAGACCTGTTCGAATATGATATAATTAGAGTCATTTATGTTACAATTTTCCGCGTATATCCACAAGTTGGCGGGACTACATTCCCTCGCCTCTTTCACGTTCACAAGACAGTCTGACACAATAACTTTGACCTAGAATGTTGAGGTTTGGTGTATGTATGTATTGCAGACCAATGCCCTGACTGATGAATGGTGAGTAGTTTCCGATTAGGCTAAACACAGATACGCTATTTGATTGGTTGATGATTTGGGGCACGATGACTTTTGAGTAAGCGTGATCAAATAGGCGTATATCAAAACCTTGACTGAGTTGGATAATAAGCATTCTGCCTAGGTTAAGCGGGGCGAATAGGAGAGGTCGATACTTTGGAGCACGACAACTTTGATTACAGTTTCATTACTTCCTAAGTTCCATATTAACCACTTTCGACGATAAGTATTTTCTGCTGGGGCTAATTCATGGAAACCGATAAGAACCCTCTTGTTCCTTCGTACCTTCACGTTAATTTAGTGCGAAGCCAAGAGGTGTTAGCCTCACAAATGGTCGTAATTCTGCAGTCGCTGGAGGGGGTGGGGGTGGCCGTATGGTTAGCACGTTTATCATAAGGTCTGTCATTGAGTCAACTGGCGTGGTTTCGATTCCCCGGTTTTACGTGACAAGGAGTAGGGACGTCTGTCCAACCTCGTGGGTTTTCTCCGGGTCCTCCGGTTTCCTCCCACTGCTAAGGACCCCTACGTACAATTTTATGGGAAAGGGGTGAACCCCATACCCCATCGAGACTCCGCGGTCAGTGACGCCGGAACAGCCCCCCCCCCCCATTCTCATTTTTCATTTTTCTGCACACGCCCCTGCGATGGCTTGGTATAGTTTGCACACATTCGAACTGTATGTAAAATCAAGTTATAACGAGATATTGATCATTCAAAAAAGAAAGGGCCATTTTGGATATCCGAAAAATTCAATTCCTGCTGCACATATAATTACCCATACAAAATACCTTAGCCGCCACTCCACAATCTGCATCAGCTTTGATTCCACCACCTTATATACTAAGCAGCAAAAGAAACGTCACGTTGGTATGTTACTCTGAATAGACGCATTGCATAAAACTTGCCAAATGTTTTTATTTTATATTTGTGACCACATCTCCAACTTTACCTGGGCAATAAAGCTCCTTCCCAAACACACAAATGAACCCAGGAAACGCAACGTGACTTCTGAGATGGTAATGTGTTCTCCGTGATGTTCATGTAACTCATGCTGCACGTGTGGTTCACCGGGACCAGCCCTATAAAATGCACCCCCATGAATCATTCACACTACAACGTCAGCAGCATGCCACGACTCACGACAGCTCAGAGGAACCAGGCGCTTGGAAGACCCGACGCTGGCCACACTGTTCAAGCCGTTGCCAATCACTTCCAGGTCAATGTTCGGACCATCTACAGACTTCAGCAACGCTTTCGGGCCACCAACACCACGGATGATCGCCCCCGAACTGGTAGACCAAGGGTTACCACAAGGCGACAAGACCGCAGTTGTGCAGAATCCCTTCACACAGACATCTGAGACAGCACGTCAGACAGTGGGAACACACGGAAGACCCATCAGTACCGATACAGTGTGCCGACGTCTCACCAGAGAGAACATCCATTGCCGTAAACCTTACCGTGGACCGATCCTCACCCCTCGGCATCGACGTGAATGTCTACAATTTGCAAAACAACACCAGACGACACAGGCGATGGAGAACTGTTCTGTTTACAGATGAGAGGCGATATTGCGTATCAACTGCAGACGGCAGGACCAGAATATGTCGTCGACGTGGCCAGTGTTATTCTGACCAATGTGTCATGGAACGAGACTCATAGGGAGATCCAAGCATAATGGTTTGGGGTGGAATCGGCCTGAACCAGAGAGTTCCAAAATCTTGGTCCCGGGAGAAGAGGCGGCATCCCAGCAGTGTGCTATATCGATCAAGCTCTCAGACCCCACGGCATACCATATTTCGCACGACATTGAAACAACGTTTTCCAGCATGACAATGCCCGTGCCCACACCACCATTAGTCCGGACTTAAACCCGATTGAACATCTTCGGGATGAAATTCAGAGGAGAATTAATAACGTCGTGCCGAGACCAAACGCAGCCCATGGATGGAGTGTGGTTCCAGGTGCCAATGGCGTTCGTCAATGGTCTGGTCCACTCAATGCACAGACGCTGCGTTGCTGTTATTGACACTCGCGGTGGACACACCAGATACTGATGTATAGACTGTGTACAGACTCTAAACCTCCTCGTAATGTCTTGGAATTGTGATGAATTAATCACTAATGTGTCAACATACTGTTCACAAAAAATTTGCTTTGATCCATTTAGCAAGTCGTTTTTTTTAGAATGATTTGATTAAAGTGCCTCTCTGATTTTCAAATCGTACTGACGTTTTTGTTGCTGTATGTTTCATAATAACATTCCTTGACAACTTTTCCTTTTCAATACATGTAGTTTAATGGATAAATACCACAGGTTTATGCAGAAATAAATTATTTTCAATTCGCTTTGTTTTAGCGAAGAAAACATTCTGTTGTGTGAATTCTCTTTTGTACTTTAACCAGACTTCTAATTGTAACAAAACAATCTACAGAGAAGCTCATTCGAACAATTACCTATCATTTCCACCAACAGACATTAATCAATTTATGTGATACAAGGCACCACGCAAACATTCATCAAAACCCTTCTATATTACAGCGTGGTGCGCATGGCTAGTATTAGTAGTGCTAGAAGCTTATAGTCTGTTTAACCGAAAGCCAGAAACTTAGTTTTATTCGGACTATGCGCCTGTTTACCATCTTCCGCGCACTGCTCGTGCGTGCACTTTTTGCAGCTCACGGTTTAATTGCAATATGGCGAATGTTTATGGTTATAGGTGAATCTTGGTGTTGGTATTTAACTGCAGCACTTGGGGCTCTTCTTCTGGAAACAGTTGTTACTTTGTGTGTCAAAAAAGGCAAAGAATGGAAATGGTATGTCAATTTACTCATTTTTTATTTCTTTTTCTTTCCAAAATAAATCACGCGTATTAAAGCCGCTAAATGCCAAAATAAATGTTAAATATAGGGCACGTTTATTTAAAAAACATTTTGGACGTAAATCGTTTATTGTCATTATAAGATTACATTTGTTTCCGTTGGTTTACATCGTCATGTTAATGTGTTAAGTAATAGTAATATTAATTCTGCAATATGTTTCGTACAGGCCAGCCCAGTATTCATAAAGATTATTGAAATAGTTCACAATTTTAACTGACATTTTGTGCATTTTGAATAATCTTTTGTTTATAAAAAAACCTTCACTGTAGAAAAATTGTAAAGTAGACATAATTGAATTATTATTATTATTTATTTCTTTATTAATAATTATGAACTGAATACATTTTACGGATATTAAAACTTTTGTCGAAACCGCACATTGATCAAAAACAACGCATGATATAATGAAATACATGTTGGTATAGATAAATCATAGTTTCAGGAACTAGTTCGCCCACCAAATAAAAATTCTTTCCGTGTCACACGATTATCAATTCTAATTACTTTAATTACCTACAATTAACCATTTGTCTAATTCCAAAATGTATTTTTTATGTTAAACCATATAAAATTAACCCAGATCTTTCTTATAATGAAGTGTGTTATGCGTGAGACTGAAATAATTGTCTATTGGGTTGTTTAAGACTTATTAACCGATATTATATACTAGTAACCACAGATTTTAAAAGAGTGCATGTTCAATAAGTGTTCTGGGAAAATATGCTTGACTTAAGTAAAACAAGGCCAAACGATTCCGGATTATTTTTCAGCATTATTTAGACCAGATCTGGACGGTAAAATGGGAATGAAGTATCAATAATAAGGATTGCACACAGACTAAACTTATGCCACTATTCAGTTGGAGAAATATTTAATCTAGCCCACGGGTTGAAATGGTTAAAAAGCGATCTGCCACCACAAACCCTAAACCTGAGTAACATAAAATTTCGTTTTTTGGGTTGTTTTTTTTTTTTTACGAAAATCACAATAATTCAATATTTGAACCTGATCGTAAATTTCTTCCACAAACGTCTGTTATATCCTGTAAAGTTTGGTTCGAAACAGTTGAATAACGGCAACTGAAACCTCCAAAATATACGGGGCTATGCCACTGAGAAATTAAAAAAAATCGATTTCCTATCGATTGTTAGGCCATTTCAGTAGAAAATCATAAGAAGAGATACATTTTGCGCGAGAACGGTCGTATACGCTAAAAATATACGATTTGACCACTGACATCGAAATGGTCGCGATGACAAAGTTGGAGTACTATGTAATATGTAAACATCCGTAAAACTTTTGCTTGAATAGGTCAAAGTATCAATGCACAGAAAAGTATAAAAAAAAACTCAATAAAAGACCGTTTATGGGTTGCCTGGCAAAGTATGAAAAACAAACATGTAAGGTGCACAATTAGAGCGTAAGTCTACGACAAACCGGCAATAACTCTCCGTTGCGCTGTTTAACCATTTATGAGAAAAATGTAATTATTATTGTCAAAACATTGAATGTTTGGATGAATCGATTCAGAGGACGCACCTTACAAAATATTTTCTCTTCCAACGTCAGTCGCGTGTGTTATGTTTGATCATGGTTGTGTATGGAATACTTCTGTCATTAACGTTAATTAAATCTATTAAGCCTGTAGTTTTTTTTTTCATCCATAATAAAAAGAACCATATTTTGATATAAGTAATTAAGAACTGGGGCAGAGGTTAAAGTAACTGCCGGGGAAATACAGTATTATTATCAGGTCCAATCGAAGTTTTACATTATTCTAAAAAAAAGCCCTGGTAATCCTGTGCCGTTTTTACCTATTATAGGTTGAGCAGAATGAAGGCTAGGGTACCAAGATCTAGGGGGGCCTCAGTTAAGCTGTATAATATTTTTGATACTGTTCTAAGACTTTCCTAAACATCCGTCATTTATCATATTAGGCTTTGCTCAATTGGGTTTAAAGCATTTTCATCTTCATCTAGTCGTAAGGGTTGGGGATTGGGTGGGGCCTCATAAGTGGAATAGCCTAGGGCCTCTCGTTATCTAAATTCAGCACTGATAACTGCAGATGTCATACAAAATGAAATGAAACCGGGTTTAACGGCCTACAACTCTGCTACGACTGGGCTAATGAAGATGGACATGCGCCTTACAGTGCGCTTTGAGGGTAATTTTGATCGGACAGCGTCACTACTCTTATTTCGAATTTCAACTGTCAAGGGTTCTTTACTTGCACACCAATGTGTACAAGGAACCGATTTTTTCGTCCCACCCGAACGACTATACATCATCCCTTTCCAGGCCCTCTGTCCTGAACCACAGACAATGGGGAATCACGCCTTTTTTCTCTTTACACTGTATCTGAAATTTATTTTAATAATAACACTGGACTTTTTTAACGTTTTTAATTTGTGTTATAAATATTTTACCAGAGAAATCATTATTCTTTTTACAAAACCCACTACTTCTTCCAGATAAGGGCGGTGAGGAGGGTCAGTCGAGTTTTCTAATGTGTTCGGTTTACATCATAAGGTCTGTCACTGAGAAGAATGGCGTGATCGCGCGTGGGTTTTCTTAACCCCCATTCCCTCCCCACGGTTTCCCCACGACTTTCCCACGGTTTCCCCACACTGTTGAACACCCGTACGCGACCTAAACACAAAACACGATGAAAATATATGAACATTGTAGTTTGCGAAGATTTAAAGGGGGGCGTTGTCTTGAGGAAATCATATCAATGGCCATAGGACATATTGTGTATTTATATCGCCACCTGCAGTTTCTGTACCTGGGCGTAATCAAGGTAAATCCACAGCTGACTGATCTAAAGAAACGTCAATTGTTGCCGTTTGTTGATCATTATTAAATGCTCATCTTTATATAGCTTCTTCATTGCAAACAAGATGTGGTGTGTTAATCATTGGTACCATCAGTTTTGATCTAAAAAAAACATTTAACCGAGCCTGTATTTAGATTTCATATTGATGTTCAGAAAACTTCTGCCTTATCTTAAGGCAGATGTCTTGCTTGAGGGTGGGTAGAGGTCTACTTTCGCTTTCCAGAATACACGATAACACCTGCTATAAACTAGTAGAGCTACGCTTAAGTTGGGCGTGGTATTGGAAGCTTATGTACTGTTAAATGTCTTTGACGCTGTTGTTTTTACCGCACAGTAAAAGCACGGCCAATTTCCTAACGTTCGGGTCCGCTGTCCCCTCGTCTCCATCTCTCTCCTAATAATAATAAAAAAATGACTCGTTTGTATTTCTTTTGGTGTAAATCATCCACCATCTAATTGATAATACCTAATCAATCGCCGACAAATGATTAATTTTTAAAGTCAGAGATTAAATGAAATCAACTTTAAATTTTATCCTTCAATGACCCCTCCAAATAGCAGAAAAAATGAAAAAAAAAACCAGCCCAAAGAGAAAATCGATTAATTAGAATGTTATTATGGAGGCTTGTATATGAATATTTAGAAATCATTTTGTTATTTCCTTAAATAACATTTTGTTTATTTAAATCCAAAGGGAAGGTCGACGCGTTAACTACATTTAGTTTTTATACTTCCCATATTTTAATGTCACTGTATTTTGTGGCCATACCGATCATTGATCCATGGCATTGGTCACTAATTATCCTGGGCGTTTTTATAGATATTTAACAAAGATATTTTCGATTATTGATGGGAAGATTCCTATTGATTTTAAACGATTTCTAATTATTCATCACAGAGTTACTCTCTTGAGTTATTTCAATTTAACAGAGTTTTTAGCTGATTCCACGGAAAAAAAACCTGTTCACCATTCACAACAATTACAAATTGGTTTAAGGAACGCTGTTTATAGAACACTTTAGCGGTCAAATTTTTGAAATGTTAAAATAGGTTTTTTAGATTGTTAAACTGGTGTCCACTATCTTCTCTCAGATTTATAGGCGGCAAAAATTGACTTTATTGTTGGTTGGAATATTAGTTGCGGATGTGACGTAAAACCAAGGTGCCATGTACGAGTTGGCGTGCACATAAAAGAACCATTGACTGTTGGAATTCAGTTGTTGTCCAGGCAAAATTGCTTTAATAGCACACTGTATGGCGTATGCAGGGAGGTAGGACGCCAAATCCTATTCATTCATTCATTCAGTATTTTGGTTGCCATTGGTAATAAATGTTTTACTAAATGCCGAAATATACATTTCTCACGAATCAATTCAAAACATAAAATGCAATCACATGGACAATTTTGTTACCTCAGCCCATCGGTTTCGTCACTTCACATATCGTAAACAAAAGTATAATAATGCCATCAGACATAAATTTACTATATACCTATATATTCTTATAATAGAAACATTTCAGGAAGATTTCCTCAAAATCAATTTCTGTATATTTCATTATAAACACGTGTTATTTTTCTGGATGAAACCGTATCGCTAATTATTTTGTTACCCTAGAATCATATTTATAAATTTAGGCATATACCATAACATTCCAAATATTGTTTTTACTGGAAGAGAAATATATACATTGGGAGAAGTATAAACTTTGTAGACAAATTACCCGCTGTTTATAAACGTCTGTAATTAATCGACATTTAGTACGTTTGACTAACAACTACAAAAAGTACTCCCCCCACCCCCAGCCACTTTGAGATAACATGCTAGCGTTAAAAGTACAAGTGATTTACAGCTTTATTCACATTTACTTTGACATGTGGGTCTTAAAGGACAGTATCTCACAATTCAAAAATAGAATTGGCTGTCACTATATAAAGCGGTGGACACACTAGCCGAATCGGCGTCGAAATTCGCCTAGTATGTCCACTGTCATTCGGCCGAATGATTCGCCCGAATCAAACAGGTTTGATATATTCGCCTGGTGTGTCCGCTTCGCCGAAGCATTCGGCCGAATATAGAAGTCATTAGCCAATCACCAC